ACCCCTCTAGTCATTGCTTTGGATGATCTACAGGTTGGTCACCTTGGAGAAGCTTACGAGGAATGGGTTCACCAACCTATTGTGCAGAAGGAAGGCCCTCGGTTTTTCCAGAGTGACTTTTGGGAGGTACTTATCAGTTTACATATAGTAGGCAATCTCAATAAGCCTCTGTTCCTGTTTCCCTTCTCTGACCAAATTTTGCAATGGAACAGTTCTTGACCCTTACAAGATGGTGGGCGATTCCTGTAATTTGGTTGCCTGTTGCAGTTTGGTGCATCTCAATGTCAGTAAGCATGGGCCGTTCACTCCCAGAAATCGTCCCATTGGTTGCCTTGGGGATATTCATCTGGACGTTTATAGAATACTCTCTTCACCGCTTCCTTTTCCACATTAAAACCAAGAGTTACTGGTTCGTCTCCTCTCTCTTTCTCTCTCTCTGTTAATGCAAAATTCTTATTCCAGTCGGATGCTAATGTTATTGTGGAACAATCCAGGGGAAACACGGCACACTATCTTCTTCATGGATGCCATCACAAGCACCCAATGGACCACCTTCGACTCGTCTTTCCCCCAACTGCAACAGCGATTCTATGCTTTCCTGTAAGCACTTGCATTGTCTCTCACCAACCATTATAATACCCTGTTTTCTTAAAACCGTCTTCTTTTTCTTGTGTCGTCCCCAGTTCTGGAACCTTGTGAAGCTTTTCGCAACTCCTTCAAGCACACCTGCCTTGTTTGGAGGCGGCATGCTCGGGTATGTCATGTACGATGTTACTCACTACTACCTTCACCATGCCCAACCAACTAGAGCAGTCACCAAAAATCTCAAGGTAACAAACAAGGACAAGTCTTTCTTCTCTGACCTTATATACCTGACTAATCCTGCAGAATCGTTTATATACTTAGTCCCTTGTGTTGTTTTGATGTGTTTGTGCAGAAATACCATTTGAACCATCACTTCAGGATTCAGGACAAGGGATTTGGTATTACTTCGTCGTTGTGGGACATAGTTTTTGGGACACTTCCCACCACAAAAGCTTCCAAAAGCCAGAAAAGCGTCCAATAGTACTAAAATGGCAAAACGAAAAAGGAGATTCAATACTTTTTTATATAAATAGTATTAATCATCCTTGTGAGTTTTGACATGTTTATCTGATGTTTCGTTTTGGATCACTGTCGTCTATGTAAATCAATGCTTCACATCCTATTTAATACTAGTTTTTGGTGTGTTTCTCAGCGAAAGCAATCAAAAATGTTTAGTTGTTTACTAACGTGTAATGCGTCTTCGTTATCTTTGATCTTATCTCTTGAATGTTAGTGGTCTATTTTCTCTTACGGATATACAGAGAGAAATGACAGGATGACACACAACGAATTTATCATTATGTTAAATTGCAACGGATAACGCACATATATTTATATTCTTAAATCAACACAGCAAAAACTCTGTGCCTCTCTTCATGTGATGTCACATAGGTTTTTTTAAGTCTTCAATGGAAACATTTCATTTAATACCAATCAGTCACGTTATAATTTTGGTTTGACCCGGTTTTGACTTATTTAATTGATTTAATGTTAAGATGGTTGATGCTGAGCTAAAACAGTTATTGGGGGTAAATCAATTAAGTAAGTCAAAACCGGGTTAAATCGAAATTAAAACGTGGCAAGGGTAAACCGAAAATTTGATGTAATAAGGATTATAAGATCATGTAGTTATAATCCAAATGGTTATTTTCATAATAAAAACGCAATTCGATGGATATAAAAATCAGTCGGTTATCAAAAATTATTATCAAAAATTTACCCGTCAAAGAAAAGTTATTAGAAACAAATTGACATTAACCTATATTCTAAAATATCTGATTAATCTCATTTTTAACTTATTTCATTTTTTTGACAAAATTTTTAAACAAAAGATTTAAAGACGGTATTATAGAAGAATTTCCACATTAGTACGCAAAAAGCCTTCGCGGCGGAGCGCGGGTACCAACCTAGTAAAAGACAAAAGTCTTTCATAGTATGTCATATGTTCTCGGCTATCCTTGTCGGGACGGGTTAACAAGGTTTTTTTTTTTTTTTTTTTTTTTTGAATTACTAGGAGGTTCTGGGCCGAAGCCCGTACATCCCCCTAGGCCCGAAACCATATCATGTAATAATATTGGTTTCATCCCAAGCGTCACTCGATCCTGTGACCTCTAAGCTTTGCCTAGGGTCCCTTTACCAGTTGACGGGTTAGCAAGTTTACAACACAAGCGAGTGGTTATAGTACTTTTACGACAATTGGGGTTTTTGACTTTTGATTTTGTGTGAACGAGTGCCATTATATAATTTTTTTCTATATTTTTGTTATATTTTACTAAAATTTTCACAAACATGTAATATCTATGTAATTCTTCATTTTTCTTTTTCTCCAACAATAATTAAAAAGATTTTATCGAGAATATGAAAGTCACGATTTGCATTCTCGATTTTCTGGATTGTTTTTAATTTCTTTCTAAATTGATGATTTTTTTAATATGTTTTTCTTACCTACGCGCCTTTAACTAGAAAACTAGATATTGACCCATGCTTCTCAATATTAATTTTTTAATTATACAATTTTCAGTATTAATTTTAATCTAGAGTTAAATTAATTATTGAATCAGTAATAAGAGAAAAAGTGATAAATCAAGTGGTAAATATTTGAATCGCACTAATTATTCTTATGTATGGGTCTAAAACGGATAAGCTCATTTCATGTGGTTTTTATCTATTAGATAAGTGGGGGTTTTTCGCATTTAGAACGTTTGTTTAACATCCATCAAATAAGTGATCCGAATCTAATAAAACAATGTTGGTTCTGACCCATGATATTGCTAATCTTTGAGTTAATTAAATTTGTGAATATTAAATGGTGCTTCTCCTTTAATGGTATAGATTGTTATTGAAATTAGCGAAGACTGATTTAATAAAGGAAATATTAGTATGTTTAAGTATGCACATGTACGTGTTTTGCTTGTTAGTTTGGATCCATATTTCAACTCAATTCATCCAGTTAAGCCTCATATTTCTTCAGCTCTTTCTTTCCTTTTAAAAAAAAAAGATGAAACAAAAAAACACGATGTAGTAAGTAGTTTGGAATCCACAATAAAATCTTTAACATAATACAATTTATAAAGAGATTTAACATGTGTTTCGTTTATTTTCTGATAACTTAATCTTACATTTTGGTCTGCCAGAGTAATCTTCATTGTCTGTCCAGCAACTGTTTTTTTCTTCTCTTCTCAACATGAAGAAGCTTGACTTGAAATTCCCCTACCTGTTTAAAAGGGATTAGGTATGTTAAACCAAAACATTAAAATTGTTTCAAGCTTTGCTTGTTTTGTTTTTGGTAGCCTAGAGGTGGAGGACTATTTATACTAAAACAATTAGGTTAAAGATTTGATTTGATCATAGTTTAAACTTGGAGGTTAAGCAAACCTTACCAAAATTTAGGAAACTTTTGAATAGAAGAATTATTGTTCACACGATTTTTTTTTTCCATGTAAATTTTGAATTTCTAATAATAAATTTGTGTTCATACGATTATAATTTTTCATCTCTGATCATATATGTATTTTTTTACTGTTTGTGAATAACCCCGGATGTAAAAGAATATTGGTTATGACCCGTGATGTTGGTAACCTTTGAATTAATTAAATTTGTAAATATTAGGTTTTGAAATTGGATATTGTTTTAACATTTGATTAAAATGTTGTTGTGACAACATATGTTTTATTATCATATTTTAGGTCTCACTTATTTAAATAAGATTTATTTGTTTTTAACTCATGTCATTATCACTTTATCAAGAAATATATTTATACAAAAGTCTGTTTTTTTGTGAAATTTAAAAATAGCTACAAAAATATTTAAAATCTTAAAAGTATATACATAATTATATGGTAAGATTTTACACTTTCTCCAAATTATGTTAAAAACAAAAAATCTAAAGACATGAAGAAAAACATAAGGTTCTTGTATTTTGGCCATGTGAGAATGGGTTTGAGTTGATAAATAGTCTTTTGTTTTTCTTCGGTTTCACAAAAAGATTCGATTTACATTCCAAATATTGTTGGATTTGTCGAAGAAACATTTCAGAAAATAATAATATTTAAAACAAACTTAAAATCATATTTTCTCAGTTTGATATCATACGAAAATCTTAATTTAAAATAATGTGTTGATAAAGTGTGTTAATTTGTTTTGTATTTTTATCAGCTAATGTAAAATACTTCAAAATCGTATATTATGATACATTATAGTTGAATATTTGTTAAGAAAGGAAAATTAATGAAAGATTGATGTGAGACTTATAATTATGTGCGATGAAATGTCTTAAGAAATGAAAGTCTGATTTAACTAATATGCAAAAATTCATCTTGGAAAGATTAATCGGTTCGGTGGCAAACGGTATATTATGTAGTTGACTTAGAAATTGTTTTGGTTAACTGTTCGGTTCGGCTAAACCAATTACATATTCGATATTCCCCACTTTTCTTCGACCGAATCAGTTATCTTTTCTCTGGTTCTTCTTTCTTCACCGATTCTTCTTTTCTCCTCTTCTTTGATTCTTCTCCTTCTTCTTATTCCGTCGAGCCCTATTAGCATATATATAGCCGTTGTACATTTAGATAGGTTTATTTCAGTTTAGTATCCGATTCAATAATAACCATTTGTGGTTTAGTTCAATTGTGTATAAGTAGCTTGTATTAATTTTTTAGCTCATTAATGAAGATTATCTTATAAACTTTATCTCTTTCTCTCTCAAGATCAAATAGCTAATATGGTATGAGAGCATTTTCCGCGTGCTTCCCTTTTGATCTTCGAACTGAGTTGATTTCTTCATTCGATCTTCGTTTTTCTTCGTCTATCCTGCTTCGATCTCATTGTTCTCTTTAATTTGAGCTCGGATTCTCTCAAATCACCTTTGTGAGCTCCGATTTCTGTTCAAATTACTTTTTGAGCTTCGATTTACAGCTATGGCAAAACAAAAACGGAAGACCCGTCGCGATCCAGTTTCTCCTGAGCCTACGCCGACTCCATCACCTCCGAGTGCCGATGCAGCTGTGATGACTCTTCACACTGGATTTCGCGTTCCTCGCGGTCTTTCCGATCCTCTCTCTGCCTCTATGACTTCATTTGACAATGTTCATAGTCCCTTCTTCCTCCACTGCGGCGATCACCCAGGTCTCTCTATTGTTAGTCATACTCTCCATGGCTCGAATTACAACAATTGGTCTCAAGCAAGGTAACCTTGATCTCTCTACCTATTACATTAAGAAGAAAACACTCTGGGAGCAATTGGCTAACACTAAAGCATCCACGGTGAAGAGGTGTAATTGTGATCATGTCAAGGAACTTTTGGAAGAAGCCGAAACTAGCCGTATCATTCAGTTCCTTATGGGTCTTAATGATAATTTTGCGAACATTCGAGGTCAGATTCTAAACATGAAGCCGAGACCTGGGTTGACAGAGATCTACAACATGCTTGTTGGTGGAGGTGGCTCCTCTACTTTCTCTCCTTCCGCTGCTTTCCAAGTTCAAGCCTCTCCTGTTGATGACTCCTCTGCCATCCTTCTCTCTCAGGGCTCATATCAGAAACCCCAATGTTCTCACTGTAACAGGCTTGGTCACACTGCTGAGAAATGTTATAAGTTGCACGGATATCCCCCAGGGTCTCAGACTCGTTGGAAGAAACCTCAGACCATTGGGAATGCGAATCTGGCAACGACTCAGCTCCAAGCTCCAGCAGAACAGAAGATTGAAGGTTCTGCTGCTTCTTCTCCTATCATGTCCAATGATCAGATTCAGACTATGATTTCGTATCTTAGTTCCAAGCTTCATGTTTCTACTGTTGATCCTACACCCGATAAGCCTTGTGCATCGACTTCAACCTCTGTGCCTGTTATTTCTCAAATTTCAGGTACTTTCCTTGATCTATATTCCAATTCCTATTACGACATGCTTGTTTCTTCTATATCTAAAGAACCGGCTGTGTCTCCTAGGGTTTGGGTTATAGATTCAGGAGCCACTCACCATGTTAGGCCCTGTTTGTTTCCTCATCTGGATGGAGTATGCAGATGATCCATCCAAATGGTCCATCTGATGTTTGGATGTTTTTTTTTTTATTTTTATTCAAATGGTTCAGCTAAATGATTCATGTGTTCTTCTATTCAAATAGTCTATTTAGATGATTTTAATTAAAAAATGACTAAAATACTCATATATTTGTTAAATCTTTTTTTTATCTACATTAATTTTCTAAATATTTCAATATTAAATCTAAAATAATATCAAAGTCATCAAGCGTGATTTCACAATTTTGATGAAAATGTAATTTTGCGTTTTGATAGAAAAACAAAATTTCACAGTTTTGGTTGGAAAATACGACTCTACGCGATTTAGCTGAAAAAATGCGAAATCACTTTTGCGATTTAAGCGGAAAAACACGATTTTTTTGTATCGGCAAAAAACGTGATTTCTCGGTTTAAGCGGAAAAACGCGATTTTGTGGTTTCAGCAGAAAAATATGAATTTGCGGTTTAAGCAGAAAACTGCGATTTCAAGGTTTCGTCGAAAAGATATGATTTTACACTTTAAACGGAAAAACGTGATTTCTAGGTTTCAGCAGAAATTTCGCGGTTTAAACGGAAAACCACAATTTTGCGGTTTCAGCACAAAAACACAATTTCTAGGCTTTGGTAGAAATTCCACGGTTTTCGCTTTACGGTTTTCGCGGAACAACGCGATTTTGCGGTTTTGGGAAAACGGGATTTTGCGGTTTTGGCGGAAACACACGATTTTGAGGGTTTTAGGCGGGAAAACGCGATTTTGCGGTTTTGGCGGGAAAACGCGATTTTGGCGGAAACACGCGATTTTGCGGTTTTGGGAAACACGTGATTTTGCGGTTTTGGAGGAAAAACACATTTTGGGTTTTGGCGGAAAACGCGTGATTTTGCGGTTTTGGCGGGAAAACACGATTTTGCCATTTTGGCGAACAACATGATTTTTCGGTCTCGGCGAAAAACGATTTTGCGATTTCGGCAGAAAAACGTTTTTCGGTTTTGGCGGAACAACACGATTTTTCGATTTCGGCGGAAAAACGTTTTTCGATTTTGGTGAACAAAATTTTTTTTCGGCGGAAAAACGTGATTTTGCGTTTAGGCGGGAAAATATAATTTTGCTGTTTTGGTGGAAAAACATAATTTTACGGTTTTGGTGGAAAAACGTAATTTTACGGTTTGGACGGGAAAATATAATTTTGTGGATAATTTTGATTTCCTAGTTTTTATTAAATAGATATTATTAATATTTTTCTTGTGTAAATATATTTAGGGGTTTATGTGTCATTTGCATATTTGGGATGGATCATCTTCATCCAGATGCTCCAATTCGGATCAGCCAGATGATCCATCTAAATATCAAAATTTTTGCCTATAAATTCAAAACTCATTCGGATGGATCATCTGATGTTGTTCATTTTTGTTGTTAAACGAACATCATTCAGCTGATCCAGCCAGATGATCTAGCTGAATGATCAAACGAACAGGCCCTTACTCATAACCGCAGCCTTTATGTAGATTATAGAGTCTTAGTGAATACCTTTGTCAAACTTCCCAATGGCTATACCGTTAGGATAGAGGGCATAGGTTTCATTCAGCTCACTGATGCTATCTCTCTGCATAATGTGCTTTTTATTCCTGAGTTTAAATTGAATCTTATCAGTGTTAGTGTTTTGACCAAAACGTTGCATTTCATGGTTAGTTTCACATCTGATGATTGGGTTATTCAGGATCTTACATGGGAGTTGATGATTGGTCAAGGTAGTCAAGTCGGGAATTTATACATCTTGGATTTCAATAAATCTGATCATACTGTTGGTTTGAAAGGTATTCCTGAATATGTTTGTTTTCCTTTGCCAGTTTGTTCAAGTGTCATTGTTTGATACTAATACTTGGCATAAGAGATTATGTCATCCTTCTCAATCTAAAGTTGATTTATTTTCTGATGTTTTGCTTTTAAAGTCTTCAAAAATGAATAAAACTTCTCATGTTTATCATATTTGTCATTAATCAAAGGAATAAAACTTCTCATGTTTATCATATTTGTCATTAATCAAAGCAAAAATGTCTTCCTTTTAAGTCTCGTCATAACATCTGCACTTCATCATTTGAATTGGTTCATATTGATACATGGGGTCCTTTTTCTGTTCCCACGGTTGATGGTTTTAAATATTTCTTGACTATCGTTGATGATTATAGCCATGCGACTTGGCTCTACTTGATGAAATCAAAATCTGATGTTTTGCATATTTTTCCCGGTTTTATTTCTATAGTTGAGACTCAATATAATACTAAAATTAAATCTGTTCGTTCTGATAATGCTCATGAACTGAAATTTACTGCATTATTTTCTGAAAAAGGCATTGTCTCTTATCATTCTTGTCCTGAAACTCCTGAACAAAACTCGGTTGTAAAGAGAAAGCATCAGCATATCTTAAATGTAGCTAGAGCCCTCTTATTCCAATCCAATGTTCCTTTAGAGTTTTGGGGAGATTGTGTCTTAACCGCTGTCTTTTTAATCAACCGCTTGCCTAGTCCAGTCCTTGATAACAAATCCCCTTTCGAGAAGTTGACTAGCAAAGCTCCTGATTATCAGTCTTTGAAAACCTTTGGTTGTTTATGTTATAGTTCTACTTCTCTTAAGAATAGACATAAGTTTGACCCTAGAGCTAGGGCCTGTATCTTCTTAGGTATTCTACCGGTTTCAAAGGTTATTAGCTACTTCCTCTGTTTCAGTTTATAAGGGGTTTTAGGAAAAAAAAATTTGTTGCAGAATATTTGTCTCTCACAATAATCTAGACTAAAGGTCCAAATGGTAACTGCTGAATGTTGCTGAATGCGGAATCTGGCTGAATAAAATGAAGACTTTTTGCGGAATCTGGCTGAATAATTAGTAATATGAATGGTAACAGCTGAATGTTGCTGAATGCAGAATAAATAATTTGTAATAAAATAATAAAAACAAATACTAGTGAAATATCTAAATAATTATTAAATAAAATAAATTATTCAAAATATATCACAAATTTTAAAATTTGGATTCATAAAAATTTATTAAACATCAAAATTAAATATATATATATACATATATATATATACATTTTAAAAATATAATCAATTCAATAATGAAAACCATTTCATATTTGCTACTTAATTCTTACATTCTTGTATAAATTTTATGTGCTATAATAATCTAAAATTCGTTACTAGATCTTATTATAATAGAGTTTATTTAAAACTAAAATATATACTATTTAATATATCATATCATATCTGGATATACTCTTCTAAAATTGAAAAAAAAAATATGGATCTGAATTCTTAATTTGATTTTTCAGATCCTTAATCTTATTATTAAGATTTGATTCAAAACATTCCAAATATCAAAATAAAGAAAGACGAAATAGCTTACTACTCATTTATTTGAATTTGTAAACAATTTAAATTATTTTAATTGTTATAATCATAAAGTTTTAATGTCATTTTTGATTTTGTCATATTAATTAAATACATTAAAGTGAAATAATAATAGAAAAAAGAATTAAAAAAATTATCTAACAATTCCTCAAGATTCCTTAGCATTCTTCAGTGTATCAACTGGTAAACTAAAAGAACAATTCCTCAACATTCCACACAATTTCTCAAACTTCATGTTACCAGTTAGGCCCTAAAATTGCCACTACTTCACATTTTTACCCTTCTCTTATTAAATATAATTTTGGTCAAAAGCTCAAAACCCAAAACCACTTAAATGCTTCTAGTTCCTATTTTCAATTTTCCATTGTATATTCACGAGAGATGTTTAATATTCTCCCACCCAATTCCTTATAAAATCAATTCAAAGATTCATTTCCAGTCCAAAATAATGTCCAAAAAATGAATAAAAAAAAACAACGACATAGTGGAAAAAGAAAGCAGCAAGGTTGTAATGAAACAAGAAGAAACCAAGGATGTTCAGCTCATTAAGAATACGTCAATGGTGAAATCGAAAATTTTCTTAGTTTGGCTCCATTCTCAAATTTAAATTTTCGTTCTACCACGTAAAAAAAAATCAGTTTCGCATCACTATGTTAAAAACGTTTTAGTTTCACCACCTAAAATCAGTTTCCCTCCACTACGGCCTGACTGGTTTAACCGCTGCGGTTGCGGTTGCGGTTTGCGGGAGTTTGCGGAAGCGGGAGTTTGCGATTAAAAGCTGTTTGTACGACTGGTATAGCAATTCATAGCGGTTGCGTTTGCGGGATATTTTTGACTGGTTAGCCAGCGGGTGCAAGAGCGGTTTAACCAAAAGTTACTAAAATAAAAATAATATATAATTATTCAAAACATTTATAACCATATTAATAATTTTTTTTTAAATATATTTTTTGATGAATTTTTAATTTGAAAACTACCCTTTTTTTTTGGTTTTGAAAAATACACTTTTTATATGTAAAATGATTATTCCTAATTTAATAAAAACGAAATTCAAATAAGAAATATAAAATATTAATATTTGATAATAATTTTGTATCATTTTAACATCCTAATTACCTGTTTAGTTTTTTTTTAAACAATTTAATAAAAATATAAGATTGTTTATATAAAGTTTAAATGGGGTGAGATTAAAGTTGTTTATGCAAAGTTTCAAAAATATTTAAATTTTTCAAAAGATAAACATTAAAAATGAAAGATATATTTCTCCACTTTTAAATTTTTAATAATTTATAAACTTTAAATATATGTAAAGTTTTAATTTATTTAAAGTTTCATTTGGTTTGAATGTGTATGAGGTTAAGTTGTTTATATAAAGATCCAAAATATTAAAATTTGTTTCAGTTTAACATATACTATATTTATTTGAAAAAAAACTTATTAGTTTATTATTTTTTTAATTTTCGTTTATAATTTGTAATTATTTATTATTTTTTTGTTTAAATCACGTCAAAACATACTTTTTACATTTTAAAAGTGTATTTTTCAAAACAGAAAAAATTTAGGGTATTTTCGAAATTTTTAAACATAATTATGGTATTTTTCAAAAAAATATACCCTTATTCCAAATTTGGAGATATTATGTTTTTTTTTTTTTTTTTTCAAACCGCAACCGCCCGCAACCGCAAACGCTTGCGGAAAGGAGCTTTTGATTTCAGCGATATAGAGCGGTACAGAGTGGTATAGAGCGGTTGAAAGCGGTTGTCGTGATTGTTATAAAACGCTAAGAACCGCTACGAACCGCAAACGCTGCGTTTGCGGGTGGTAGCGGGAGAACCAATCATCACCTACGTTAAAAACGTTTCAGCTTCGAATGTTAATTGCACCATCTAAACCAATAAAATATGATTGGCTTTTTAAGTGGGACCCATAATCTCAATTAATGCTACACAAAATATTTAATTTAGAGGAAACTTTTTAGTGGTATAATATTGAAATAAGTAACAGAAGATGAGGTTAGAAGAGGTATTTTACTTACTTCCTTAAATATTGTCAGAAAACCTAAAACCCATTATAAACTGAAACAGATGGAGTATTAGATATGGAGACACACGCCGTTTCTATTTCGAGACATGTCGTTTTCCATGAGGATATTTTTCCTCTGGTTTCTTCCACTATCTCGGATGATTCCAGAGCTTTCTTTCCTCATCTTCATAATCCTACACCTTCTGATGATCCTTTGCCTCTTGTGCAATCATCTTCTGATGCGCATCATCCTTGTGATGTGTCATCCTCCGAGGTTTTGCTTCCTTCTGAAACTAAACCTCACAGACAAAAGAAAACCCCTAAACACTTGCAGGACTTTCATTGCTATAATACTACTAGTACTATTTTATATCCCATGATCAATTATGTTTCTTATTCTCTATTATCTGAGCCTTATTTTTCCTTCATTCATACTATCACTATTACATTTGTACCCAAAAAGTATTCAGATGCTAAGGCTTATGAGGTGTGGTGTGATTCAATGAAACTTGAGATTGACGCTATAGTAAAGACTCGTACCTGGAGTATCCTGAGTTTGCCACCTAATAAAAAGGCAATTGGTTCAAAATGGGTGTTTTACGATTAAGTTTCACTCTGATGGTAGTTTGGAAAGGCATAAATCCCGTTTGGTTGCTAAGGGTTATACGCAACAGGAAGGTTTGGATTATGAGGAAACGTTTTCTCCTGTTGCCAAATTTACCTTTGTGAGAATGCTTCTATTGCTTGCTGCGAAGTTGAATTGGTTTATTGGTCAGGTTGATATCTCAAATGCGTTTCTTAATGGAGATTTGACTGAGGAGATCTACATGAAATTGCCTCCTGGCTATGCTGAACTCACTGGTGAACCTCTTCCTCCTAATGCCGTGTGTCGTCTTCATAAGTCTATCTATGGACTCAAGCAGGCCTCTTGACAGTGGTATCTTATCTACGTTGATGACATCATGATTATCAATAACAGTGAGTCTTCTGTTCATGATTTCATTGATGCTCTTTCTTCTTGCTTCAAGCTTCGGGATCTTGGTGAAGCTAAGTATTTCCTTGGTTTGGAAATCGCTCGTTCTTTTCAAGGGATCTCGGTTTGTCAGCGGAAGTATGTATTGGAGTTGCTCGAGGTCACTGGCTTCCTCGGTTGTAAGCCTTCTTCTGTGCCTCTGGATCCAGGTGTGAAGTTGACGAAAGACGCAGGCACTCCCTTGACTGATCCCACTTCTTATCGCAAGATTGTTGGCAAGTTGATGTACCTCCATACCACTAGACCTGACATCTCCTATTCGGTGAACACTTTGTGTCAATTCTCTCATGATCCTCGTGATGTTCATCTCAAAGCGGCTCACAAGGTTTTGCGTTATTTGAAAGGATCCGTTGGTCAGGGTCTCTTTTATGCCGCTGATTCCTCCTTTGATCTCCATGGTTATACTGATTCTGACTGGGGCACCAGTACTGATGATCGCAAATCCATCTCTGGTTATTGCATGTTTATTGGTGACTCTTTAGTCTCTTGGAAATCGAAGAAATAGGACACTGTCTCTTGTAGCTCTGCTGAGGCTGAATTCCGTGCTATGTGGTTTGGCACTAAGGAGTTGATTTGGCTGTCACACTTGCTCGTTGATCTCAAGGTTCCTTTCACTCCTCCTGCTTACCTTTATTGTGACAATGATGCAGCTATTTACATTGCCAATAACTCTGTCTATCATGAACGCACCAAACATGTTGACATTGATTGCTACAAGTTTCGTGAAAACATTGATTCTGGCTTCCTGAAGACCATGTTTGTTGCTTCTCAAGATCAGTTGGCTGATTGCCTCACGAAGCCGTTGCACCCTACGTTGTTCCATAGCTTGATTCGCAAGATGGAAGTTTGCAACATTTTTTAACCTCCATCTTGAGGGGGGGGGTATTTAGCCGTTGTACATTTAGATAGGTTTATTTCGGTTTAGTATCCGATTCAATAATAACCATTTGTGGTTTAGTTCAATTGTGTATAAGTAGCTTGTATTAATCTTTTAGCTCATTAATGAAGATTATCTTAAACTTTATCTCTTTCTCTCTCAAGATCAAATAGCTAATAAGCCTCCTCCGCCTAGCCAATTCGACTCTGCTCTCCTAAAACGATCCTTTGAATTTGTAGAAATTTCACAATCTTTGGGATACAGATCTCTGAGATTGGGAAATCTCAAGGAATCCAAAGTTGGGTTCATTGGTTCTCAGCTACATGGCAGATGAGTAAGGGTTTCTAGTTCTCTCTTCTTTTTCGATTCTTACTATAATCTTATTGAGATTTCCATCTCCTTGTTTTCGTTTCCTCTTCTTATTCTTCTTCGTTTTGTGTTGGTTGTTCTTTAATATGTTCCCTAACTACAGCTATGGTTATTGGTGAAGGATGACATGTTGTGTGACAATTTCTTTTATAACATTGATCTTGATGTGCCTGAAGTGTTTCGTTTTTAATAATACTAGGTAAATACCCACGCTTCGCTGCGGGAGAATGCCATTTAATTTTTCTGAAGTTTGAATTAATTTAATTAAAGATATTATTTAACTTTTTCTATTAAATTAAAATGGTTTAATGGTGTTATTGATACCTGAGGGACCTTTATATTCATGTGATTATATTTTAAATTATAAAAATAACCATTTAGATTATAATTACAGGATCTTGACCATATCCAAACTTTATCAATTAATATTCAATTTTTATTTTACGAATAAATTTTAAATAATAATTTTTTCTTTACCCACTAATACTTGATCCTAAACCCGCAACATTTAGACTTTGATAGTATTAAAATTACTTTTTTAATTATAGAAAAAGGAAAGTAAAGCATTTCATTAGGAGTTTAATTTTTATTCATAGAAAAGAGAAACCTAAATGCATCAACTCGAAGTAAACCGAATTTTCCCCTTGCAACTTTTTTTCAGATTCTCTTCTTTTAACATAATTATTAGGTTCTAGAAATATTAAGATATATATTATGCCACTTAAAATAAAAATAAGATCTCTTGAAAATTTCTGTAACTCTTTTTTATTCTTTTAGCATATCTTCTTCAACATTTGTTTTTCTCATCTCAGTCAATTATTCTTTATAACAACAATTCATAATCCCTATCAATATTAATCACCCCCTTTTTATTCTTTTAGCAGTAATCGATAACTCTCCCCACTGTCTTAATCGCATTCCATCCTTTAGCAACGTAATTATCGCCTCCTTGTTCTTGTTGTGTATTCCTCTCTGACCAAACCATAAACATCAAATCACGGTTCCAATACAAGATTCATTTCCAATAGAAATTCACAAAAGAAAAATGTCATACTTGCTGATTGAATCCATGAAGACGACAAGCGAACTTCGAACGTAATTCCGACACGGCGGTCGTAATTCCGACACGGCGGTGGAAACTTACTGGAGAATCAGGCAACGAAGCATCATATTCATATAAATTATTTAGCTGGAGAGAAGAAACGGTGAAGAAGAAGGAGATGATGATACACGATAACACGACAAACAAAATGGCTTAGTCTTAAATATGATTAGGCTTACATTTGATCCCTCAAAAGCCCATAGGCCCAAATAGTCTTATCTCCGACTCCGGTCGTATCATTTCTTCGTTCACCGCCGTCAAACCAAACACCGCACAACTTTCTTCGGTCGTAGATTCTGCTCCTCTTCATGCTCTTTTGATGTTTACAAAGAGAGCTTTGTTTTCCCAAAGCTAATCATGCTTACTCCTTATCCAGCGAATGTCATTTTTCGTTTGAAACGGTCAATTAAATCCACAAATTTCTGAGTAATCTCTCCACAGCAGTTTAAAGCTTGTGATTGCAGTGGAGGAGAATAACAGAGAGAGAAGGAGGATCAATTGTAGCGGAGGAGAAATAGAATGTCGGGAGAGTAGATCTGATTTTGTTTATGTTTTGAGCTGACGTGGTTAAGAATTTAGCTGACTGGTATTAACTCAAATGTTTCCATTGGCTAGTTGTTTTTAATGATGTGTCACTCTCAGAAACCTTCAAAAATCCTATGTGTCATCACCTGGAGAGGCATAGGGTTTTTTGCTGTGTTGATTGATTTTCTCACATGTTCTTTTGCTAATTTGTTATGGTGTGAGGATTTCTCGATATCTTACTAGTATGAATATTCCCTGTTTGTTCATTAATCATGGGTCATTATGCAGTCTGCGTTTGTTTCTCTTTTTATTTGCTTTTGCCATGTGTTACGTTTCTCATTGTGAGTTTCCTTTCAAAACAGGTAAGGTATGTTTCGTTACATGAAGCATATATTTTCACACCCTACAAAACATAATTGATTCTTATATTAGAATTGTAAGCATGTATTAAACCCACGAATGATGACGTTTACTTACCTTTCTTCTGCTAGGATCAGCTCCAATGTTGTACCTGACCCGCACTTGTATTTCACTATTTCTTCCAAGAATGAAGAACATTAACTTGGATTTTCAACCATGTTTTAAAAGGCGTCACATCCATCATTAAGGTATTTGAAAGGAGAAGGAGTAGCACCTATTTTGCTTATATGTTTTTCTTTCTTTCTTTCTTTCTGAATGATAAATCCACGTGTTGTATCTTAGGCTTCGGGTCGGGTTTGTTAATTTTGTTGTTAATTTTGGTTTTAATGCTGTTTGGAAACAGGGATAGGGTCTTTTGTATGGTTGTTTTCTTATTTTGTTCCTCTACTTTAATATTATTGTAGATTTTATTTATATGATAAAGTCATAAAACAAAGAAAATATACTACTAGATGCTACAAATTGGGAAGAAAATCAAATACAATAGTAGGACTACATAAAGACTAGGAGAGTATCCGCGCAATGCGCGGGATTATATTAGTATAATTTTTTAAAATATTCTTTTATTCCAATAAAAACATGAATAAAAAAAATTATATTTATAATATAATCAGTAACACTATTTTACCTTTGTTGGTCATAGTTTTGTCATATATAATTTGTTTAAAACATTGCCAATTAAGAGGTTCTTTTTTTGCTATTAATACTTTGGGAGGTTCAAGTTGGATTTGTATATGGTTTATTGTTTTAATGTCAATATCATGGTGATCGAAGTGTGATTTATCTATCCCCTACACTTATGTTTAATCATATGCCAAATGATTGAGATCAAGTTTCTGACAAAGCTTACAAACCAATGGGGCAAGCTGAGATGCATATGCTGATTAATACAAATTGGCTTTTAGACTCACTAACTACTTTTTCTAATAAATTGTATACTATTTGAGTATTTGTTGATATTTTTAGTTGTTTGTTTCCTTGAGTTTTGTATGTATGATAGATTTGTTACTATTTTTTTGCTATAGTAGAAAATAATGTAACCAATACAAAAGCATAGCTAAAGCAAAATTTAAGTCTGGATGTGCCTACATTCTTAATTGAGAAAATACGGACAAAAGAAAGTAGTAGTTTTATAAGATTATAAAATAATTGTAAAACGGAATAGAGTGAATACATAAATCCACATTCCTAAGAAAACACAAGACAATGTTTTTGGGCAGCTACCTATATACAGAAAGAAAGCTAATCTTAAAGTCATTAAAGGTATTTGACATTGCAATGAATGATTTAATAAAGGCATCAACATAGTTCGATATCAAACCACATTTAGACCAAAAATGAAAAGAACACATTTGACAAAAAAAGAAACAAACAAAATGAACACATACACCATCATCTTTTGGCATCTGTCGACATCACTCATCGAATCACGCAAATGAGTCTTGCTAATACCTTCAACATGGCCCTGTGAGAGTGTTCAAAAACTCTGAACAGTTCAAAAATTTACATCTCATACCATTGACAAACTAAGATAGAGAAAATCATTAAAAGACTATACCTTCGATTCCTCCCACGCCTCGGTTTCACAAATCAGAGCCCTTGATGACGCCATACTGGTAATCAAACATCAACACAAAACACAATTAACTGTCAAATATAAACGAATTTCGTTCATTATGCAGCTATGATTATAGGAAAGTTTTCATATTATATACCGCTCATAGTTCGATATTATGCACCGAAGCCAAAACACTCAAAGCTGCTTTCAAAACATCTTGAGAGCAATCCGGTTTTACTATCGTCCTCACCTGACAATTACAGTAGCAATATATCAACAAAACTGTGGCCTTGCCAATTCCATAACATAATAAAAAAGATGAAAAAAATGTGGAACCTGATCGAGAAGCTCCTGCAGTTCCTTGATTCTCCCCATGTAATCCTGCTCTTCTACACACAGACTTGAGCAAACCCTCATTTGTAATCCTCGCTGCACCGAGTGTGAGCTGAAGCAAAAAACACAACATACAGAATGCTCAGTTCTGTTCTCTTCTATCCTCGTAGTGATGCACAACCTGAAGTCTCGTATTTGCTTCCCCACCTGTGAATTTCCAGTGCCCCATATCAAAAACATACCAAAGGGATTTGGTTTCTTAGAGAAAACTCAGTTGGAAAGAAAGTTTGAGAGTTGGGTTTATCATCACTTGAACAGACCTGTTTTCTTCAGTTTCAGGGATGTGAAGCTCAATATCATCCTCTAAGGGCTTAAACACCAGGTTGATTTTCTCGTCATCAACCTCATCTAACGTCGCTGGATTCCACTGCACCATAGAAGTTCACAAAAAATGTTAGACACGATCTCGCTTCTAAGTAAGACACATATTTTGCATTTTAGAGCGTAAAAACAAACCTTTGGAGAATTGTCTTTGTCTATGGTCAGAGCTCTTATACCCTGTGTGTTATGAACATGATGCTACCATTTTCTTGATAAAAAGCAAAACAAGAAATGGATCTCAAATTTTGCATCTGTTATTATTCTTTACCTCATACACGTCAGGGGATATGGTGTTCCTCAAGATATTCACAGTGAGCCGAAACTCCTTCTTGAGGCAATCACTTAGCGTTTGTTTTCTACCTTCACGGATCTGTAAGAAGATTTAACATCACTACAAGGATATTTTGAGCGTAGGCGCAGATCACAGCAAACATATGACAGAATAGAGTCATATTTCACAGGAAGAACATACCGAGTGTAGGGTTATGTTCAACCCTGTGGGTGAGGATCGTTTTAATCCTTTGATGACTGGAGCTATCCACTCATTTCCTTCTTTGCTACCTTCAGCTTCCTGTAAGAGCACCACAAATACTTCACATACCTATGAAGAAACCAGGGGAAGGACTTGACTTGTGTTCCAAGAAAATCGGATGACTTACGAATGCTTGTATGATCTGCTTCACACTTTCTTTTGAGAAACACTCGTTGATTATTGACTGCCTGCAGACATCAGCCATATCCACAAAGTTAAAATAGCATGAAAAAAAGGCAAATATAATGTAACAGAAAAAGGAGTGTTACTTGTTGTTGAGAATGCTGTCTTCGTTGAGGTTGATTTTCTCGGAGAACTCTTCAATTGTGGATCGGACTACCTCTGCGTCTCCTGAGTCTAAATTCACAAGCCGTGCCTCCAGATCAGCCAGTTTCTGGCAGTAAAGAAAATATGTGAATGATATGCATTTTACTCAAATTTTCTAGCACAACATGAGTAGAATCTTTCTGCAGGCAAGCTTGAGGATACTATTTAGAGATTCGAAAGCATTGCTAAAGTTGCAGATATAAATAATGAAAACAGCTCAAAGACTCACAGCAGAAGGTACAAAATGTGTTGCCATTCCAGTTGCTACAAGTTCTTTGCCGTTCAATCTTGCCCCAGTTAAAGCCAAGAATTCTCCTGAAAGTGTTATATACATTAGAGAGATGCGCCAATGCTTAGGTTGGAATCAATATTTAGTTTTTTAAACGGTTTAGAAGTCACCTAAATGACCAGGAAGACGTGAATGAATGTAAGAGAATCCACAATCAGTGTGAAACCCAATACTTGCTTCTGGCGTTGCAAAAACCTATCAAACGACACATATATAGTTGGGTTCTACACCAGCATTATACAGATACACAAAATGAAGCAGATTAAACTCCTGAGTACTCACAGTTTTCTCAGTCACAACAGAGAACTTCATTGGGACCTTCAACGAAGCACCTCCACCCATCGATATACCGTTAACAAGAGAAACCTATACGAAATTATACATTCAGTCAACACTCCTCAAGAGAATGGAATGTGGAACACTAAGTAATAAAAAAAGGCACCTGTGTCTAACCTTAGAAATCGATTGAGAGGTGTCCAATTGCGTCGATTTTGAGATGGCGAGGGTTGGCCAGGAGAAGCAATTGCGTTCGTGAGGAGAGAGGATGGGGGTTCGCAAAAGTTTTGGGGTTTCTGAACAGATTTGGAGATGAGAGAAATGGGAAATGTGGGCAATCGAAGGGGCGTAACCGCGTAACCGTCGGATTTAATGGCGGAGGAAGTAGCCCGATCTCGGCGGAGACGTCGAGGAAAAGAAATTGGGCGAATAATTTATGGGAAAAAAAAGCCTAAACGACGTCGTTTCATATAATTTAACGACGTCGTTTTGGTGTTCGACGGGGAAAAAATGTTTGAGAACACCAAAACGACGTCGTTTTGGCGTTTGGAAGGAAAAAAAAAAAGGTGCCACGTGTCCCGAACAGGAGAGTGTTATGTAGATTTTAGTTCAAAAAAGGAAAAGAAAGAAAGAAGAAAAACAGCATATATTGGGCTGGGCCTAATTAATAATATTAAACCAACACTCACTCAACCGACCCGCCTAACAATCCAATTGCTTGCGGTATTCATCTGACTCCTCCTCAATGCCTTCTCCTTCTCTAAACTCAGCCTTCTTGTTCACTGAAATTAGGGTTTAAGGTTTTTGAATCCCGTTTTCTCTAACTCGTTATTTTGAATTTCGTTTCTCTGATTCGATTATCACACCGCTCCGCCTCTGGTTAATAGCGAAGAATTTTCTGTTTATGTGAGAGATCGTTCGAGAACCCGAGTACTTCTCCCGCAATGGCGGCCAATGCTCCACCTGAGCCGGCTTCGGGAAACTCTTGCTGCCTCGCGGTAAGTATTTTTTTTCCTTAATAGTCGATTATGGTGTTTTCTTTGCTTTTCTCAATAGAATATTTCGTTTAATCCCTTTCGAATGCATTTCAGTGGCAAGGGAAGTACGTAGCCATGAAGAAGAGGCGGGACTATTGTAAAGAAGCCATAGACATTCTCCAGAAGGCCATTGGAGTCGCTAATGCTGAGAAAGCCAATCTCGAGAAAAGTAAGTGGATTACTATATATTGATAGAGCTATTGATTACTTCTGAATTGAACTTAGAAACGGTGTTAGTGGGAGAAGAATTGGTGAACGCTGTGAAAAAAAGATTATATTTTGATCCTTTTTGATGTGTTGTGATTCTGTTTGTGCCCTTTATACATAAGAGAAGATTATCGTTGCGTGGCACATGTCTTTGATTTGGATTAATTCTTCACCAGATGATGATTTTCTTGCGATAACAATTGAACGATCTAGCTTGATATGTCTTATATGCTTTAAGACTTGGCTGTGTGCTGCGTTGAGTGGAAATTTGTTGTCATTACTATTGTTCTCAATCTTTTTGTCATTTTTGACTCTTCATTGCTTACTTCTATCTATGTATTGCAGAACTTGGGGATATGGCGGCTGACAGAGACTCGAAGGGAAATGACTCAGTGGTAAAAGCATCTTTGGAGAAAGAAATCTCTGGTTTGAAGTCTGAGCTATTGTCTTTGGAGCACAACCTCAAAGAAAAAAGTGGAGAAACAAAGATTCTTAAGGATCGAGCTTCTAGTAGAGAAAGGGAGATTTGTAAACTGAAGGACCTCCTTAAGAAAGAAAGATCAAGGGCAGATAATTCTGAAGAAGAGAGGAAAAAGGTCTGGAAAGAATTGAACAAGACAAAGGCTCTGATAGTAAAAGATGAGGATGTCAAGCCACACGTTCCTGAAATGAACAAGGAAATAAGTCTGGTTAGAAATCTTCTTGCAAGCGAGAGGAAGAACACTGAGTCAGAGAGGGAGAAAGCAGAATCAGAGAAAAAGAAAGCTGATCAGTATCTTTGTGAGTTGGAGGGTTTAAGAACTACAGCTCGCAAGACTAGTTCAGATTTGCCTACTTTGACCTCCAATCTTGAGACTGTGAAAAAGCAGCTTGAGTTTGAAAAACAAATGACAGTGAAAGAGAGAAAACGTGCAGATATGGAGAGTGCGAAAGCTAGGGAACAGATAAATCTGGCAGAAGATTTGTCTAAGAAGATAGAAACCATTAGAGCTAGAAATGAAGAGCTCAAGAAAGAAGCGGAAAACTCGGCAGAACTGGAAGAGAAGATAAGGCTCCTTGAGATGAATGAGAAAGCAGCCACGGACTGGAAATTTCGTGCTGATGATCTGACTCGGCAGTTACGAGAAGCACAGCTAGTGACTGAGGGTTTGAAAAAACAGTTGCATGAACTTTCACTCTCCCAGAAATCCCCCAAGACTCGCTCTGTTTCTCCTCATGAAGCCAGAGATCTGGAAAAGGCTAAAGTGAGGCTTTTGGAAAAAGAGCTCAAGTTTGCGAGGAAATGTGCAAAACAATCCGACAAAGTGGCTGAGTTTGAAAATTTCCGAAGGGAATTTCAGGCGGCAGAGCAAGGTCGGTTAAAACTGGAGTTTGGTAGTCTTTCTTATCGCAAAAATCTACTGAGTGAGTATTTTTCAAGAGGCGTTGAAGGTACATCTGGTCTTGCAAAGGTTTGTCGATGCCATAAATTTCTTACTCTCTGCTTTCTTCTCATTTTTAATTTAATTTTTTTGCCATAGACGTGTTCTCACATTTGATACTTTCTTTGTTGCTGGGTTTGGAACATTAGGTTACATGGTGGATAATAAAAATCATGACGTTTATATCTGTCTCCCTGTGAGAATATCCTATATAGTAACATGGATTATTGCACAACATAATATCGCTTCTGTTAAGATAATTTCTAATCCTCAATAGGCTACTTACGTTTCATTTGATTCATTTGCAGGCAGAGGACTGCATCAAACTGGAGATGCCACAATCCCCGAAGAACCGTAATGGTGAAATGCATCCTGACGCAAGATGCCATTTGGTAGCTAGCTCTGGTTCTCAGGACCAGGTTCACAAGTTTCCTGCCCAGTTAATTCCTAGACCTGGACGGGGCGTGAGTGAGTCTGACTCAGGTACTGTTACTCAATTGGAGTCTCCTACTGGAGGCTCTTTAAAATTACAGACTTCTGGAGTAATTTCCAGCGAAACATCTTATTCTGATGGGCAGTTACTGGCCTCACAGGGAAGAAAGCAGTTATCCGTTATTACTTCAGCAGAAAAAGCAAAAGATGAAGCGAAAATCCAACAAGCAAAAGCAAGTATTTTCCAGAAGATCGAGACCAGGAAAAACGCAAATCTTTGTTTGGTGGCTGAAAACTCTCTAAAAAGGAAAAGAATGCCAGAGGCAGTTGAGTCCCGTAAGCAACGGTCATCTGATGATAAAAAGAAACAATTACAGACTGGAGAGAAGCGGGGCACCTTGCAGTCTATGGTAGTAGAAACTGGGTATAAGCCTTCAGAAGAGAAAAGAATCTTGGTCCCTGATATGCAAGGTGGCTCCTCTGCAAAGTGCATTACGATTTCCAAGAAAAGAAGGGTTTCTTCTTGTCAGAAGAAGACAATTATTGAGAATTCAGCCAAGGCAGGTAACAAAGCTGGAAATACACACGTAGCTCGGAAAACTATGTGCCTCTCAACTGCTAAAGGACATGATGCGGCAACATCATTTCTGGAGGACCTTGGTGATACAGATTGTATGAAGTTGTTGGAGTTCGATAACCGGGAAGAAGAAAGTTGTTACAGGATGGCAAGAGAGTCCCTTATGTCCCCGTATCTTCCTCAGATAGACTTTTTGGGTGGTGAACTCGTGAATGAGGACAAAAACCCTGCTAGGGCTCGTGACGTGGTTGGTAGTAATAGCGTGGATTTATGGGACATGATAAATTCTAGTGCAGCTCCTAGTCTCGACACTCAGAATGCTTCAGTGACAGCCAAAATGCCACCTGAGTCAACAACGTTGGATAGTCATATTCTGAAACACTTGGTTGTGTTTTCAAATATTGAAGACCAGAATAGTATCATCAAAATGTTTCATGCTGCAAACAATTGTGTTCAGCGATGCCCATCTGTTACTAGAGCACAGTGGGCAGTACCCGCTATTCTGTTCTCCTTGAAAATGGAAGAAGAAAACCTTTTAGCCCAGTAAGTTATTCTGCTCTCTGATGCTATTTTAATACACAATGCTGATATATATTATTACCTTTTTTAACTCTATCAGTAAACTAAAGGGTGTGCGTGTTTTTTTTGTTTCAGGGAAAGGGTATGCGTGTTCCTCTCATTGCTGCTACATAACTTCTCTGTGGTTTCCTCGATGAAAACTGGGAACACTCTAAATGATGATTCTTGGTCCTGCTTGGATTCTTACTCAAAGCATATATATGGTGGTATGTCCCAAAACCAATTTCCTTTTCTTTTTCTTCTTAACCCCCAAGTATTGAATCTACCTATGATTCGATGTTTTAATTTATTGAATATGGATTTTTCTTTGTGCAGCTATTGCTGATATTGAAGTTGGAGGTATGCTCTCTGGATTTTTGGAAGAACTCCTTAGTCTTCTTCAGGACCTCCTTTCCGAGCAGAGGGTATATTTCTCTGTTAATTCCTCAGAAACATCTGAATCTGATTTAAGCATCAACGGAGAAAATGTAGCTCTCTCCAGCAGAGTCGCTCTGTTTGATCATTTGGTGGCTGGAAGTGCTATTTTGGCGGCAATATGTAGTGCAGTGAATCGTGTTGGAATTATCCGTGAAACATCCTTTGAGATCCTGCACAAGAACATTCATGAGAAGACCTCAGTGCCACTGACCATTCTTCACGTTTTTGCTTACATTTCCGGAGAGGAAATGATGTTCTCTGGTGTTCATGACATATCAGTTGCAGTGTTGAAATCCATTGTTACCTTCCTAGAGAAGAGACATTTTGGCGCTAAGTTGCACCCAGGAAAGAACAAGTGTCCGTTCTCAGACGGGTCTTCCTCGCTGGAGTCTATCGCATCTAATCTCATGGAAATTCTTCAGGAATTTACACAGTCTAATACTTTGCATCAGAGCTTAACCGAGTTTAGGCCAGCACACAGAGATTTCCAGTGCGTATTGGCAAGGGATCAAAGTGTTACGTTATGTGACATTCTGTCACTGGTGGAGCTTATTGCTTGTTACACGGTATGTAGTTTTTCAAGAGCATTTCCAACTTTAAATTTCTGCTGTCTATTGAACCAAACTGATGTTATACATAAAATGCAGGCATGGGATTGGACTAGTGCGAACATTGTTGCTCCACTGCTTAAGTTGCTGGGAATGCCATTGCCAGTAAATAATCATGTTGCAGTCGTCTCTCTTCTTGGGCAACTTAGCAGGTATTTTTGTCTCTTTTTGCAGAAGGACTAATCTGATGCTAATACTATCCTAAATCTCCTCTCTCTTTTTGTTGGATTTTACAGTATTGGTGTGGATGCTTGTGGCTATGAAAATGAAGGAATCTCAAACTTGCGAGAGAAACTGACAGCATTTCTGCAGTGTGAGACGACGCTAAAAGCCGGTTTTGCTGTCCAGATAGCAACCGTGAGCTCCATCCTGAAGACGCTTCAGCTGAATTTCACTCAAGTCTTTCAAGGCAAAACCACCATGCTGCTTCCGGATTGTGGTGGTGACCAAAGCTTATCTGCTTCAGCCAATCTGGTTACCAAGTGGTTCTTGCTATTGAGCGACGAACAGCGAGCCTTCACATCTGACTTCTTACAAACCTCTTGTAGTTTATAGATGATTCCTCAGTTCAAAAAGTCATAGAAGCAGTAAAATTTTGGATATCCCCTCTCACTGTTGACTTATTTCTTTTGGTTCCAATATGCAGATACGAATGAAGATTGCATTGAGGTTCCATTTTAAAAGCAGTAAAATTTTGGTATGTCTCGTTTCGTTTGGATGTCTGATAAGCATATATATTTTTTTCCAAAGCAAAGTATAATATAATCTTCAAACAAAGATTGTTATGTCAAGACACAAAAACCCAATAAAAATGCTCCCTTTAACAAAACCCATGTCCATAATATATCTATTTTTATTTCTTTACTTAAAAGTTTAAACCCATCAATGAGACCAACGAAACTCCAAATCCATTCAACCAATCTTTGTCGGAATACTCTGTTCATGCCTGAAGAAATTCTCAGGATCAAACTCAGCTTTAATCTTGACCAACCTCTCGAAATTCCCCTTGAAATACTGACTCCCCCACTCTCTAACATCACTCTCTTCCTCATTCATCCCCAAATCAAGATCCCTGTAATTCACATACGCACGTCTCGGGTTCTTGGACACGTACTGCTCCATATAACCATACATCTCCCTAATCCACTTCATATGCCTCGCCTCGCTCGTTTTCCCGTCTGACCACGTCGTTAGCCACTGAATCTTGAACAAAGTCCCGTTCCTGTGAGGGAATGGTGTCTCTGACTCTGGAATCCTCGCCATCATTCCTCCGTAAGGGTTCCATATCGTTAACGGAGAGTCTTCTTCAAGAAGCTTCTTCCATAATCCTTCTAAGCCTTCCACAGGAATCGGCTCTTCCACAAAGTCTGACTTGGCCTTGAAGTGGTTCTTGAACAGTGATTTTCCAGCGAGTAAAGCTTCCGGCGCTGCGCTGCTTGGAAATCCGGCGATGTACATTACCGATTTGATCCAGCTCATTTCTGTGCAGTCCTTCTTGGTCAGTCCTAGCTCAGGGAAACTCTTCTGCATCACCTGTTTTATAAAAAAAGGGGTTGAAATTGTCAAATTGAAAAGTTTGTTAGTTTTGAGAGTTTTAATTTAGACCCCATAATCGTACCTGCATCAGCCGATTGGAGTCGCCGAGAAATTGGGCTTGGTACGAAGTCGAGATGGTTCGATTTCCGGTTTTGGTGGTTTTGCTAGCGGTCTGGATAATCACGCGAATGAAGAGATCTTCGTCGAGCTTGTCGGCGACTTGTTGCCATTTGTACAGAACGTTGGTTCCGTCTTGCTCGAGCGTCTTCGTGACTGTGAATACCGTAACGGTGGCCGGAACCGGTACGAGCTTGATCTTCCAGGCGAGAATCACCCCGAAGCTCCCGCCGCCACCGCCGCGAATCGCCCAGAAGACGTCTTCTCCCATCGCCGCGCGATCAAGGATCTTTCCGTCGGCGTCGACGATTCTCGCGTCGAGAACATTGTCAGCGCCGAGACCGAATTTACGCATCATGGAACCGTAGGCTCCGCCGACTAAGTGGCCGCCGATGCCAAGGCTGGAGCATAAACCCGCCGGAAAACCATGGGTTTGGCTTTTCTCTTGGATCCTTTTAAGCGGGAAAGAAAAACAAAACCGTTTAATTACCGGATCATTAGCTAAAGCTCAAACCGATGCTCGGTTTGCTTTTACTTTGGTTTGGTTTCAACAATTGGTTAAATAAAAACCGGTTCTCGACTATAATCTCAAAAATGAATAAATCGACGAATCGAAAAGTTTCTTCAAACAAACAAAATAAAATAAAATCTTCGTACATTTCTATTCGAAAATGAAAGCCTTACTTCACGTAACCGGCAATAAATTAGGTGAAAACTGAAAAATATAGCGAAACAACAATGAATTCTAAAGAAAAAGTAGCTTTCGAATAAACAAATTGAAGTTGATGTTGTTACAATGCTTTGTAACGAAAACAGGAAAGTTAAAAAAAAGTAATCCTTCAACCGACGTTTTTAGGGAATCAATCTACTAAAACAAAGCTAGAAAAGAAAACAATAGTAACCCCAAATGGCAATAGGCGATAGCAAAGAAAACGTAGCTACTTATTTTTATTTCTTTTTATAAAACCTATGTTTTGGCTGAAAACGTAAAAAACTTCAATACTATTTGCAAGGGAAAAGCTGCGAAATGAATCAATAATATTATCAAAACAAACTTTTTGCTTGTGAATCCTTTGGTAAAAAAAAAAAAAAAACTTTTTGCTTGTTTAATGAAATGTAAATTATCAAAGCATCACCCGTTTTAGTTACTATATTTTTTGGGGAAATTTCAAAACTACACCTCTTGATGTGTCAATTTTCAAAAATACACTTCTATGGTGCCAATTTTCAAAACTACACTTTTTTCATTGAGTAAAAGAACTCTAAACCCTAAAATATAAATCCAAAACCCTAAAATCTAACATTGAACCCGTAAATCTAAACCCTAAATCCCAAAATCTAAACCCTAATCTAGGAATAGTGAACCCAAACATATATATTAAAATTGGGGAAAGGTGTATTTTTGAAAATTTCCACACTATAGGTGTAGTTTTGAAAATTTGCACCTTAAGAGGTGTATTTCATAAAATTTCTCATATTTTTTTTTAAAATCAACATGATAAGAAATTATATAGCTTAGAAAAGCTCATGGGTCCGTAAATAACATAACCATGCGTAGGTGTTACCTGTAATAAACCTCTCCGATGGTAGCACCAGCGTGAGCCCACGCGCTGTTACTGTCCAAATCGACGTCGACCTGTCTAAGCTTCGACAGATCGACGATCACAAACGGAGTTTCGTTCTCGGCGACGAACGAGAGCCCTTCATAGTCGTGACCGCCGCTACGTAGCCGCAGGTGAAGCTGGAGCTTCTTGGCACACACAACGGCTGCTTGGACGTGCGTCTCGTACATGGGCTCGAATATGAACACAGGCTTGGGGTTGGACGGCGTCAAGTAACGGAGGTTCTGTGCCGTCGATTCAAGCTCTTCTTTGAACAGAGTAGCGTTTTGGTCCGGTGAGAAAAACGACGCCATTACCGGGAACGATATGTCGGAGTTGTCGACGAGGCACCTCATGAAATCTTGTTGTAGTGTGGAGAATGACAATGGAACGGAGACTAGTAGTAGCGTCATCAGAAACGCGATTGTGTTTCGCTTTGATATCGCAAACGCCATATTTTGTTACAAATGAGGTATTTGTTTTTGGTTGTTGAGGTATGTGTTTGGGCTTATATAGGAAGTTGATGTGTGTGTGAACTGTGAAAACTGTGAATGTCTTGCACGTAAAGTTGGTGTAATTATTACATCACGAATAAAATTTACATTATATTATAATCTTTTTCATTTAATTACTAAAACTGTATCAGCTACTATTTATTTGCTACGATTCTACCTCTGTAGTTTGACTACTTTGAAAAGGAATGCTTCTAGCTTGGAGTTTTATCTCTGAAGCATCTAACCAAATAATGTCTCGCCAACAATAAAAAAAATTAAAAAAAATAGAGAGAACTATTAGAATATGGAATTAATTAGGTCCTGGTTGTGCATTGTTTTTTACATCATTGCTACAATATAGAATACTTACATGTGTATATATTTTTGACATATTGCAATTGCTAAAACTGTATTCATTGTTATAACTGTATCTATATAATAGCTTGCCTGTATAAATCATGGTTTTCTATGAATTTATCATCCAAGTAATTTAAACAAAATATCTCGTCGGCCAAAAGAAAACAAATGATGTGTTCAAAACGCAAAAGTGAGTAACGAGACATATAAGGTTTTGTGTGTATTGTAAATGATTATGAAGTCATTGAAGTGTATAAGTAAAGGTTCTGAAGAAATGAATGTCGTTTGAAAGTAAGGAACAATTTGTGCCTTTAGGGATAAACAATTGCTAATACGCAATAATTTCGAAGATACCGACACCACTTTCTTTTCTAAACATCGACACCACTATCTTCAGTAATTGTAGCGTGAAGGTAAACACAATTTTTCTTGAATTGTAATATTATTTTTTTGAACAAAGGGTTTCTGAATTGTCAATTTTTGAAAGAATTACTGAGATAGTTAGTGGTGTGATTGATGGTATTGTGAACTTTGTAGCTTAAAAGCAACAAAGTGACATATTCTAAAAATTATGCATAACCATTTGTGACTCATACTTGAAGTCTCATTCTGTATCTACTTATATAGCATATATGTATAAAATACTTGCTTGTTTTATTCTAAATTTTATCAAGATCAAGAGTTGATTTCGCACACACAATTAAACTTGTACCGTTTGGCTTCGTTATTTAACTTAGGCTGTCTTTTTTGGTCTACTCTTTTAGACGAAATCTGCTTGCTTTAAAATAGGTTTAGAACTTTTTAATCTTTCTTTGATCCCACGTTGTTTAAATTCTCTGGCTAATTGTTTGGTCATATACAAGCGATAGAATTATGATGTGTATGTTTCGTTTGTACCTACTGTATGTTTTCCCGATCTTGACAACCAAGATGGATATATTATTTTTTATATATGTACTGTGAGGTTAACAAAGATAATGTACTTATAAACTATTATATTGTTAACACCGCTATATACATTTGGAAAAAATAGGTTAAGCAATGGGTTACTTGCATAATGTTATTGATAGTGACGAGCTCAAACGAATATGCTAATTCCATCTTTAACAATATGTAATAATACTAGGATTTAACCCACACAAATATGCTGGAAAACTGTTGTTTTTTGTTGATATAAAGGCATTTATGACATTGTTATTGTAATTCTGAAAGTTATAGTTCCCTATTCAAACCATTGAAAGAGGATGAAGAAAGTTATAAATCTTCATAAATAGAAAAGTAATTGATCACAAAGTTGAACTAATGTGTGTGAATATTGAACAGAATAATAGAGTTTAAAAAGGTGGAAACATTAGAATCCGGTACGAATAGCAAAGTGTTGATGGGGCAACATGATCCATTCATCTTGTGTTGTAGTGAAGATCTTGCTCCTCATACAATGCGATTGCAATTATGAGCGATGAAGTGTGCTTGGCAGTGTTAACTGTGTGATGGTGATTTCCTATGCTGAGACGTTATCATAAACATGTTACATCAAATGAGTTGTAAAAGTATTAGTAATGAGTTGGGCTATATATCTCCAATTAATGTAGAAAGGTTATTGTTTTCTTAGCCCTTACTTTTCCTTAAGTTCTTGCGCAATGGGAAAACGTGGATCAAATTCGAATCTTGAAATACCACCTCCATCAACAACATGATTCCATCCTATTCATTACGTAGGACACCATTATAACTAAAAAATGTATGGTTACATCAATTAAACAGTTGAATGCGATATATATACTCCTTACCTTTGCTGGAGATAGCTCTCTAATCTGTTAACCCACATACAATCACATCATTTGGGATTCTATGCTACAACTCATAGAAATCGGTAGCGATCTTTGCACTTGCAGAACATAGTATTTCTCGATTCCTAAGGAAAGTAGATGAACATTAATGTGCTGTATGCTGTACTAAATAAGATACAGTCCACCACATATTTTGGTTGTTAGAGTACTTACTGGAGATTATGGATGCGAAAATTGACTTTGGATTTCATTTTGGGGCTGATTGGTTTGTGCTGCAATATTAATTAGTTTCTTCATTTTTTAAAAATATCCTGTAGTATAGTACTATACTTCAAAAAAAACTTACTGCTTCGTCGACAACCATTGCATAAAAACCCTCAACACCTCTTGGACCAGCATCAACCCACTTCTTTAAGACCTTCACAACCAACGTCGTGTTTGTGACCATTGAGTGCAAATCGGCTACCATCATGTAAGAAGCCATGTTGGAGGAATGTACTTTGTTTGATCGAAAGTGAAGGGTTAAAAATGGGAGAGATATGTGAAAAGGCGCCGTACAATGAAACACAAAGCAAGTGTTGAGATATTTATAGAGTTGTCCACCTTTTAGGGTTTAAATCGTCGCAAGTAATCGTATCCCTTGATACACGGTTTTCTTAATACGTTTTTCTTTAATTGATATATTATTAATAAATGTATATTAGAATATATCTTCCGCATATTTGTGTATCTTACGAATTTGGAGAGTAATTAAAAGCACGGGAAAATGCATGCATTTGAATTGGTAGTTTCTATTCAACGGATTGATCTCATTTTAACGAAGTATGAAGTCCTTAATAAGTGCTCCACATATTATGGTAAGATATTATACGAATACGATCTTACCAATTTTTACGTTTATTAATATACTTATTAGTGACTATGGACGGTAATGTATATCGGATGAGACAAAACGGGCCATTTACATTCTTGACGTGAGTCATAGGTTATTCTAAACTGAATGATAATCCGCAATATAAGCATGTAAATATCATTCTTAAACCTGAATGTCATAGGAGCAATTTTGTTTTAGAACATTAGAGGATCAGAAAATCCATTAGAAAACCAAATTTGCGAAAACACAAAAAAAAAACACATTCTGTTCATAAATTTTGGAAAATTTCTTTGAATACAACATTGGTTGTTTGCTTCTGTGGTTTCCCTTCTTTGTCGACGATTAGTATCTTAAGACCCTTCTTCGATGTCACTCTGGAAAGTGCGACGTACAGTTGGCCATGAGAGAATACTGGTCGTGGAAGGTAAAGACCAACTTGCTTGAGCGACTGACCTTGGCTCTTGTTAATGGTCATAGCAAAAGCAACTGCCAGCGGAAACTGTCTCCGTCTCATTCGAAAAGGTAATTTCAGGTCAGATGGAGATATAACAATTTTAGGGATCAAAACTTTGTGCCCAACACGATCTCCGGTAATAACCCGTGCTTCCAAAACATGATCAGCCATCTGAGTAACTTGCAGTCTTGTACCATTGCATAAGCCACCCTTTGAGTCTATGTTTCTTAGCAACATAACTGGAGTTCCTATTTTAAGACAAAGTAAATGTCTTGGTAGACCTGGTACCTTGATAGAGTTCAAAAAATCGGGTGTGAAAATTGGATTGTTCCTTGCAGCTATATCCATTGGATCAATGCTATCAGCACTCAAATACGTTCGTTCTTCACCTGTTTTCAAAATAATAGAGATCATAAGATGAATGGCGAAAAGCTTATAACCTGTTATGAAGATATATTGAAGGTTAATTAAAGTCATTAGAGCTTACCGGGTATTTTACGTAGCATGAACTGATTTATCAAGTCGACGTCGTCGTTAGTTGGACATAATATGGCCCGATCTTGAAAATAACGTGGATCCTTATCGACTTCAAACATATCAGGATCAGAATATACCTCGTTGGATATAACTTCCATTGGATCGTTTGAGGCTGTGATGTAATTCGGAATATCTATTTCGCCTCACCATCGTTAGGCTCAGAAAGCTTCCCATCTCCAACATCAAGCAACCAATCTGAGAAATCACTTATTTCTTTGGCCTCTTCAGCATTCAAACTGCTATTAAACAGCCTTATATTCTTTGTCAGCTTCAATATTTTGCAGTGTTCCCAATGATAAAAAGAATTCAATAAAGCAATGCTATTTTTCTTCTAATCCTACTAAATTGGACACTATCGAATAGATAACATAATAAACATGTAGTTGGGCTAGTAGTATTTGTACGATATAGTCTGAGTCGCTAATGAAATTAATGTCACAGGTGGTGAAGCTCCGGTCAGCGACATTGACTTCTCCCATACAGTTGATGACAAGCGTGATCGCAATTGTAAAGACAACAAGTCAACGGCAAAATTCTGAAACTCTTTTTGTAGTTGGTAAAGTTAGCGTGGTATAAAAAGAGGAAGGTGGTAAAATCGAAATTAAAAAGGTTGACCTAGCTAGTGTAAAATGAAATTGAAAAATCAACTAAAGACACCAACAATAGTCGACCTGGTCAAAAACATTGTATTCACTGCACATTTTTCACCAAAACAGACCGTGTTATTGCACTCGTTTACTTTTCAGTTTTAAACTTTTGATTTAGAGAAAATGACTCAGATTAGCACCCATTAACAAAATAAGTTAGGAGTACATAATGTAATAAACCTAAACTCGATGTTTATAAGCTCACTTATATTTTTCGTACTATGTTTTACTTCCTTGGTCCTCACTGTTACTGCATGCGTTGCCTTCATAGTTGATGAAATTGAGCATATGTATAAAAAATATTTTATAAAAGGTTAAGTAAAGCATATTTTAGAGGGACCGTTTTGGGATTATCAATCTGATTGGTTGTGGTTGTAGCTTCATTTGTTTTGCTGTAGAATATTTACTGTAAACTTTTTGGCTGTGGCTGTATAAATTTTGGCTGTGATTTACAAATAAATAAAAGCATAATTATAAATATTAATTATATGTTATAGATTATATTTATGGAAAACGAGATTACATCATAAATGAGAATATATAATTTATAGCACATGTAATCCAATAAAAGAAGTTTAGTATGTTATTAGTTAATTTATAATTTATTTTATATATACGTTGACATACATATATGGAAAAAGAGTGCACAATTTTTTTAGAGCACTAATTTTTGGGCTGTAGAAAAATTGCTTCTCACGGCCAAAAACATTCCTTTTTTAGTTTTTGGGCTGTAGACTGTTTTTAAGAAGGGAAAGCTTGATTGGTGTGGTAATAGAGCTGTAGAGAGAAAAGTGGCTGTGTACAGCTTCTACAGCACAAACCGATCAGCCCCGATCATATATAGTTTTTGTTGTCTTCTATATAATATCTATATTTAAAAATAATTAACGCTGTATTTTCCTGATGTTCATTGTTATTTCTTATGATTTTTTATTTTCCTTTTTTTTTTTGTATTTTCCTTTTTCCATAAGGATTAACCTTTTATTTGCCATTTTATCTATTTTTTTATTTGTCCTTTTTTAAATAACAAATTTTATTATTTTCTTTTATGATGCATATTACGATCTTAATACGTTCAAAGTTATGAATAACACATATCGCGATCTGATGAATTATAAAAATCATGCATGTCAAGCTCTCAGATAATTATGGATATTTATATATTTTTCTATTATTAATTACTTTTTGTTTTTGTTATTTAGATATTCATAAATATATTTTCAAGACTTCAGTAATTTTCATATTTTCAATTGAGTGAAAACTATCTTTTAATCATAAATGATACTTTCGTTTTGAATTAACAGCACAAAAACGAATTAATTTGTTTAAATTGTTTTTATATACTTCTTAACATAAATAAACTATTTTTTTACCATTTTTATCTTATTATAAAAATTAGAAAAATGCACCATTAAAAATTAGTTAATATTTTTAATATGTTTATTCTCCTAAATTCAATAACTGAACTAGAATCATGATTATTTTGTAAAAAAAAAAATCTTCTTTACCTTCTTCTCTAGGCATGACCAAAATGAAACCGTAACCGTATTTCGAACCGTAACCGTACTGTTTTTAAACCATAACCGGACCGTAACTGCTTTAAATAGTTAAAACCGTAACCATTAACCATAAAAAATATTAGTTATGGTTAAAAAAAATATTAACCGTAACCGCGATTTAACAGTAACCGTATAAAAACGTTGGTTAACCGCAAGGTTAAAACCGTTTAATTTTAACCGTAACTGTCTAAAATATTATATTAAATAAAAAACAATTAGCTATGACATGGAGAAATTAAATTAAATATAAAATACTAACTTGAATATTATATAGTGCTAAGTTTTAGTTAAATTCAAAAAGTAAAATCTAATTAAAACTAGAAAATATAATATAGCTGTTAAGTAATAAGATTATTAAATAAAAATGATTTTTACATGGTTATCTAATTATATAAAGCTGGATGCGCACAATGTGGTTGCGACACGTAGGATTTTTATAAAATATAGGATTGCGACATGTATCACTTTTAATGTTATGTCCGTTAAGATCGTGACACATGTCTTGGAAAAAAAGAAAAAAAAATTAAAGAGAATTTTTTTAATCTTTTATAATAAAAACGAAAATTTATATAATAAATTGAAAATAATGTAATAAAAAATACATATTAGTACATAGAATAGGTATGTAAACTACAAAACCTAAAATTGTATGGAATAGGTTACATAAACCTCTATTTTAAAAAATCATATTAGTATATGGAATAGGTGTGTAAACTAAATATCATAAAACTGTATGAAATTGGTTACATGAACCCCCTATAAAAAGAGAGCTATTGTATTCTCCTTTTCTTATTTACACTCATCAAAGAAAATTCAGCAAATCTCTTTAATTCAATAAATAAATAAAAAAGCTAACAAAATAATTAGAAAACAAATAACTAATAATTGAAAGGAAATTTTATAATGGCCTGAGTAAAAAAAAAAACTGAAAAATATAAATAGAAAACTAATAAAAGAATTATCAAGCAACTAACTAATATTAGATAATTTTTTCCTTTTAATATTTCCTTTTAATATTAAAAGAATTATCATTCACACTTACACATGTGTAAGTCTTTCAATTTTAGATAAAAGTAAAAAGATAACAAATTAATTCATTTATCGTATCATGAATTTAGAAAATATATCAATTATAATAATATTACCAATTTAATATTACCAATTTAATATTATTTAGAGGTCTTTTATCCGGGTTTTAATATTAATCTACTTACTTTTAAAAGGACAAATTTATTTAATATTTTTCTATAATTTATTTCAAAAATTGTATAATAAACCAGCGTATACATGGGGCCTTGTCTAGTAACTTATAAAGATAATGAAGCCGTTCCTTTTCAAATTGTTTTGAAATTTTCCAAAAGATTTTATAAGTTTATTTCCACCTTTTTAGTAACAAGTAAACACGTTGCCCACCTTTGTAGTAACCACGTGACTAATTTTTTTTAAACTTTATTATTGTAAATGTAATAATGATTCTCAGTATGAGATTAATTAATAATTATTTTTTCTTTCAGAAATTTATATACATTCATAATTTTGTTTTAATTTATCTATTTCACATATGTTAATGTAAATTTTTACATTATTCTATATTTTATAATATTTATTTAATCATAAACCGTATTATTAACTGTATTATAATTATAACCGTAACTAACTGTAACCGTACTAACCGGATTGATATTTAACCATAACCGTATTAACCGTATGTTAAATGGTTAAGGTTAAGGTTAACAAAATTTCTAACCGTAACCGGTGGTTAAATAACCTGATAACCGTAACCGTCGTCATGCCTATTCTTCTCTTTACCATTTTCCTCTTTTCACAGGGAAAGAACCATTCTTACACTATCCAAATCACTTTATTTATGGGCTTATAGCCCATCGGAAGATCTAATCTAATGAGATTGGTACGTTCTTGATCACTACGTTGGGAAAGATATCACTGACCCAGATTTAGTTTGGCCTTTTCCGTATCTGTATAAGGGATTGAAACATTAAATATAGACTGTCAAACTAAACATCTCGCGACAACTAATCATTAAGTACAGATCGGATTGGACTTTCTTCACGAGATTCTCTCTATTAGTGATTCTGATTCATATATTAGTTGAAACCGCATGCATATTCGTAGTAATTGTATATTTGGGTACGTAACAGCAAAAGATGCGATGCAAAGACGACGTACGTGTGATAAGTTGGACCAATCACTCTCCCCATAAACCACGTTAATTATTAAATTAGTCATCGATTTCTGGTCAAACAACAAAAATGGAATAAAATCCAGAAAAATACGATAAGATAATTCCACGCTAGTGCGCTACTGTAAACTACCACGATTAGAAGAGGAACCAAAATACAAAACAACAATAGTTGGAAAAGAACAGCCACTCATTGTGGATTTCAACTGGTAAAGCAAGTAAAACGACATAACACAAAAAAAATATAGTTGTTTGATTGATCGTTGTCCTTTGTTTTCTTAATTAGTATTCTCTTCCATGTATTGTTTTGTTTGAGGTGGGTGAAATTAGGGTAATCAACTAGTCATAGTAAACAACTTTGGTTTGTTTAAAGTCATAGAAAACAACTTTGTTTTGTTAAAATGACTAAAAATGGTATATCGTAGTAAGATAGATGGTGGTCAGATTTTAATACGTTTTTTTTGTTTATTTTGATCACTATATTTTAACACGTTTTGTTCATTATATTTTTGTATTTTGCATACTTATATTATTTTATTAAAATAACTTGTTATATATGAAATTGTATGACCTCTTCCTAAAAAGTGTTATTTTTGGCTAAAGTTTCCTAAAATGTTTGATCGTGTAACTAAAAATAAAAAATTATCCGAATCGTCTTCGAAAAACCCAATTTTGACTATGTTTGGTTAATTATTTAGTAAATTCTTGTTTACTATAGAATAACTTTACTTTCATGTTTTTCTTTTCACTTTTTAACGCAAGAGTCACTTTAATTACTACTTGAGGAAGGGTTATAATATTACTATGTTGGCTTTGATTGGTGACTTCTAAATATGATGGTGCAAATTATACTATCTATAATGTAACCAATCAATTGAACATTACATTTGTAATAGTACAAAATGTGTGTTACAAAAAAAGGTGTATTACAACCAAAAAGTGATGGTACAGAAGGCAAAACAATGGTTCAATTGTAATGCTATCTTTTAGTAGTAGTACAAAAATAAATGATGGTATAAAGAGTAAACAATGGCTATGGTCTCTCTTTTTCATCTTTTTTTTTTCATATTCTTGAAATGATTTAGGGATTATAGTGTGAGCTGATTTTTTTGAGGGGTAGAATTATTATTAAAAGTGTCTGTTAATAGTAATATTTTTATAACTAACAAGAAATATTTAATATATCATTGAAAACTGTTAAAAACAAAAACATAATTCTCATTTATTAGCTATATATGTTCAATTTTATTTGAATGGTTAGTTTTATTGGTAAAGTGACAATATTTTTAGAGCTGATGTTTGTTAATAATGTGTATTAATCATTTAAATGTGAATAATAATAATTGTGGAATATCATTAATTTGTTAACATCAAATATATTCACAAATTCTATAACAACATTTAGTTTAATTTATCTTAATTTCATTTCTTTTTAACTGAAAGCATTTAAAATACTATATATGTAGTTATAATTTAGGATTTTTAGACATTTAAATAGACTTTGAATCATTGTAATTATGTAATTACACAACAAGAAGAAGAAAAAATAATGAGCAGAGGACATAGATACAAAAAGATTAAAATAGTACAACTTTTATTTGATTTTCACGTTAAATTTAAAGACATGAGATTGGTATATTGTATTTTAGTAGATCTATGAAAGTATATTATACTAAAGAAAAATAAGAAAAAACTCTTATAGGACCTTAGTAAAAATCTTATAGTTTATGTCTTTATGAACAAATAACTGGTACAAGCCAAAAAATCTCTTATTGATAACAATGCATTTATCTCTTCTTTATCAGTAAATAAGATATATAGAAAAAAATTATTGGACAATATTAATTTAAAATATTATGTCTTTGAAGAATTTATAGTTTACATGTAAATGTTTTTTGCTAAGTGAAGGTGTTAGTAATTTTATAACAAAAAAAAATTGTGTTATATTTTTAGATACTATTTTAATTTTGAATACTTTACTAATTTACATTTCCATTTTAAAATACAACTATTTGTACTATCACAATGTCACCAATCGGATTTTAAATACGTACTATCATTTTGTACTATCTCTTTTTGTACTGCTATATTTTGTAGCACTGTTTTTCATACAGCCATCTTTCGTACCACTGAAAATTCTGTAATACACCACTATTCACAACGTCACCAATCAAACCCGTCAGGGCTATAACATACTCATTTAGGCAGTGAGCCAGTGGCAATGTTACAGAATACCAAAACATGAAAGTCATGACATTCTGTTCGAAGAAATTCTAACGAATAATTACGCTGTAAGAAGAAAAGAAAATTTTAAGTATTTCAGTGTTGAACATAGGAAAAGCTTGAAGTACTGTTTTGTAATAACCGGGAGGAGAAACATAACCATCATTCCCGACCCTTGCTTCAAGCAACCAAAGTAATAGCTTTATGCCACATTATAATTAAGTGGACATAAGGCCATATGTCAGGAGTTATTTGTAAGTCAAATGTCATTGTTAGTAATACACATATTGGTTAATTGGTTGGTCTTGTAAAATTTGTTTTTCCTTTCTGCTACTATTATTTTCCTCTCCATGTGTTGTTTCATATGTCTTCCTTTTCAGATTTGATTTATCTTATAATTTAGGAGTTTCATCTACTAAGAGCCCACCATCATTTTCCCCCTAAAACACTATTTTAGTGTGAGATTTATTTCTAACCCACCCTTATTTTTGCCATATCAAAATAAGGGAACATTATTTTTTCCTTCGTTTACAGTGTAATTTATAGTGTAACTTTATTTTTCTCGTCATTTTTTATGTTGATCTTTTTTATTTACATAATAATGCTTCAAATTTAATCTATTTTTATTTTTTAACTTATACAAATTATAAAAAAAATATTTCTTTTTTTCTTGTTTTACTAGAATTAATCATGAAATATTATTTTAGAAAATGACATGGTTTATATTATATAAAATGATCAAATTTCTAATTTATTCATTACAATAATATACTAATTTATGGACTTTTCACCAAACTAAAAATAAAAATAAATAAATAAGTGGAGCTAATTTTTAAAATTTATAAATAAAAGGTTTTTACGATTAATTTGGATTAAGAATATACCATAGAATATTAATTTTTAATGTTATTTTTTTTTTGACGTCAAATTATTTTTTAATGTTAAAAATAAAGGGATACACTAGAGAGAAACACTACACTATTATAAGAGAACATTAAAAATAAAGAAAAAAATAATGAAATACATTGGAGATGGTCTAACTATTGTTCATATATATACATAGGTCTAATAGTAAGACTATAACTTGAATAATTCGTAGACCATACAATAATACAAAAAAAAAAAAAAAAAGAAAAAGAAAAAGAAGGCCACACTAGATTTCTGTTTAAAACCAAAAGAAAAAAATAATCAAAATCTGTTTGTTTTAAGCCTCCATTATATTAGGAGATTGCCATGTTAGTCAACAACTCAACATACTTCACGATATGCACAAGAAAACAAATCAGTTCAGAGATACAAATTTTGATAAAGATATATAAAAGCCACAACGACAGATGCATTTTTTATCTTTACCTTCGCGAGGATCATAACAAAAGCCACCGGTCAAAAATCATCCTGTGATACAAGATTCCGTGTGGACTATTTATCGCAATTACAGTAGAACCTCTATAAAACAATACTCGATAAAACAATAAACACTACTCCCTCTGTCCCATAATATAAGCTGTTGGCCTTATATTTTTTGTCTCATAATATAAGTTGTTCAGATCTCAATGCAGAAAAAAAGAAAAGAAAAAATAAATAAAAAAGCAAAAGCAAGAAATAGAAAGTTAGAGACTGGTCTAAAAGATTTTATATTTATTTATATCTTTAATTAAGTATTTTAAAAGACAAAAAGTAATATTTTCTTAATAATTGTGCTCAAGCCTAAAACAGCTTATAAAATGGGACAGAGGGAGTATAAGATAATATTTTTTCCGGTCCCAACTCGGGCCAATGTAAAAAATAGCATAATGCGATAAGATGATAAGACAATAATATTTTTGAAACTCCTATGTAAAAATATAGTCCCAACAATAAGCTAAGACAATAATTATAAAACTAAGGCATATATATCTAAGACAATTTAGTAAAATATGACTCCAATGTAGTTTGTCTTTTCTGAAAGTTGGATTCCCGTTGGAGCTCATCTCGAATTTTTCTTATTGCATCTACAATTTCTGGTGGTGTATTCTCAACATGCAGCCAAAAGTTGTGAAGAGTTCTCGAAGCCACAATTGCTTAACTACTTGCACATGTCCTTCCTCATCATCTTCAACTTCATCTTCACCATTAAGAACAGTAGACATAATTTCTTCTAGATTTTGAACTTCTGAGCATGAAATATGTAAATAACAAAGTATAAGGAAAATTTGAATAAAAAAATGAAAAAATATATTTCTATAAAGTTTCTTGTTTTTGATAGAATATTTCTATAAAATAATAATTATTGTTTTATCAATAAGATAATAAAATTTCAAAGTCCCAACATTATTGTTTTATAGAGGTTTTACTGTAGGTATTCTTCATTAACCTAATGCACAACGACACGTGTAGACCTTCCTTACTTACGTAGTCCTTGTGCTTCTGCATTTTGATCGACTTGGATTTGATAAAAGACTCAATTTTAAATCACATCACATGCAACAAACCTCAAAGGGTCCTAAAAAGGAAAGAAAAGAAAAATCACAAACTAGTACTACTCTATTCATTTGTCTATAAATACAAACAGAACAAAGCTCTTTCTTTATTCAAAAACCAATAATGAAAATGAAGATCTTCTTGTCACGACCAACGTGCATTATTATAATATATGTTATCTGTCTTATCGCAATTCCGCGAGTCTTCTCATCCTCACCGGCACTATCTCTACCGGAGCATTTCCTCCGATGTCTCGACACTCAGCCGGCTGACCACGGCAGTCCCAACTCCAGAACCACCGTGATCCCCACAAACTCATCTTTCTCGACAAATCTGATGAACGGCGTCAGGAATCTCCGGTTCGCTTCACCCACAACAAGAAAACCGGAGGCCATTGTCGCCGCGGTCACGGAAACCCACATCAGAGCTACGATCTCGTGCTGCAAACTCCTCAACCTCGAGCTCAGAATCCGCAGCGGCGGCCACGACTACGAAGGCTTCTCCTACACCTCTCCGGTGCCGTTCGTAATCTTAGACATGTTCAATTTCAACGAAATCGACATTAACATGACCGACGAGACCGTGTGGGTCCAAGCCGGAGCTTCACTCGGCGAGCTTTACTACAACATTGCAAGCAAAAGCAAAGTCCACGCCTTTCCCGCCGGAGTCTGTCCTAAAGTCGGCGCCGGTGGACATTTCAGCGGCGGAGGGTTCGGCAATCTCATGAGGAAACACGGTTTGTCGATCGACCACATCATCGACGCGCAAATCATGGACGCGAACGGGAAAGTCTACCGCGACCGGCGTTCTATGGGAGAAGACGTGTTCTGGGCGATTCGCGGCGGAGGCGGCGGGAGCTACGGCGTGATTCTTTCGTGGAAGATTAAGCTCATTAGGGTTCCGGAGAAAGTCACCGTTTTTAAACTGGAGAGGACGGTGAGAGAAGGCGCCGTCGATTTGGTCTGGAAATGGCAGCAAGTGGCTCCGGTTATCGACAGAGATTTGTTTATCCGGTTAGAGATTAAACCGATTAACCGGAAATTATCAAAAGGGAAGACGATTAAAGTTTCCTTCATCGGAATGTTTCTGGGTTTACCGGAGAGACTTCTAAACATAACGAAACAGAGTTTCCCGGAGCTCCACTTGACGAAATCGGATTGTACGGTGAAGAAATGGATCGAATCGACGGTTTTCTGGGCGAATTACCCGGAAAAAGGACCGATCCAGCTTCTTCTCAAACGAATCTCGACGAACGAATACTACTGGAAACGAACTTCCGATTTTGTTCAAACTCCGATCTCGAAACAGGGGCTCGCGACGATTTTCCAGACGATGATTGATCACTCGCCGCTTCCACGGCGGGTTTGGATGCAGTGGAATCCATGGGGAGGGAAGATGGCCGAGATTCCAGCTGATGCGACGCCGTTTGTGCACAGAGGAGGCAACATTTTCATGATCGAGCATTTCATGAACTGGTATAGACCTGGAGATGAGCTGGAAGAGAAGTTCTTGGCGATTGCGAGAAGCTTTAGAGAAGCGATGGCTCCCTTTGTTTCGAAGAATCCGAGAGAGGCTTTCTTTAATTACAGAGACGTCGATATCGGAATCACGACGCCGGGATATAACGCGACGTATGAAGGAGCTAGAGTTTATGGGGATAAGTATTTCAAAGGGAATTATTTGAGATTGGTTAAGGTTAAAGCCCGGTTCGACCGGACTAATTTTTTCCGGTCTCAGCAGGGGATTCCGGTTCTTGCTTAGTTTGGTGATTGGTGTGAGTTGATTTATTTTGACCGGTATGGTGGGGACAAGGGAGTATTATGAAAAAAACATGAATTTGAATTTGGGGATGAATTTATTGGATGTGTTCTTTTGATGTTGTGCATGCACTTTTAATAATGTTGTGTTAGATTATGGTGTATTGTTATATGTCAATCTCTAAGAGAAGTCATGTATTTCAATCTATAATAAACGGAAGCATTTCTTGTGTTTCACATGCAAACATTTTTTTTTTTCATTGACGGCATTAACATGAAAATTAAGTGAACAAAATGTGTAAACTATGTGTAAAATTGTGGATGTTTAAGGCAAATTTACGACGGTATTGGTAGATTGATTTGGTTTTTGTTTTAAAAAAAATGTTAAACTAAACAAAATAATATTTTGACGGTTTTGTTTTGGGATACATTCTCAACTTTTAAATTTAGCCAATTCTGCTTGCGTTAATCTCTGGTACGTGATTTTCATAAGGAAAAGACCTAACATGCATTAAAAAAAAAGGACCTAATATGCATTATCTAGATGGACAAAGTCGTTGGTCTATTGCAAAAAGTGTTTGAATAAATCTTGCGCAGAGCACAGTGGAACACATGAATCATGATAGGATTTAAATATTGACAGATTGAACTATAAATTTGTTTCCAGTAATCGTAATGGGGCCTAGATTTCATTAACAGTGTTTAGCAGTGATGTCGACGGTCGACTGCTCCATAATGGCAGGCTGGTCGGACTTTGTCTTTGTGATATGGACAAATGGTTAGTTAGAATTTATAGTCCAATTTTACACGTGGAACTTTTTTTTTTACAAGTACATATATACAAAATAGTAAAATACAAATAATTAGTATTAAAAAAGATGCATCGAAATCGCAATCTCATTACATAAAAAAAAATCAAGTTCGGCCTTCGTTTCACTAACGCAGCGGCAGAGGAGAGCGACCAAAAAATATAAAGGGACACGTCAACAACATGTCAAATTAGAGAGTTCGGAGATATTAAAGTTTGCCGCCAACGACACAAAAGACAAGTGCGGGAGCTGCGCAACTTACGGGCGGCAATTAAACTGGTTTGCGTCTATCCTGGCGGCAGCTATATAGTAACACTACGTCAAACTTTTTCTTTCCTGTTTGTTATTTTTTGGTCGCTCTCCTCTGCCGCTGCGTTAGTGTCATAATCCACAACATTAAACGCAAGCAAAACAAAGCAAATAACCTAACAAAACAGATTCCGCACCATCAAACTCAAGCACAGAGACCTGAAGTGAAACTAAAGAAGATTGTGAGTAGCAAGAAGAAGAAGAAGAAGAAGATATGAGGAAGGTGTTGATTATTTGAAGAGATTTGTTTGATAAAAATCGTCATAAGTATAACAAGATTGACTCTGAGTTAAACAAGTAGGTGCTAATATTCGTTCTTGTCCACCTCAGAACCATATATTATATCACAAAACAGAGAAAAACAAAAAATTATTCAAAAAACTCATATAACATCGAAAACCAAAGCCAAGTTGGATCCACACAACATAATTTTCAAGCAAAACAGCACAAACACTGAAGATGAAAAACATTCCCCAACATCAAACGCAAGCACAACAAAATAAACAATGAACATTAAAAATAAAATAAAAACAATTTTACTAAGCATCATCATTCATAGGTAAATACGGCCATAAACGGGTTCTTTCTCTTCCATATTGGAGGCACTTATGTTTCTTTTTAGATAATGCAGCTTACATTCATCTGGAAGTGCATAGAATATGGCTCGTGAAACCAAGTCTTTCGCAAAGAATTCTATAGCTTCCCAATATAGTGGGCTCTTACGAACCAACCCCTTAACCTCCCCTACTCGCTTTACAACAAGTGCCATTTGATCTTCAATCGATTCTTGCGATCCATAACTTCCGTTATTTACATTTGTCACTCCGCTAGATCTAGATCCCATCTCTGATACAATAAAAAAAAACGAAAGATTTTAGTTTACAAAGCACCCATACTTTATCATATCAAAGTTAAAAAAAAAAAAAAGACTCAAACAGAGTACACATAATAAGCAAGAACGTTCTTGAAGTTCTTGATATCCAGCAAATAATAATCAAGAACGTCCTTCTGACCAAATAAAACTAAAGGAGGAGTCAAGAGATGTAATTACAAAGAAACTAAAACAGATCAAGACATACCAAATCTCACTGGATCAAAAAATATAAATCAGAAATCGAATTGAGTGGAGAGAGAGTGAAAAACAAACCCGAGCGAAAATATCTCAGAGAGAAGCAGCTAGAACATGAACAGCACTATACAGTAGAAAGTGAATGATTTTTAACCCGAGAAGTGAAAGCGAGACAACAACTGTCAGCGATTAATTATTATAAACCCCAAAATGCGATTTCAAAATCGGCCCGTTATAAGTTATAGGCTATATTTGTCAGACTTTTGGTCAACTGTTTATATACCCATTGCCTCTTTATTTGTGAGTGATTTTGGGTGAGAGTCCATTGCTGGAGATGCTCTAACTGATCCCCAATTTGATTTCAGATATGATTTCTAATTAAAGACTGAACAGAAAAGCCTCATTACAACGATATATAATTAGAATGGCATTGCAAATTGCAAAAATTTGCAATTGAATTAGATTTCTCTTCAATTGTTCATTGCACATTTTTCCCTTTTCAATTTATTATTAATTGCCTAAACTACATGTTTTCTTTAAATTTTACAAAATGAATCATTTATTTATTTTCTTACAAAAACATTCATAATTATGATAATTTTTAATTTTATTATGATTAGGTTATTATATTTTCTATTAAATAAATGTTATTTATATTATGAGTATTTTAATATATTTAAATAAATCATGATCAAAATAATTAAACTGTTATATTAAAACTATTTATAACTTGAAGGACTACTTTATATAAATAATAAATGTCAATTACAAAATAGTATATTCCATAATCTCATGCCAAATTTGGAAGCAAAATGGAATATTGTTATAGCAAATTCTATTGCAAAATAACATAAAGTGACAGATTTGGCATGAATTAGGGATGTTTTTTCTTGGTTTTAGTGAATTAGGGATGTTCATAGAAAAGAATGAATTTTATATCTAATTAAGAAGTTTTCAGTGCAACGGTAAGCACTTAATGAAGCGTTAAGCCCAAAATTAAATGGAAACTAAATTAAAACCAAGAATTCAACGTATATTTGAGCGTCACAAGCGTCAAACCAAGTGCTACGTGCATAGCACGTCACGATTCGTTGGGTGAAAATGAGAAAAAAAAACTCTCGCTCGCGTTCAAGCTTCGATCACATGGCATTCTCTCTCACTTCCAATTCCATTCTCCGATCCACCAAACTCTGTTCTTCTTCTTCTTCATCTCTTCCGTCGAGCTCCGTCTTCTCTCTTATCGCCCTGTTCAGATTTCAATCTGAACCAATCTAGGAAGAATTTCCGTGAGGTTTTCAAATTGAGAAATGAGCACATTAGTTGGAGATACTGATTCTTTGTAAAAATTACCCATTAGTTGTTAATTGTTATGATTAATCAAACCAATTTACTATCGGAGAAAATGTATGAGTCGATAGTTTGGGTGGAGATTGCGATTATATTATGGCTGATCATCAATTAAGGTGCAATTGTATAATTGAAAGGCCGTTCATTCTGCTGGTTTGTCCTCCTCTTCTTCCATAACAATTTCAAAGATACACAAGTTTTAGAACAAGTCTCTCCTATCTCTTTGTCCCTTTTTTTTCTTGGGAAATTTGGCAAAATACTCCAGAAAAAGAGAAGAGTTGTCCATCTACTCTTTTTTTGCCAAATCTTGTCCACTTACCCTTAATTAAATTTTAAATCCAATTTTAACCCTCAAATTACGTTTTCATGATTTTTTCAAATAAATAAATAATTAATAAATGAAATTAAATGATTAGTGTAATAAACAAATAAATAATTAATTATTTAAGAAAAGAAAAATATATTTCAAAGCAAGTAATCTAGTTCCTTTTGCCTCACCAACAACGAAATTCCACCATTTGATTGCACTCAGTCTCCATATGTTATATAGATATGCAACAGAATAACCTGAGAAAAATAGATTAAAACAAATAATCTAAAAGAAAATTATATAAATGATAAGAAAAAGCAAAAAAGAAGAAGAAGAACGTGATGAGAATTCTTTTTTTTCTTCTGGCAAAGTAGATTAAGGAAATATAGTTTTTGAAGATATTTTCTAATATTTAGTTACCATTTTTACTATATTTTTTAGATTCTCGTAGAAGTTGAATTCTATCATTTCGTAGAAAAATGTGTTTAATGTAGATTATAGTTTCTACAAACAGTAGAAGACATTGTTTTCAGGAGAACACAAAGTCTACAAATAGTAGAAGATAGTATTTTGTGTAGAACACGAATTCTCCAAATAGTGGAAGAAATTGTTTATGATAGAATATAGATTCTAGAGATGGTAGAAAACAATGTGTAGGTTAGAATATAGGTTCTACCAACGGTAGAAAACCGTATACAACGTAGAACAAATGTTCTACAACTCTACCAACTCGTAGAGTATAGAGTATTTAGTAGAAAGCAAATTCTACGATGGTAGATGGCTGAACAGTTGGTAGATTTTATGTTCTACGAGGGATAGATGTGAGAGTCTCTAGTAGAAGACAAATTCTACTTTGAATAATGAATTTGGTAGATGCAAATTTTATTTATTTTTCTGAGGTTCAAATTTCAAAAACAAATTGTGAAAATATTCTCTAAACCTTAGAATCATTTTACTTAATTTATTTAATTTTTTAAAACTTTTAAATATATTTATATCATATTTCTAGCATATGTAAGGGTATTAGAGTCCAGATTTGATAAATTTCAAAAAAAGTGTAAGGGGACAATAGTTCTCTCTTTTGGGGGTATATTCACAAATCTCCCTTTTTTTTTCTCGCAAACACAAGTTTTTGTTCTCTCTTTGTCATCCTCTTCTTGCATAACGTTTCTTCTCGAGGATGAGGATGCACATCATTCAGATAATATATCTACGAATGTCGAAGAAATAATGAGTATTCGAGTAAATATTGGTGATGCACAAAGACATCAATTGAAAAATGATTTGATTGAGAATATATGAGAAACATTTGGACATTTTTATGCATAGATTGTTGGAGATACTTAAGATGCCGACTAAGTTTTTACTTTTGTTTATGTTTTCGAATTTTATGTTTAAAATGTTTGTATGTCAAATATGTTTCAAATTTCAATTTATTCAATGTATTTTATGTTTTGTTCATTCATAAAATTATTATTAATTTTTAATTCTTAAGCACCCCAATTTAAAATTCTTCCATTGGAGCAGAAAAAAACAGAGAATTCTTAATAGAAATGCTAACACACTTTTAATAATAATAAATCTTTTAAGCATCTCTATAAGCACCCTCCATTCCATTTTGCACATGTAAGGTGTCCACATCAGCAGTATAAAAATATAATAATATTAAGTGATATTTAAAATATTCATTTATTACATACTTAGTATATAAATTGATACTCTTATTCAATCATAAATTTTTCAGACAAATACAAATAAACTAAGCAAATAAATAGGAAAAGTACATTTTATTTTAAATTTAAAATATTAGTTGGATCAAAAATGTTTTGAGAGGATAATATGACTAAATTTAAACCCAAAAAAATATATTAAGAAATCAAAATATTTAAAATGTTATAATGTATTTGCAATGACATATACTGAAATACCCAAACAAAATGTGTATGTGATTTACATAATTTGAAAGTTAAAAAAAAATTCTTGTAAATAGTTTTAAAAAATTTAGAATATGTAAAATGAGTACAAATATAAGGGTAAATAAAAAACTATGGATTAAAAACTAGTAAAAAGTATAGAAAAAAATAAATACAGACCAATCGATTATATAAAGTAAAAAAAAAGATGTTGTTAGAAAATTGAAAGGAAAACTGTTGTAAATAGTTTTATAAAATTGAGAATATGTAAAATGAGTAAAAATATATGGATAAATAAAAAACTATGGATTAAACAGTAGTGAAAATATAGAAACAAATACACACCAACAAATTATACAAAGTAAATAAAAAAAATTAGTGTTAGTTAACTGAAAGGAAAACAATAATAACCAATTTTTTATAAATCTTTCCTCATATTTGAATTAAAATTAGGATATTTATGTCTACATTTTTTTCATTTGCTTATGTATAAATAGGCAGGAACATTACAAGTAGCTTATCAAATAATAGTGCAAAGGTTCGAATAAAGATAATTCATGTATCCGAAAATATTATCTAAAGTATATTCATAAAATTTAAGATGGGGTAATAGTGTGGGTAAGAGTTGATGGTTAAAATCCTTATCTTTTTAAATATCATAATTAAAATCACTATACAAACAGATAATTGTAGATCTTTATTATCTTATTATGATTTTTTAAGTTAACTAGAAATACCTAAACTAAAACTAAATTCATAATAAAAATTTAAAGATTGGGGTATCTTTAACATTCCGAACCGCACATGTAAAATTTCTAGTATATATCAGTTATGTTGAAAACATTTCAAAACTCTACCAAACTTTATTAATATTTTTCAGAAAATATATGTTATCAGAATCAAACATGTAACATATCGACCTATTTAATGGTAATACTCAGTATAAAAATGATTAATTTAATTATCATTTAAAAAAAAAAAGATTAATTTAATTTGCAACTATTAAAACTTCGTAAAGGACATCTTGTCAATTGGGTTCTTTAACGTTATAATTTTTTTTTTTTTTTTTGTCAACAGCCTTTATTTCTACAACAGCTCGGGAATCCAAACTGGTGAAATAGAGTTTACATAATACACATCTGTAGGTAGATCTCGAGCACTTCGTGCTAACTTGTCTGCCTTCGTGTTGTTCGTCCTTGGAATATGCATGATGTTGAAGGAGGTGAATCTCCTCTTACATCTGTCAACCTCGTCAAGTAGTGTTGAGAACGCCGGCCACTCCTCTGGTTTAGACACCATCTTCACCACATCGGAACAGTCCGTCTGAAACACCATTACCAATTTGTTATGCCGTATCATGCATTGCATGGCCCAAATGAGAGCCTCCAGCTCTGACTGAAGTGGGGATATTCCCCGCCTCAAATTACATGTTCCCATAAGTTTATCAGGAGAATCCGTGTTGAAAAAGTACCATCCTAAACCAGCTCTACACTCTGTGTCTTTCCAAGCCCCGTCCACCTGACAAATGTCACCTGATATCGGTGTTTGCACTAGGGTTTCTGTGTGGGAATGCGCCGTCGCTCGTCGTTCCTGGGCCGCTGCCCATGCCAAACTCTCCGCTGCCGCTTTAACAATTATCTCATTTGGGTCCCAGTCCACATTTTCCATAACCTTATCATTTCGAGCTTTCCAAATGTACCAAATTAACCAAGGGTACATCCCCATCCTTTCATCTTTTGGTAAGTGCCAGAACAGGTGTGCCATATTTGTAAACAGCCCCTCTGTCGGAAATTGATTGGGAACCGTTGGGATTGGAGATAATGCCCAAACCTGTAATGCCGGTGGACACTCAAACAAAGTGTGATTCACTGTTTCTGGGGCCATTCCACAACGCATACATTGTGGATCTATCTGCATGCCACGACTCCGTAGTCGTGCTCCGACTGCTATACAAACGTTATAATTTTTTCTTATGTTTTGCTTATGTTTTTCTTGATTTTTTTTTTCAGGTGTGGGCTTTATAATATGAAGAATTCTTAAATGAGTAAGATTTTAGTTAAGGCTTTATAATATAAGTAGAATTAATCAATCACCATGCATGTATTTTGATATATAATTATTTGTACCGTTCATTTTTTTTAACCAATTTTGTTTGTTATTAAATTATAAATTTTGGTTTATTACCCTTCATTGTAAATATTTTAGTAGATAAAAGTAAAACACAACGAAAAAAACGTTAGCATGTACCTCATGCCCTTGGGTGACTCTGTCTCTGTGTCTGTGGAGTTAGAGCATGACGTCCCATTCAGACGATCATCCACTCTTCTTATAGGAATGCCTTTGAGATATCTTGTCCCGTTTTTGTGCCATACTTGCCACTTGTAATTTCCTTCATTTTTCACCATATATGAGCTTCGACGCAGTCTAAAAATTTCAGATCAAACAGTAAAAGTGCAATCTAAGACCTTGAATGGATGTCCAGATCTGTTGCAGAATAAATACAAGACATATCGAATACAGGTTGATCTGTATTTAACACACTAATCACTAAGTTTTTCACAGATCAAGAAAATGTAGATTAGTCTGCATACAGATCAATTTTTTTTTGTCTTTTTGTGATATTTTTTTGATATAAGCCTCCAAACACATGCAGTATTACTTTTTATTTTATTTTATTTATTTATTTTTAATTTCTTAATTACTTATAAATGCTAAAAAAAATTAATTTGTTATTTACTTTATTACAAATAAATCCACAAAACATGTGTTAAATTAAAACCAGCCTAGAAATCTTCATTACATGTGCATAACTATTTTTCATGTATTTTTCTTATTTTTTAGTTATTTCTAAAAATTGGTTATAACAAATACATATTACGTTATGTCTGTGGCAAATGGAGATTCCTGTTTTGTAAAAAAAAAAAATTATTAGTTTTTGATTCAGAACTATCAAAGCAAAGGAACTCAGAACGACAGACTACCTGGACCAAGAGAAGATCCATTTCCCAGGTTCAAGATGGTGATAGTAAGATAATCAAGATTAAAGTTGTATTGATTAATAATTAATTCTACTTATATTTTGCTTAATTTTTTCTTATATTTTGCTTATGTTTTTTTTGCCATTAGGTGTGTAGCTTTATATAAAGAATTTAATAAAAGAGTAAGAGTTTTCAAAAAGATTAAGTCATTTATAGAGGTTTTGACAAAAAAATATATTAATAAAACCAAGTTATAAGTAGATAAATATTATCATCTATCAATAATGTTTTGTTAGTTTATCTTCTTATCTATTTATTAGACAGACAAAATAATATTTATCTTTCTTTATACTTAAAACCATTATGTGACTCGAAAACAATTTCACTCAATTTCGTATTTAGTTCAGTGATCAATTATGTAAGCTGCTAGTCGTTATAATCAAATTAAACGATGGTAGTGTTCTTTCTCACAAGTAAAAATCGGCCCTTATCAGTTATATATAGCCTATAACTGATCCATATATTAATTTCAAATATCTATATATATATAAAGTTCATATCATTATATTCCGGTGCTGCCACCTCACCAGAAGAAGGTGTCTCTAAATTCAACATATCAATTTATTTATTATATTTCTTTTTTTTCTATTTTAATTTTTATAATAATTATCATTTATTATTATAGTAACTTAATAAGAATATGAAAAGTTATTTAAAAAAATGTCTCTTTGTAAATACATATTAGAAAAGAATGAATCTTTGTAATCAAGTGTCTCTTTCTCACAGGTAAAAAAACGAAATTTTATATTTTATTTATTTTGTATGGATTTATGCATTTGATCATTTCTGTTTTTCTCTTTGGTTGATAGACAAAATGGGCGTCAACGTTATTGAACAGTGGGCTCTTTCCGATTTAACGCCCATATGACTCATTCAAGCAATCAAGCCTATGTAACTTAGGGTTTGGTAGTTAACTTGGCGGCAAAGTCAAAGAGTGAGGCACGTGGAACCACTTTACCCGCCAAATTCGCCGTCTTTTACCAAGTCTCCACAAGGTGGAAATTTTTTTCTTTTTTTTTGTATTTGTTAATTACTAGTTTTACTTATTTTGGGAAATGAAGGGTTAAAAAAAAAAGAAATGAGAGGCAGCAGTTATTGAGTTAGGAGTAACCGTAAGCAGAGTAAATATAGGGTGATTAATTCATTATTATTGATTTATTTCCAAATTAATTGATACCCTTTAACTACAAATAGCCGCCAAAAACAATAACCTTAAAGTGACGGTTACTCTTAATATTTGGTACCAAACCATCCTTATTATAAGTAGAGGCTCAATTTTCTTACATCGTAAAAATCACAAAAGGATTTGATAAACGTTACATATATGCTGACAACAAAAAAATACTATAAGATATACTATTATCTATGTATATATAAATTCACATCTTCACAGGTGTGAGTTTCCAAAATTATAATATTTTCACTCAGCTATTTTTACACATATTTATTTCTTACACGTTAGGCATTAAGTTTATTAAAAGAAATTAATTATGCCCAAATAATTAGGAAGGTCGTTACAAAAAAAAAAAAAAAAAAATCTAAAACCCAGAGTAACTCCTCCTACAATTTTGCTCTAAACCCTCACCTTTTTCTCTGTCATATATATGCCTAAGAGACAGTTAACGAGTAAACAACTTACAACGTTGGAAGTCTACTTGAATTGAAACAAAAGACACGACATTATCCTCTAAAATCATTCTCCAGGTCTTTGAATCTCCCATATATTCCTCTCATGTCTTTTTTTGTTTCTTGTTTAATTTGTTTTTATACGTCTAATTTATAAGCTCGTTTACTAGTAATTAAAGCTTAATTAAGCTCGTTTAATACTTTCGTAACTCCTACTGATTGTTTCACCTTCTTCTTTACCTTTCTACAGGTTTTTCATCTCCTCAATGTCGTCCATGGATTGTTTAAGCCACTTCTTTAACTGGGATCCACCTATCCAGCTCCAGGATTGCTCTATCCCCGATTTGGATCTGATTATCCCGGAAACCAGCAGTTTCTTCTCCCAAACTCAACCGCAACTGCAGTTTCATCAGCCATATTTTCAAGAAGAAGCTCCTTCACAGACCCTTTCAGAGCTCCATCACCTAGACTCTTTCTGGGACCAGTTTCTTCCTTCCCAAGAAATTTGTCTCCCTTACCCTAAAACCGAAATCTTCGACGAAATACATGACCTTGATTCCTTTCTCCACACGCCAAAACGCCAGATACTCGTTAACTCGAGCTACAGTCACAGCCATCTCCCAAGCCCTAACTCGAGTTTCTTTCACCCTTACGATTTCGTTCCAGAAGCTTCTATCTTCCCGGAGTTTCAAGTTCCGGATTTCTCCTTACCGTTCACTGTAGGCCGAGGAGATCAAGGCGACACCAAGAAACCGACGCTTTCTTCTCAGAGCATCGCAGCTCGAGAGAGGAGAAGAAGAATTGCAGAGAAGACTCACGAGCTCGGAAAACTCATCCCCGGTGGCCAGAAACTTAACACCGCCGAAATGTTCCAAGCCGCCGCCAAGTATGTCAAGTTCTTGCAGAGCCAAGTTGGGATCCTCCAAATGATGCAGACCGCAAAACAGGTGATAGCCAACACTTTAATCCAATTGAAATATCCTAATATTGTTTTCTCACGTCCTGATTAATTTATGCAGAGTTCTAATGTGGAGATCGAAACTCAGTTTTTGCTTGAATCGCAAGCAATCCAGGAGAAGCTATCAACTGAGGAGGTGTGTTTAGTGCCGAGAGAAATGGTTAAAGATTTAACAAATGAAGAATCCATTTGGAGAAACCCTAAGATTTCTCGAGAGATCAATAAGTTGCTGTCTACAGATCTGGCCAACTAAATTTTAGTTCCAAGCCCGAAGCTCTCAACGCCAACATTTGTGTCTGTTCTTAATTAGTTGTTTGATGTATTGTTGATTTAGTTTACTCTCCTATTAACTGGGAACTAATACATTTTTTTGTATTAGTCTATGTATTAGCTATTGTCTGACCTTTTTTCTTGTTCGTTAATAATGTATGTCACGCATGTTGAAACTTTTACATTCATGTGAGGAGATCTTTGTGTGAAATTAAGCTTTAGGCCATGAATGTTTGATTAGTTTTTAGATTTAGATTTTGGTTTTTGGATTTTAGTTTCTGATTATAGATTTTGGTTTTTGATTTTGATTTTTCTGTAAAAATAAAAATTAAAAAAAATCATTGGTTTTCATGAGAAACTGCAAAAATGTGGATTATAGTTTTTCTTTGAAAATTGATTGAAACATTCAAAAACCAGATTCCCTATTTTATAGGAAAACTTTTTTTTCAGAATCTTGAATGGTAATAAAACAGATTATGGAAGAAACTAAAACCAAAAACCACTTCAAAAACTACAAACAATCCCATTACAAATTTGAGGCTTATTGCTTTGTGGGTGTTACGAATTTAAGCCCGAACAATCAGATTAAAGTTTGAACAAACTCTCTTATTCGCTTGCCTTGATTTTTGGGATTTTCTAATTTAATATTTGTATTTATCGTAGCTTTAATTACAGTAATAACGAAATAAATAACTGGAATTTTATGTGTTAAGATAAGTAATTTTGTGATCAATATATAAATAGATAACGAGTATGATGTTAGTAGAATACTAGGTGGTTTTCTGCGTCTTGCGCGGAGTGAGACACATATTATTATGGGGAATTTTCAAAACTACAATTCTTGAGGTGCCAATTTTCAAAAATACATCTCTATGATGTTCATTTTCAAAATTACACTTTTTTCATTGAGTAAAAGAACTCTAAACCCTAAAATATAAATCCAAAACCCAAAAATCTAACATTAAACCCTTAAATCTAAACTCTAAACCCCAAAATCTAAACCCTAATTTAGGATTAGTGAACCCAAACATATATGTTAAAACTAAGAAAAAGTGTATTTTTGAAAATTTCCACACTATAGGTGTAGTTTTGAAAATTTGCACCTCAAGAGATGTATTTCATAAAATTTCTCTATTATTTTTTTTTATTTTGTAGTTGATGATTTGATCAAAAGTTTCTAGTTTGGAGTTTAAATCATATTGTACTTTTTGGGTTTTTTTACTTTTATAAATCCAAAATAAAATATAATGGGTCTAATTGGTTGGAGCTATAGCTTTAAATTTTTGTGCTATAGATATTTAGCTGTAGATTATTTGGCTGTAAGATTTTAGCTGTGGATTTAACTGTAAAATTTTCCAAAGGAAAGCATGATTAGTAAAATCTCATATATATATATATATTTGTAGATTAACAATTTTATTTCTAATTAAAAATTCATAACTATTAATAAAAATGAAAATAAATAATAAAATATAAATAATTTGTGTTAAAACACCATGCAAATTTTAAGAAAATAATAAGTATCTAAAATAGTTACATAACACTACAGTTGTTAATCTAAAAATCTATTCACATAAGTGATTTTATATGTATATCACAAATGTGTTAAAGAAATTTAAAATAATAAAAATATGGTGAAGAAGAAATGGTGGAAAACAACCATTATAATAAAATATTTACATAATATATAGAAAGAAAAAGAGAAGAAAGACCTTAATTTCTCTCTTTTCCTCCTTCTTTCTTCTTCTGAGTTTTGTGTCAATACAAAAGATGCAAAAAGTTTGAAGGGGTGATTATCTGGTGAACAATCTTGAGTTAGGTTTACAGTTTATAAGTATTGAATGAATTAGGGGTTTCTTTATATTGATCAACAATTTTTAATTAGTTTTAGAAAAAAATATCTTCTTAGTGTGGAGAGCACATAAAACTGGGCTCTACGTTTTTGGCTCACTACAGCAAAAAAAGAGACGGAAAGCAAAAAGTTGATGTAGACTTTTTTTTTTTTGGTAAACGAGAGGGGATGAATCTGGCTCGTGTAGAGCCGTTAACATCCTCATACATCAAAGCTGAAATCTCAGTAGAAGCAGAGGTGAAGGAATGAAAACCTAAAGGTAAGGAGAAGGCATGGTTCGCAAGGCCGTCAGCCACCCGATTTGCCTCTCTCTATGCCTGTTGAAACCGAACTAACCAGTCCCTTGAAACAAAGTCATAGCACAATTGTACTAGGAAGGACAAGGGGTGAGAATCACTAATCCATGTATGAAAAAACCCATCACAGTCTCGGAGTCCACCTCAATGATCAAGCGCGGGACTTGTCTTTCCGAGGCCATATAGAGTCCGTAGTACACACCCCAAAACTCTGCTAGTGGGGCTGGGCATATGCCAATGTTGAGAGCGAATCCACAAATCCATCTTCCACTGGTATCTCGTAGAACTCCACCCGCTGAGGCTGGGCCCGGATTCTCTCTAGCTGCTCCATCCGTATTCATCTTCCACCAGTCACCTTCCGGAGGCTGCCATGCGATTTGCCTCTGAACTCTAGTTATAGCCACTCCATGTTCCCTTGACTTAACATGCACTTTAGTAACCTCAGCTGCTAAGTCTTTGACGAACCGCACTCTGTCTCGACACTTCCCATTGGTCCCAAAAACATTCCCGCATCGCCATTTCCAACCCCACCAGACAGCTACTGCAAACATTGTGGACCAAATATATTCACCCAGATCAGCTGTGTCACCAAGGTTTTGGTGTATCCAGCTCAGTAGCGGAGCACTAAAGAACTCTCTCTGCTTCCTTGCTGGCACAATACACCTCCAAATTCCCTCCATCGCCGGGCAATCTCTCAAGATATGAATTATGCTTTCTTCTCCGCCTCTGCATACTTGGCAAGTATCTGTAGCGCTGAGATGTCGCCTGTACCGCTCTGCATTCGTCATAATCCCCTGATTCACCACTAACCAGAGGAAAGTTCGTACCCTTTCATGTGCAATCACCTGCCATACGCGTTGGAATATCCCTTGCATATTTTGTCGCGGCTGATCATTTCTGGTTAAAGATGTGTACGCCGATTTGACTGAGAACTCTCCGTCTTGTGTCTGGCCCCATGCCACTCTATCTCTTGCACCCGTAAATTCATCAACAACCACGGCCGCTAGCCTCAGTCTTGTGTCGGGTGAAATATACGGCGAGAGTTGTGGTAGCTTCCAGCCTACTCCATTTTGCCAAAGATCACATATTCTTGCATTTGCGAGTTCCGCTGGGATCTCTACATTCGACTCATGCATTAGTGATGATCCTAACAGCCATATGTCCTTCCAAAACCGGACCGTATTGCCATTCCCAAAACCCCAACTTAGTCCTGGTATCACTACCTCTCTCACCCCTTTCAAGACACTTTTCCACGTCGACGACCAGTTACTCTTAGTTTTTAGCCAACTCTCATCCCTTATATCTCTGACTCGGTACTTACTCTGTAACACTCGAGCCCAGAGAGATACATCATCGTGTATGAGACGCCAGCCTAACTTCGCTATCAGCGCCTTATTCATGTCATGTGGATTTCAGATCCCCAAACCTCCTTCACATTTAGGTGAATACACTCGACTCCAAGCCTCCTTCAAATTTTCTGGAGACTTAAAAAAAGAGAGTAAAAAGCATGATTGATATCCATAAGTGTTGTATATTTTAATTTTGGCTATGGACCTCTCCCCCAATCAGGCCAAATATAATAATATTTTGATGTGATTATGGTTTCAAACTTAATTAAATCTATCATAAAATTCGTATAGGATTTTCTAAGTTAAGTTTAAATTTGGATATTGAATGTTGTGTTCTTTCTCGTTATTCCTATATTTTTAGTAGAAGATGATTGATCACAAACATGTGTGTAACATCAACAAAATAAAATGTGGATTTTAAACCAAATTCTATAGAACGATAATACTCTCAATAAATAAACAAAATAAAGGAGAAAAAAAACTTATACTCTCAAATAATGATTTGAAATGAACTAATGTTCTACAAATTAATATCAGTTCTGGTTTAGAGGTGAATAAAATCAATTGGTTTTTTCTAATTTTCTAATTTTTATTTTGTTAGAATAGGAGTATTGCTAAGCGTAACAACATGTTTACAATTCAGTTTCTCAGTATCTGTACCTTAGATCTAGACAAGAGAATCAAATTGCTTAAGAAAAATCCTCGATCATAGCATCATCGTGTTGCTTTTTTTTTTAAGAATAGATTCCAATCCTTCATAGTTTTATTAGTTTATTTTTAAGAAAATTAAGAACTTCTGCTACATAATCCTCTTTCAAAACTCGTTTGCTTTCATTTCTTATTAGTTCTTATATCAGGTGATTAAATTCCAAATCCTTGAATTCCACTTGATAATGGAAACAACTCTTCTTTCTTTTTCTTCTCCCCCTCTTTGTCTTCTGTTATGGTCCCTCTTCAAAGCAAAAGAGAATTGTAACATAAGAACACGATATTTGATTTGGGTAGTTAAAACTACCTCTTTGTTTGCTTTTCATTGATTTAAATAGAGAATTACAAAGGAAGTTGGAGTTATTAACTCTAAACAAAACGGGAACGATTGAAAGCTGGAGTCATGCTCCTTACAAACTGGAAACACAATGCAAGTGCAGAACGTGAAGCCTAAAGATTCGTTCGTGGCCGTCTCAAGCCTGATACCTCGTATTTGGTTTTCTGATTCTCATTGACCTCCTCTCTGCCACATCAGCATCTTCATTGACCAAAGTTCTTCGCTGCAGTGTCCTATCATCTTCCTTTTGCTTTCTAAAACAAAACAGCCTCAAGAAGAATTAATCAACATAATAAAAGTCTTTAACTTGGGAGTCAAATACAAAAAGGCAATCACATGTATAGCTATGGTTGAATAGAAAATCATTTAAAACAAAAATCAGCATCATATTTTAATTGTAGGACTTGAAGGCATGATCGATTAACTCTGATTACATTCAAATCAAACCAAACAAAAACAAAAACAAAAACCAAATCAAATTATAAAAAGTTTTTGATTAGAGAGGCTACATGAATTTTACTATTCTCGAGAAGAAATCAATCTAATGGTTTAAATTTTTAAATAGTATGAATCGCGAGAGTTTTCAAGGAAATGTATTTCAGGAACACTACCCCATTAGAACCCACTAGGGCTAAGCCCGCGCGATGCGCGGGTTATGAATATTACAAAGTTTTGTCACTTCTATTGTATCTAAATTTTTACATTAGTTTTCAAAACATTTTATCTATTTTTTTCTATATGATTCCTTATCTAAAGTAAAATAAAATATTGATTTTGTTTTTTATTTCCACACATAAATGGTGAACATAAATGAATTATTGTTTTATCCCTAATTACTATTTTGTTTAGTTTGATATGAATAATTAATGAGTTGAAAAGTAAAATTCAGAAAAACCGCATATTCAATCTCAAATTGCTTGATCTCCTCACCATTTCGTTTCCCTTACAGCGAAACCGCCTCATCACCAATGCCTCATCACCAACGGATCATTTGTTACCATCAGAGTTAACCGGAACGCCACCACCAAAAGACATGCGAAAGTGACACCTCCTCCACCTACCTTTATTGTTACCGCCGACGATTTTAGAAGATTATCATAACTAAATAATCATTAAACGTCCGCGCTACGCAATTTAAAAAGCAAAGAGACTTTTGTTAAAATCCAAACCGAAGACACATTTTAATTAATAACTCTATAAATTAATAAAATATTAAAATACCGACATTATTAATTAATAGAGTTCTTAGTGTATATACTATTATCGGAAGAGACTTTTGTAATTTGGGTGGTGTCTTGTCGTCTATCTTGCTAAATAAACTTATTTTGTATAACATCATATTGGAAGTCATGTATTTATTTAGATGGTTTTCATCCGGATTTGAGTTTTAGTTTGAATCGGTTTTTCGATTCTTGGTATACACATCTATAGAATTAAATTAAATTGCTACATCCGTTTTAAAACTCAGTTCAGTTTTCAGATAAATTATTTTTCTGTACGTTGTGGATCAAATTGTTTCGATACAACTGAAAAACAAAATTCATCTGCTTATAACGTCTTTAGTTGGACTCAATGTCCCCAATGGATTTGTAACATATATAGAAGAATCATAAATTGATGATGCATCACAATATTGAACTCAGCTATTCATTTTTGGCTAATGTCATTTTGGGCCAATTAATCATTTTTTGTTAAAACGAAACAGAACACAATAAGAAGATATCGATGTTAGTTGACCCAAAAGAATTGAAAAAGAATCAATTTAAACCGTAATAAGAAGATATTTCGGTTTAGACCGGTTTACGTGGATTAAACACCCAAAACTATCAAGACCTAATCAGACCCGATTTGCAAAAGTCTGTCTTCTCCGATATGCTGAAAATGAGACTTATGACATTGGCCGCCGCTGAACTTTCCCGACGTGGGCCTCTTGGAGACGGCCGAGCTTGGTGGACGCCGTGGAGGAGTGAAATCTCTTCTCTGTCGCTTATAAAAACGTGATCGGAGATCGCCGTGCCTCGTGGAGGATCATCTCCTCGATTGAGCAGAAGGAACAGAGCCGCGGCAACGTTGACCGCGGCAACATTGACCACGTCAACACGTTCCGCGATTACAAGATTAAGATCGAGTCGGAGCTATCCGGGATCTACGACGGGATCCTCAAGCTGCTTGAATCTACGCTCATCCCTTCTGCTACTTCCGAGGACTCCAAGGTCTTCTACCTCTAGGTGAAGGGCGATTACTTCAGGTACTTGGCCGAGTTTAAGATCGGCGCCAAGAGAGAAGCCGCCGCCGATAGCACCCTCTCTGCCTACGAGTCTGCTCAGGTTTGTATTTCTAATCTCAGATCTACTCGAATTTGTGTTTCTTTTTACAATGTTTCATTGATTTGGTTTCAACATACAATATCTTCTGCTAGATTTTTGTTATATTGCAACAATTACATTCAATGGTTCATGGATGTGCGAGTTCGGTATTGCAATCTGGTTGATTAGCTTTAAGATTTAGTAGTCGATTCTGCTTACGGTTTATCCTGTGGATCTTTGAAATTCTTCAAACGATTATTTTGGCCGCAGTGTGGAATACAATCTGTCGTATGTGTATCACGCTATGTATGCTTACTTCGATCGGGATAACATCGCTCTCAAGGGTCTTGCCAAGTGAGTCTCTGGTTATTCAAGAGTGTTGATTGTTGCTAGGCCTAATTGTGTCTGTTTTCTGTTTTTTTGGTTTATCCATAGTGAATTGTTGGTTTCTCGGTGTTCAGATTCTTTAAGGAATCGAGTGTGGAAGAATGAGAGCACGCTGAAAAGTTAGTGGAGTATCAGGTCTATTTTCCCTAACTCATAAGCCATAAACTGGAGCTTATTTGGTTCTAACATGTTTCTTGGTTTCCATGAATTGCAGAACAAACGTGGTGGGAGGGTTAAATTACAGTCGATTGTAGTAATGCCTCTCACAGAGTTTGAACATGTTGACAAGGGAGATGCTCTCTATGGTAAGCTATTACTTTGACCTATTGATGCTTTTTCTTCGTTTGTGGGTTCTGTACACGAAAGTCTCAAGTGATTTTTTTTTTTTAAGTTTCATATCTGTGCAACAGAATCATAACATTTGGAGAAATTAGAAGTTGAAACCAATAATATGTTGGCTTTGAAGAGACTGCAAGTTATTTTTATCGTCAAGAACTAAATAGCCCCATACAACTCTGTTATTTGTTGTTGCAGGCATGGAGTTGGCTCTGTCACTGAATTCAACATATCTTCTGCGAATTTTTTTATTTTTTGGTTTAGGATTTGGATTTAGCCTAAATTCTGAAGATGAAGCGGCTTGAAGATGAAGCGTCGGAAAGAGGAAGCGTTGAAAATATTTGTGTGTTTTTTTTTAAAGAGATGCCACGTGGCATTTTTAGAAGCAATAGGAAAAGCTGAGGTGTCACTCAACTGGAGAGAGTTATCCTCTCATTATAATATAGATTCACTCATACTCACTGTTATACGGATGGTGAAGTATAGTTTCAGCTCGACCTTTGATCTACAAATGGCTCATTAAAAGAGTTGGTTCCGGAACATCCATCTCGGTATGGAATGATCCTTAGATTCCGGCTTCTCGCCCGAGGTCAGCTCTCTGTAGAGTAGTCAATTACTATCCTTATCCTTACCTTCGGGTAAGTGATTTAATTGACACCCACACTTCAACGTGGAATTTACCACTATTAGCACAACTTTTCGACAGTACAGAGGTGGCTCTTATTAATGGAATACCAATTTCTAATAGCCCAAAACCAGATTCATTTAGATGGTTGTTAAAAAAAACAGGACGATACATAGTCAAGTCGGGATACCTTATTGCACAACAATATCTGGATGATGGTGAATTTGTGACTTTTGGACCTGACACTAGGAAACTACAGGCATACACATGGAAGATCAAATACCCACCAAATATACAACATTTTCTATGGCAGATTCTGACAGGTTGTGTTTCAGTAGGAGCAAGACTCCGTAGCCGTGATATTCAGATCGACCCAATCTGTACAAGATGCGGAATGCAGGAGAAAATGATTAACCATGCCATTTTTGAATGCCCCCCAGCGCTTCAAACTTGGGCCTTGTCAAGGATACCCACACCGGTTCTCAGGTATCCCACAGACGCAGTATTCACTAACATGTCACACTTGTTTTAGAAACTGCCAAATGATGACCAAATGTCGGTCTATCCATGGCTTATTTGGTACATTTAGAAATCTCGAAACGACAAAATATTCTCAAATCTGGATAGAGACCATCGTGAGCTTGTCCAGTTAGCGGAAGCGGAGGCAAATGCATAGACAACGGCACAAGAGCAGCCGGATGCACAATGCCAAACTAGGAACACATTGGTGGAATCAAATATGTATGGCGACCACTGTCAATTTGATGGGGCATGGAAGGCCACAGAATGTCGTGCGGATCTTGGATGGTTGTACCATTATCGAGAGACGGGCGAACAACTATTGGGGACAAGTAATTTGCGTCGGGGACTTACACCTCTTCAAATAGAGGTAGAAGCATTAGTGTGGGCTATGCAATGCATGATTCATTATAATAAGCAAGTAATGGTTTTCGAGACAGACTGCTCGGATGTGATGAAGATGGTATCTAATCTCGCAGAGTGGCCAGCTTTCTCGATTCTTCTTGACGTAGTCGACCGGTGCAAGAGGCGCTTCACCTCATTCTCCATACATCACATACCAAGAACGAAGAATACGAAGACATACAAGCTAGCACGCAGTGCATGAGATCTCCTTCACGATGTTTACTATATAAATGTTGTCCCGCCAGCTTGGATCTCCGGACCAGTCTATGAACAACAGTCTATGAACAACAGCTATCGGAAAAAAGAAGTATGAATCTTTCATTTAAATACCCTCATTCAAATCAAGTCTAGTAACTAATATATACTCTCAAACTAATTATGAACGATAATATTCACAAATTAACTGAGCAATAATTATAAAAACTAATTAAGCAATTTCATTAAAATTATATAACTACAAAACTAATAAAAAATTCATTAAATTATTTATATCATTATCTTTGATTATCTTTGTGAGAGTGAATGAGAATCACCACTTTGCAAATAATAGTATAGATTTTTTAGTGGAGAATTCTTTTTGCCCTAAATTTTTCCAACTAGTGGTGGAATTTATGGTTACTGTCTCATAGAAAGAAAAACCATCATTATTGTACGAATAAAAAATTCATCAATATTTTCATACATTACTCTTCTCCTGCTACTTTATTTCTACGTCAGAATAATATATTATATTCCATGGTTTTGTTTTATATATTTGGAGGGGTTAGTCTTATAATTATTAGCAAACCATCATTATCATCGGCTTATTCTCCCTTTTAGGATTTAAGAGATTATAAGACCATCTCCAACCTCTCATGCCATATGTTATTGCAAATGGCAAAAATATAACAATAGCATTGGGTTTTTCTCCAACCTCTCATGCCATATATCATGCTATAATTTTTTTCAACTTATTATTAATTGTTAAAACTACTTGATTTCTTCAAATTTTACAAAGTGAATCATTTATTTTTCTTTTTTGCAAAAACAACCAGAATTATATATTTTTATTATTATAATATTAAAAAAAAATACATCATATTATATAAAAATTATAGAAAACAAAGATTTTAACCTATTGTTTTATGTTTTTTGAATTTCTGTATTTTTAAAAATAAAATTTTAAGTTTATTATGGTTATGTTTTTATCTTTCTATGAAATAAATATTATTTATATTTTGAAAAAATTATGAGTATTGTTTATTTATTTAAAAAGCTTACCGATGGGACACTTACCAGTTACCACTATATAATTTACCCATTTTAGCTTTAGCTATATTTGCTGAAAATTAGTGCTGTACTATTTTTTGTCTATGTAAAATAGTATGAATAGTTTTCTTAAATTAAGGTTTGGATTTCTGACTTAGGGTTTTGATTTTTGGCTTTACTATATCAGTTTTGGGTTTGGGGTTTATATTTTGGGTTTAAGATTTAGGGTTAGGATTTAAATTTTGGATTTAGAGTTTATCTTATGGTTTAGTTTTTTAGGTTTAGGGTTAAGATTTTGAGGTTAGGATTTACATTTTGGATTCATGATTTATTTTTGGGTTTAGGGTTTATATTTTTTGATTTAGGGTTTAGATTATGAATTTAGGGCCTGACTGGTTTAAACGATGTGGTTGCGGGAGTTTGCGATTAAAATCTGTTTGTACGACTGGTATAGCAACTCATAGCGGTTGCGTTTGTGGATTATTTTTGACTGGTTAGCCAGCGGGTGCAAGAGCCGTTTAACCAAAAGTTACTAAAATAAACATAAAATATAATTATTCAAAACATATTGGGAAAAGAATTAAGAATATAGCCATAACAATATTTGGCTAGAGTACGTAAATACATTCATTAGGTTTTACCTATATTAACCTTCACCAAATTCAATACCATATTAAAAAGTATAGTACAGTTTGTTCTATTTAAAATCCAAAATACAAACCATAAACCTTTAACACACAAATCTAAACCCTAAACTAGAAATCTAAACCCTAAACCCAAAAACTAAACCCTAAATCCAAAAAACTAAACTTTAAAATCAAAAACTAAACCCTTAACTCACAAAACTAAAACCCTAATTTAGAAAAAAGAACCCTAACCCCAAAATCTAAACCCTCTACCCCATAAACTAAATTCTAATTTATGAAAAAGACCCTAAATCCAAAATCTCAATTCGAAACCCAAAAAACAAAACCCTGATTTTGGAAAATTAGCCATATCCCTAAACCCTAAACCTAATATATAAATCTTAAACTCAAACTCCAAAATTCTAAACCCAAAAATATAAACTCAAACCTAATATATAAATACTAAACACAAAATCTAAACTATAAACTCTAAATCTAAAAAACTAAACCCTAAACCATAAATGAGAAAAAAGAACAAGTTATTCTATCCCATACACAAACAAAAAATAGTACGGAATTGAATTTTATACATATTAGAAAAAGGGCAAAACTGGTATTATTGTAGAAAATATACTTTGTATCCTAGCCAAGACTTTGATATGATTAATTTGTTAATTTTGACTTCCAATATGATTATTCATTACAATTTCCCTGAAAGGGAAACTACACTGGATTATTCATTATGGTTAGAGTATTCCGTATATCTTCCATATTAATCCCACAAATGTCCCTGCCGAAAGAAAGAGAAATGTATATATTATTATATATGGGATGACCGGTTATATGGGTTGCCAGTTTATGAGTAAAGAGCACGAGGGTTTTAAAATTCGAAATGCCCACTGTCTGCTTCGACGTATTCGCCTAGGGTTTGTTCATCTATTACAGTCATTTCATCAGAAAGAAGCAACAATACTATTCAATTGGGATTGGTACCGACTTGGATCAGCCCGATTTCGCATCCGCTTCACCCAATACATACGAGGAGGTTTATCTGTTGGCGATTTAGTTCATTGCTGTCACCGTTTCGCATAATTCCGAATCTAATCGACGAAAAAGGTATGGGGTTTGAGTATATATTCAAAATTTAGCTATTGTTTGTGGATGTTAAGTTCTTGTTCGGATTTGGAGATCTATTGGAAAGTTCGATTCAGCTTGATTTTGATTGTATTCTGAACTTGATTTAGACAGGATATAGTGCGGTCGGATACTTAAAGTTGAAATAGTGAATTGATTCAATTAGCGAATTTGAATTTGGTAGAGTATAGTACATATGTGATATCGAGACCTTCTATACTATAATTGTGTATAGTATAATAAAATGTTTGTTACAATTAACTGTATTCTTGTCTGGTATAATATGTTGCTCTGATTATCGTGAGTTCACGTTGATGTCCACAGGATGGAGGATAGTGGTCTACCTCAACGTATGTTCCAGTCAGGGAATGAACCAACTGGTAGAAAGCGAGTGAATAACTATTTCAACTTAGAGTGGGTTGACCATATAAAAGCGTTGTTGGAAGAGGATCAGCTTGAGCAGTTAGCGGCGTCTCAGTTTGGAAGGTTAATGCAGATGGGCAATCACGTGTTCTCGGTGATGTTTCTACACTACATTCTGTCAAGACAGCTATCAACGAAGAAGAAGTATGAGTTGTGGTGGCTATTTGCGGGTAAACCCATCCGATATGGAATAGATGATTTTGCCTTAGTGACCGGTTTGGATTGCAGACCAGTTGAATGTGGTGAACGGAAGGGTAAAAAGAAAAAAAAATCTTCTGCCGTGCGAAGGAAGAATGTTGAAGGCAGACCTGGTGGACCGATGTGGTTTTCATTGTTTGGCACTGCGGATAAACCAACTCCTTCGTGGATCTTCGAGAGGCTTACTAGTGGGCGAAAGTTCAAGGACCCACTTGCAAGGTTCCGGCTTGCACTAATCCTTCCCGTAGAAGGAATATTGTGTCCTCAGAGTGGCTCAACTAATATACGGCCCAGTGTGGTCGAGATGGTTGCTGATATAGACGCGTTTCTGAAATACCCATGGGGACGTGAATCCTTTGAACTAACGGTAACGATTGCAAAGGCGAGAAGTCCTCAACAACTCGTTCAACCTACTACTGCCATACAGGGTTTCTCTCATGCAATGGTTCTCGTGACTGTCTGCTGCTGTCCGAGAATCATCTCTGGTGGAGCATTAATTGATCATTTGCTTAAAGAAGCCCATCTTATTGAAGACGTAATTCATACTGTGATCAGTAACCTTGTTGGGGTTAATATTGTTAGAGCACGTACTGTGGATTTGGAAGGGCAGGTAAACACCATAGCATATTATAGTAGTTTCCATACCGTTTGGCGTTTTCTATGGTTAAGGATGTGGTTGATTCGTTTTGCATATTGACAAGTGTACTCTGTGCAATTGCAGGCAGTGGTTAGGTCGTTATTGTGTGAGACCGTGGATGTGGTTGGAGGGGAACTTCATTTCCCGGATGAAGCAGAAGATGATGCGGTAGCACACATGAAGCAGTTGATTGAAGAGGATTATCCATTTGAGCATAACACCTGGGCCGGCGGTGTGACTGCTTCAGAAGCCGCCAGAGCAGAATCAGATGGTAGTGATGGAGAGGAGAGTGATGCAGGGCATCAACCGTCTGCTCCGGCTAGTGAAACTGGTGGTGGAAATAACCGTCGAGGCGCTATGGAGAACGACAACTTCTGGGATATGCCGATGTTAAAACCCCCGCAGACAGTGGAAGTGGGCCAAGGTAGCAGTGGAACTGGCAGTTCTATCACACAGTTGGCAGACGCATTTGAAGAGCGTGCACGGAGGATGTTTGTTGTGTACACCGAAAGTGTTAAAGGGTATGAGGAGACAACATTGGAGAAAATGAAAACTCAAATAGCTGAGTTGGGTCAAAACATGTCACGCGACCCGAACACATCGGCTGAGACAGAACACCCATCCCCTCATGGAGAAGTTGAAGGCACAGAGAATTATAATCAGAATATTGCAGCTGCTGCTCCACCTACGGGTAAGAGTCAATTGTTTCCGTGAATGTGTCAGTCCACATTCGGCTAATTGTGAGTTGTATGGCTGTAGGGAATGGGGTTTGTAATGAAAAAAAGCATGCCGAAAGTGGTGAGACAATTGCTGTGGAAACGCAACCGGCTGTTGGGAAGATATCTACTTTTGGGTTCAGATAATATGACCACCCTATGTACCATAATTGTGTAGTTCATACTGAGGCGACTCTGTTTCAGGGAACTACAGGGGAAGAGCCTACGGAGTCCACTTTAGAGATAGCAAACTCGCGAGCGGAGCGGACCCAAGTTGAGCAGTATGAAGCGGTTATACCGCCAAGGCGTGAGTCTGCAAGGGTTCGGAATATCAGAAATGGTTCCGCAGCTGTTATCGAGCGTGACACACAGAAGCCGCCTGCTAAACGGTCACTTGAGGTAAATCTGCCCATGCCCATCTTCTAACTTATCGCTCTTACTCGGATACTTTGATATGAATGCGGTTCATTATACTTACTCATATAGTTGCAATATAGTACTATATTATTTTATTGTTATTGTGTGGTATGGTTTGGTTTCCGTATATTCCATCTGATTGATATGGTATGATTGGATGCATAAGTTCGTTCCATCTGTTTGGTTTATTTGTTTAATTATGTCGATGCAGGTTACCACAGGACGACCGAATGTTGGTAATATAATGCCACCTAAACGTCCAAGAAGTAAGCGTACAATGAGTGAGCCTGCTGCTAGCAACGTCAAAACACGTGGTACATCAAAGGGTCGGAACTTCAGTAAAGATTCCCATGATGTAAATCCGAAAGAGATAACTCCTGCAGCAGAACCTATGTTATGGAATACGAAAGTCTGCACACTTGTCAGAAGGTTGCGGCGTTTGAAGTGTTCGTGAATGCTAATATGTAAGTATATATTCTGCATTCCATTCCATAAATTTACCATAATACAGCATTGTTATTGTTTATACCTTTCCATCCCATTTCATAACGGATACCACACTAATAGGAAGCTCATACCCGCAACTGGTCTGCATATAGAAGGCAAAGCTTTACAACAATTCTATAATGCCACTGCCGCGCCTGCGCCAGAGGTTAGTTAATACAGTCAACATGACGTAACCCTATAAATTCATTTTCATTCCAACAAATGGCTAGACCTTAAGACTACGCTAAATTTTCAATTGTTGCAATTATGTTAACAGATAATTGAGGGTGTTGTACGAACCGTGCAACTAAGGCATGACGCATGTGGGGCTCGTACTTATGATTTCATTCCACCGTCCTACATAACAGCAATAAAGGGAGACTATGGTGGTTTCATTTCATGCGCGGATAAGGATTGCTTTGTGCTCTCCGATTCAGTCAGACTCCCACTACCGACCCGCCCACAAATTGAACCAGATGTCACGCATCTGTACTGTCCTTACATGGTAGATGGGACACATTGGGTTGGAATTGTTATTGACATACCAGCAAAGTCCATTACAGTGCTTGACTATAACACTGCATGCGTCTCCGATGCTGGAATGGAGAATTACCTACAACCGCTAGCTGCTATGCTACCATACGTTATCCGGGACGCATTTGGTGTAGATGCATCAACTTCAGCACAACGCACGCCGTTTCCTGTAAAGCGTCTTGACATTGCCCTCCTTTGTGAGTCTCCAGATAAACGTTATACTTATATTGGGTTAGTTAGGTCCGTCATTTATTAAGGATGTATATGAAAATGTATAAACTACTTTCGTAATACAATGCACTACTCAGGTCTCTCGGCCGTGGCTGCACTGGCGTTGATTGAGCTGCACGCAACGAAGCAAATACTTGCATCCGGTGACATAGAAGATGACACATTGCGTACTGCAAGTAGAAACTACGCGGTTTCCCTGTATGAGTACCTTGTATCAATTACTGCTGCTTGAGTGGAAGGAGAACTCTCTTTCCAATTGTCACAACATCACAATTCCCTCACTACGTAAACTTGACCTTTGTTTTATATACCATTTCTATGTTTCTTGATTCCATGCGAACTTGTTGAACTTGTGTTTTATATGTTAACTCTATCTTAGCCAAACAAAACGTGTATTCCGTTGGAAACGAAAACCATTATGTTCGAATATACACGCTTTGTATCAACGAGTCACACGTTTTCCTGTTACTCATGTCTGTCCCGTGTTTGGCAGATTCTCAACTCTGAAATAGTAATATGCGTTATACTATAAGTTTTTGTAGTATAGTTACAGTCTTTGGCATTTGTTGGTGTACCTTGTATTATTCAATGTGTGTGTGGGGTTAATATATATGGAAAATAGGGTGGGGTGGGGGTTGCAGGGTTTAGGGTTTATTATTAAGTGTTTAGGGTTTAGTATTGGAACCACAATATATACTTTGGTTACATTTCCAGAAGTTTTCCTGAAACTAATATAGCCATATCAAAACATATATTACAGGTGAACTATATGGAAAATAATGTGTGTGGGGTTTGCAGGATTTATGATTTAGTGTTTAGGGGTTAGTATTGTTACCACAATCTATACATTGATTACGTTTCCAGAAGTTTCACTGAATAGGCGTGTACTTGATGTACCGGACTTGTATTTAGTTACTATGGGTTTCCATTTTGTTTGTCTTTATAGTATAGTGTTGTGTGATATAGTCCTGCGATGGTTATGTGTAAATGATGAAAGGAATAACAGTTGGTAAAACAATTAAGCGGAATTCATAATTAAAAGGGCATAGTTATTTTACATCAGAAGAGGAGGTTTACATGGCTGCTATATACATTGCAGGCTTTGCCGTATACACAAAAGGGATGAGGTTTGGTATGGACTCGAAAATATTGTGGTATATTTCACTTTTATGCATATACCACACTATTTCCTCGTTCTCCTCCCCTAAAATTAAGCTACTGCACTTCACATGCGTCTTCAATGTGGATCACCATTATTCAGCCGGTTGCCAAAAAACTTGTTTCCTGCAACACCCTCCTCGCCCCATACATTAGTTGCTTTACTTATATAGCATACCGGCAGGAGGCTTTGTTATGCCCCTGATGGCGACACCTTGTGCACCGGCGCCCGTTGTGAAGACCTGTCTTCTGCACAATGTGAAAGAAGAAATAATTAATATAGTAACTGCAATTTGGATTTACTGTCACGATTATAAGTTGTTACCTTAAATTCACCACGTGACTTAATTCTTAGCTTCTTAGGTCTACCTGGAGGTCGGCGGACATTAGGTGGCAGAAGATCACCACCAGCTGGATCAAGAATGTCTCCACCACCAACAGAAGGAACTGGGTATATCTTCCCGTCGAACCCACGAGTCCACGTCTCTCCATAGAAGCCCCATGAAACCATAAAGTCAGTTGGCAATTCGATACTAACCGCAGCAGCGATGGCGTGAGCACAAGGCAGGCCCAATAGCTGGAACTTCATGCAGCTGCAGGTCCCATCTAGTATTTTGACAATGTGGCACTCACCAGATTGCTCTTGAACTTGGAACTCCATTGGGCATATAGTTCGCACCGCCAGGGTTGTGGACGCTTCAAAGGTCTGTTCAATTATCTTCTGGACGTTTGGGGTCAAGGTGCCTTTATGCAAAAGAGATTTCGCCCTTCTAATTGCAAATCACGTCATGACAGACGTACGAATGTACTCCATCATGCAAATGAGTGGAAACTCTCGTGCCTCCTTCAATACTGCATTCTAGGACTCAGCTATGTTAGAGTCCATGATATTATAGCGTTTCCCAGGGAAATGAACACGCGTCCAGTGACTAAACCCTGAAATTGAAGCAAGCATACATCGTAAACATCATCATCTTTTCGATTCTATGGCATACTATATACACAGTATATGAAATGGTACAAGCAACATAAACAGAACACTCACCAATGTTCAACAAGTAAGCTGCGCAGCCTGGATTAAGTCTTTTTATCTGTAAGAATATTCGGTTGAAGTCGAAGACAGTGAAGCTTCGAGCAGCCGCAGACATTAGGTTTGCCAGACGTTTGGATTTATATTTATCCTTCACATTACGCCAAAGATGGACGGTGCAAGCCCCATGATGTGATAATGGGTAAACCTATAGGCAATACGTGCGTATGAAGTTAGTATTTCACACTATTCATGTGGCATATAGAACTATATGTAGGGAGTAAACATCATGTGCATATACTATATGACTGTAAGATATGGTGTATAGCATATAGAAAATATCGGCTTACCTTTTCTAATGCTGGGTAAATGCTAGCGTGGCGATCGGAGATGAAGACGAGTTCATGTGAATCAGGTACAAATGTCTTCAATTGTGCCAGAAACCATTCCCAAGAACTGTCATTCTCGCTATCTACCACAGCAAAAGCGAGAGGGAAGATTTGAAAGTTTGCATCCTGAGCACATGCCGAAATCAAGCATCCACCGAAACGGCCTTTCAGACTGGTGCCATCAACTACAATAACTTTCCGCATGTAAGGATAGCCAGCAATTGATGCACCATAAGCGACGAAGGTGTACTTAAAACGCAGTTGACCGGTCGTGTCCACCTCATGCTCTAACACACAAATACTTCCGGGGTTTGCAGATTGCAGTAAGTACAAGTACGCAGGCAGTAGTGCATAACTACCAGCTCTTGAACCCATGGCATGGTCCATTGCCATCTCCCGTGCCCGCCATGCTTTCCAATATGAGGCATTGACGTGGTAGTCATCCAATAGAATCTTCCTTACTCCTCCTGGATTAGGGCCCTGCTTAATGCCAACAAACTTAGACTGCATTATCTCCCCGATCACTTGTGTTGTTGCTAGCTTGTGGTAGTTGCGTCTTACATCCACGGTACACGAATGTGTCAACGTTGCCTGTCTAATCTGGAAGTTTCCAGTCGCATCAATCAGAACAGAGTACACACGCCACTCACATGTTGGGCAGCTGCACTTCATGACCATAAATGTTGGGTTTGACCTCTTTGTGCGAAAGTGAAACCTCCTATTGATAGCATGAATAGCGATCTTCAGTTTGCAATCTGTTTTCAACTTGAACACTCGACCCACGAAAAGTTTATCACCCTCATAAGGCACGTCGGCAAGAGCTGAATCAACATCTGAGAAACAAAAAGTCAGGGTAAGCAAATACGATAGATGAATATTGGAAAACAAATATACTACTACCATTGTTCCATACCATAATCAATTATAGTATGATAACTATTTGTCTATTCCATATACTGTGTACGGAATAGTTATATATATACAGAGAATTGCTTACCATCTGCATCGCCAATGGGGAAAACCGGTGGAGCATCCCTGCCGAACATGGCTGGATCGGCACTGATATCGCAAAGGATGTGGTGTAACGCTTCGTCGAATCGTCCCCATGGATTGTATGGGATATTTTCTCTGGCTCCAGACGGCGTGTCAGATGAAGTATCACCCGTGAAATGCTCCCCTGATTTTTCTCCTTCAGTGCCTTCCTCCTCGGGGAACAATTGCCTTCGTGCACCATACGTTCTTAGACCTTCTCTGATGATATGGTCAGGACTGTTGCGCCAAACGGGGACAAGAGCATCCTCACCGTCGCTGTCTGAGTCGCTATCATCTGCTGCCGCAATGGCCTTCCCTTTATCACGAGGATCACATTCGGCGTTTTGTAGACGGATAATGGGTTCGCCTTCGCGAATAGAAATCCCTCCTTCTCTGGCTCTCTTCCGTTCGGGGACTGTCTTCTCAGAATGTATAGTCGGAACGACTTGCTCGTCCTCTGCTCTCGTTCCTTGAGGAGCGGTTAGCGGAGCGGTTAGCGGAGCGGTTAGCGGAGCGGTTAGTGAAGTTTCTGACATTGCAAAGCGATGCCACTCTTCATCTGTTCCTTCTCCGTCCGACTGACCACCTATCCCATCATCTGCCACTGTTGTAAATGGTGGTTGATACTGACTACAACGTATCCGCTCATCCTCTGCCATCATTGATCCGATATGACGTGTGACCGTGACGCAGAGGTTTATTTCCTCGACGTGACGCCTCATCTGGACAAAGACCTCCACTTCATGGTCATATGTTATATACTGTGGGGTGGATCCATCGCCATCATCTATTGCCATCCATGGTGGATATTGATACGCCAATTCGATGGATATATTTTTCGCTAGAAGGTGAAGTGTTCCTTTCACGAGCGAGACAAGCGCCGCGTAAGAGAGGTTTGTCTGAAGTTGAATGGTTTTGGGAGCTAGCATTGGGTCGTATTCGGAAATCCACTTCCCATTGTCCTCTCTGTTCCACGTCCCGAGAAGTAACTCCACCTGATCTTGGAGATACACCTGCGGAATCAAGAGGGGAGTGTAAACTCAGTATAAAGCGGCTACATTAAATGGTATATCAACATAAATTACAGATCTGTACTGTTTCCTCAATCTAGTGTATACTAACTATATACTGTACTATATTGAGTAACTACACAATTCAACCACCAACGACATACAGTTCCTAACCTGTGGGTTTAATGTTGCCGTATTAACTGAACCACCGTCTTCGTCTTCAGTCATTGTCGACACCGTGAAATACAGAGTGAGTAGGTAAGATGTTTAATGTTTACAGTACAGTCTGCGTATTCTCATATGGTATGGGGCCTTTTAAAGATAATGAGAGTGACTAATGTCCATATATAATGGTATAAACTCTTTATTTTTAATGTAATCAAGTTATTAATGGTTAAGATAGAGATTTGACTATTTTATGTTTTCAGTAAAATTATGTGAGTATTAAAAGAGAAACGAAGTTGGTTCTGTTCAATGTTACTTTGTGTGGTGTAATATCTCATTTTAACTATTCGGCCACATCATCACAATTCCCTTCGAAATCGGTTTGTGAAAAATGTTCCCGCTTAAATCACTAAGCCCTTACACGTAAATTCACAAGACCACTGGCCAGATTTCTAATTAATGTTTGGATATGGCTATATCCTCTATTATGACTCCCAATAGTAATATTCAGCTAATTGACCCAAAGAAAAACCATCATTATTGTACGAATAAAAAATTCATCAATATTTTCATACATCACTCTTCTCCTGCTACTTTATTTCTACGCCAGAATAATATATTATATTTCATGGTTTTGTTTTATATATTTGGAGGGGTTAGTCTTATAATTATTAGCAAACCATCATTATCATCGGCTTATTCTCCCTTTTAGGATTTAAGAGGTTATAAGACCATCTCCAACCTCTCATGCCATATGTTATTGAAAATGGCAAAAATATAACAATAGCATTGGGTTTTTCTCCAACCTCTCATGCCATATATCATGCTATAATTTTTTTCAACTTATTATTAGTTGTTAAAACTACTTGATTTCTTCAAATTTTACAAAGTGAATCATTTATTTTTCTTTTTTGCAAAAACAACAAGAATTATATATTTTTATTATTATAATATTAAAACAAAATAATAATAAGGTTAAAAACAAAATATAATAATAACAAAATATATATTTTTAGCTTCAGCGGCTAAAAACATGTATATATGGACGAAAGTTGAGTAAGGTTTTCTTATGCCGGAAATAGAAAGTTTCCAATGAGACGTTTTTTATCATTTTCTTTTTTTTTTTTTTTTTTTTTTTTTTTTTTTTTTTTTCTTTTTTTTTTTTTTTTTTTTTTTTTTTTTTTTTTTTTTTTTTTTTTTTTTTTTTTTTTTTTTTTTTTTTTTTTTTTTTTGTTTTTTTTTTTTTTCCGGAAATAGAAAGTTTCCAATGAGACGGGCCTCTTTTCTCACGTCGTGCATGGGCTGGGATTGAACCACGGAATAATCCAAATATTATCTAGGCCTCCTACTGAGCGAGCCAAGGCCTTTCCTCAGCGGTCCGGGCCGTGGGACGCTCCAGTTCTCCCCATGGGTTTCACTTGGTCGCTAACCGGACATGTCTTGGTAGAAAATACGTTTCTCACTGATGGTTCATCAAAATGGCTTGAATCTACTTCGAACGGATACATGACTCACATATCTATCCAGAAAGACCAAGATCACCGCTTTTGGAGGTTGGGAACACTTCCATTCACGGCCAAACTTCCGAATCTCCGTTTCTGCTCGAAAGCGAGAATCGAACACTTGGAGATAAATTGATGCTCTGGACTTACGAACTTGTATGGACTTTGGTTTTAGGCTCTTTTGCTCCTTTTTACATCCTTTTTAAATGGTTTCATCTATAAAGACTTCAAATCCCACAAATACAAGAAAACTATCTCTAAAGGCAAAAGGTCTTATGAAAAACGCTTGAAAACATAAATAAATACTAAGTAAAAACATGTAAAATATAGTGATATCAATTAGATCGACAGATCAAGAGAACAGGAAATGAAATTTGGCTTCCGTGATGGACGGCGCACCGGAGCGACGCCCAGATCTGAGAAAACGCGTGAAAACTTGGTCGGAAAAGCTTTGGTCGATAGAGGAGAGAGAAAAGTTCACTTGATATTCTTGATTCATCTAGAATTATATTGAATTGAGAAAACTTACAAGGTGTTAAACACCAACCAACCTTACAAATAAGACCACAACCACCCAAAATCAAGGAAAAACCAAGATCCCCTCAAGCATAAAGGAAGCACACAAAGGTACAATAGGACAATGAAATACTAAGCTAGTGAAAAACGAAAATCACCTAAGACTATTCCCCCACAAGGCCACAAGGGAGACTAAACCTTACAAAATAACAAAAAAAACAAACTAAACCTATGGAACTAAAGAAGAAAACGAAAAGGACATAAGAGGTTTAACCAAAATGAAGAACAACATCAACTCACACTTATGCACCAGCCAAGCCCTGCTTCAAACTTCTAGAGGACCTTCCTAGAAATCTCACCTTCACCATGAAAGCCCTCGGCCAGACTATGGCCACAGAGGTCTGAAGCCTCCCTTCCCTGAAGACACATAAAGTACCTTACAATTCCAAACGCCAGCCTTCCAAACACGCCAAATAGTCCTAACTGGCATAAGTGCTAATGGCGGAATGAGCTCTTGATCAGACATAAGATAGAAAAAGGAGCAAATGAAACCAAACCGGATAACACCATACTCCAGAGACAGAGAACGTGAAAGATCAAACCGGAGAAGAGCCAAAACCCAAACGAACTCTACAGAAGCTAAACGAAACACAAAGGCAGTGTGAGAGAAAGTATAGGTGATAAACCAGATCTTGAACAGAAATAAAGGACCAACGAGGAGAACATGTGGGGATTGCGGCAAGCCATACCAAATATCTAACAGATCCGGAACCACCAACCTCAAGAACACCTAGATCTGTTCAGATCTGGAGAAAAAATCACTTAAACACATAAATCTGCTTCAATCAAAGAGAACCATATCATAATGGAAAGGAGAAAAACAATAAAAAGCAAGGAAAACAATCAACCCCATACCCCGGCGTTGTAGAAGCCACCGAAGCCAGAAAAGGAGGAAGACGGCGACTAACTCGAACTTAGAAAGAAAGCAAAGCTATTTAGTTAGAAAGAGAATACCAGACGAACCACCATGACATTTTGTATGTTATTATCTTTAGAATAAAATTCAAAGATATTAAGTTTTGTATTCCAAAGTATAAACTTAGTAATTAAATAAAATTAAAGGTATGGATGATTTTCGTTTCATACCGTTAAATAAAATTAGGGTAAGGCATAATTTTGGTCTCGTTCCGTCTTCCTGTCTCGTTTCACCTTGTTCCATTCCGCACTGTCCCATTCCGCACCGTCCCGTTCATTTCCTTTCGTTCTGCCTCATCTTGTTTCTTCCCGTCTTGTTCCGCCCCGTCTCATTCATTCCCATCTCGTTTTGTCTAGTCCCATTCATTTTCTTTTAGTTATGTCTCATCCTATTTCTTCATGTTTCGTTCCACCCCTTCCCATTCATTTACTTTCTGTTCTGCCTCGTCCTATTTCTTTCCGTCTTGTTCCGCCCTGCCCCATTCATTCTCATCCCGTTTTGCCTCACCCATTCATTTCTTTTCCGTCCTTCCTCGTTTTGCCCTGTCCTATTCATTTCCATCCCGTTTTGCCTTGCAATGTTCGTTTCCTTTCCGTTCAGCCTCGTCGTGTTTCTTCTTGTCTCGTTCTGCCCCATCCCATTCATTCACATCATGCTTTGTCCCATTCATTTCTTTTTCGTTATGCCTTCGTTCCTTCCCGTTTCGTCCCACCATGTCCCATTCATTTTCGTCCTGTTTAGCTTCGTCCTATTTTTTTTTTCCCATTCGGCCATCAATGTTCGCTCTATAATATTTTGACATCAGAAGACCACCGTCACGAAATATATATTCCAAGCGGATACAATACATACCAAATCATTTACAGATATTTTTAATACAACATGAAATTCTTACATTTTATACGTGTATTTTCGTATATTCATTTTAAATTTTGAAATTTTTAATTAAATAAATAAATAAATAAATAAATAAATAAAATATATATATATATATATATAATTTTTTAAATTATTTAAACCAATTTGATAAAACTACAATTATTAAATTAAAATTTATATATATAAATGATAGTTTATAAAGAAAATGACTTTTCAAATTCTATTTGATTCTATTAATCTAATGATTGATAGTTATTATGATAAAAATAAAAATATAATAAGTCAAATAAAGAATTTAAAACTAACAAAATGAGTTGATGATATGTCACAATTTTATAGGAGTTTGATGATGTGAAGGCCTAAGAAGAGTGGCCACTTACATCAAATCTCTTTTGATTTAAACAATTTTTTTAAATCTCCTTGAAAACAATTGATATATCCATATTTTACATGTTTTCAATAAGGTTTTTATCATATTTTTTAATACAAATAATGTGGTTTTTATGCTAAAGAGGTAGTTTTCTTGTATATTTTGATTCTGAGTATCAAATAGGTCAAAATGGCAAAAAAGATGTTAAAATGGAGAAAATGAGCATAATGCCCAAATCTAACTAAAGTTCCCAAGCCTAGAGGTAGCACAAAAATCACTTTTCTCGCTATAAGGAAGAGCAAGAGCACCCAAAGTTTCACCATGCATTCATGCCTTCCCGACGTCGAAAAATCACGATCTTGATCTTGAAAGATAGATATTTGAGTCATGCATCGCGTCGAAGTGGAAGGAGGTCATTGTTATCAACCATCAGAGAGAAAATTATTTTCTACCAAAACGTGTCCGGTTATCGATCAGATGAAGCCCATGGGAAGATTTGGTGTGTTTCGCGGCCCGTAGGAAAAGTTTTGACTCATCTTGACACTGGTTTAGCTCAACTAAGGAGGCTTCCTTGGCCCGATCCCGGCCCGTTCAAGAAAGTGGGAAGACTCGTAAATTAGAATGTTCGGCGCGTGGAAAATTGGCTAATAAATTCAATGAGATGTGGTGGAAAAATCTAGGTGCTATTGTAATATGCAAATTAACGGATTGGAGAGTTTTCTTGGGTAAGGGTATGGTGAATGTGACATTTCATATATATAATGATCATCTCTTAATTGTATTCGTATTGTGTTAATTATTATTGAGTTGGTTTCCAAGATGGGACCATGTTGTTGGTTATTCTTGTGTTAATTAGTCTTGGTCGATCACAATTACATGAATTTCCATGTATGATAGGGTGATACCGATTAAAAATAAACGAAAGAGTGAGGGTTGTATCATGATTCAGGGGTGATAAATTCCTCACATGGTATTAGTATGTGTTCTTATGCATGTTGGACTTAATTAATTATTTATAGTCTAAATTCAATGCTCATAATTAATTCTCACCTACTTGTATTTTATTTTTAATATTTTGCTAGCTGGTAAACGACACAGATTTTTTCTTTCTGCTGATTGATTTTTTAAACAGAGTTTCCCAACTAGCTAGCTGCTATATTTGTGTTTAGAGGTATCAAAATGGATCTAAATCTATGAGTTGACCCAATCCATCTTATCCATTAATCCAAATGGTTGAAAATTTGGATACAAATAGGTTTATCGATAAGATGGATAATGGATTAGTTGGATTGGGTAAAAATGGTTTAGTTTATAATAGGTTGGATCAATGGCTGACCCACTTTATTAAATTAATCTAAAAGAAATGTTTTAATAAAAAAAAAATTAAAAACAATTCTATAGTTTTGTGGAATAACTCGATTTTACGGTTTTGGCAAAACAATACGGTTTTCAACAAAAACCGTAAAATCACAACTTTTTTACCAAAACCTTAGCGTCATGTTTTCCGTCAGAAACGTAAACTCACAGTTTACCGCCAAAACTACAAAATCACGGTTTTCCGCAAAAACCTTAAAATCACTGTTTATGCCAAAAACGTAAAATCACGTCTTTCCGCTAAAACCCTAAAATTACGAATTTCCGCCAAAACCGTAAAATCACGTCTTTTTGGCAAAACCGCAAAAATACGATTTTTCACCAAAACCGTAAAACCACGTTTTTCCGTCAAAAACGTAAATTCTTTATTTTCCGCCAAACCCGTAAAATTGTGATATATGCTAAAAACGTAAAATCATGTCTTTCCTTCAACACCATAAAAATCACGATTTTTACAAAACCGTGAAATCACGTTTTTCCATCAAAGACGTGAAATTGCAATTTTTATGGTTTTGGAAAAATGTGTATTTACAGTTTTGGCGGAAAAAAGTGATTTTATGTTCTTGACAGAAAACCTGATTTTACGGTTTTGTTGGAAAATCATGATTTTACGGTTTTGGTGGAAAATATGATTTTACGATTTGGCGGAAATACGTGATTTCACCGTTTTGTGCATAAATCACAATTTTACGGTTTCGGAGAAAAACAGCGATTTTACGTTTTTAACGGAAAAACCTGATTTTACGGTTTTGATGAAGATCGTGCTTTGCGTCAATCGAACCTGTGTCAATCGAACCTGTGTCGAGGGACACAAAGGAGAATATAAGTCCCAATTCTTGTGTTTACGGATGTTACACTATAAGTCCCTCTGAATGAAAAAAAGAAAGGAAAATATAAATTCCTACTCAATCACCCTAATTTTGAGGTTAGGAATTGAGATAAAGGTGTAATATGTATAGGACTGTTTGATAAACTCACTTACCAACTCCAGCACAAATTAAGGGTTTTGTGTTAAAAACCATAAAATATACTCCCTCCGTTCCATATTATTTGATGTTTTAGTTTTTTTCACTTGTTCCTTATTATTTGATGTTTTTTTTTTTTTCAAAATAGACTTTGATTAATAAAAGCGTTTAGTCTCCCGGCGCTAAAAATGCTCGGAGAGCCAATTTTGCAGAGGAATCCGCCAAACAATTAGTTTTCCTCGAAACAGAAATGAAATTAACTTCAATGAAAAGAGAGGAGAGATGAGCTATATCCTCGAGAATTCCGTAGATCTCAGAAAGTCGGTTTCCATTTGTAATCGCTGTTACGATCTGCTGCGAGTCCGACGCCACCTGAATTACAGAGATTCCAATTGATAAAGCGTGATCCAGTGCATGTCTGATTGCCAACCCTTCTGCCACCAAGGGTGAGGATACGTGTCCTCTTGATGAAGATCCTCTATTGATCTGCCGCTTGTTTTTATCTTGGAAGATCCATCCCATTCCTCCGGCTCGGTGCTCTCTGCTCCAAGCTCCGTCTGTGTGACAGACAATTGCATCTGGTGAGCTCCTCCCTCTGGATTTTACCTCCACAAACGGGGATTTAGGTAACTCCGATTGAGCCTCTTTCCATTCCCTTGCTCTCATCAACCCTAGATTTATGGTGTCTAGAGCATTAACCCCTCTTGACATTAAAATTTTTGCTATTTCTGCTCAGCCAAATACTCCATAGGATCCAAGGGGTCAAAGATCCAGCTTGAATTCCTATAGGCGGAAGGGGTAGTAGCATTTTGATTCCTGCAATTCCGGCTTTTGTAGAGGTGAAGCCTGCTGATACCACTTGTTCTCTGAATGGCGCCAACTTCCAGACCGATTGAGCAAAAGGACAATGGAATAGAAGGTGAAGCGTTGTTTCTCTATCTCCACAGTGGACGCAGTTTGATTGACTGATAATTCCCCGCACCGCAAGGTTTTCTCCCACCGGTAATGCTCCCAACACTGCTTTCCACATAAATATTTTTAGTTTTGGCGCAAATTCACCTTTCCATACCTCTGTTATCCAGTTGAAGGTACTATCTGGCTCTACTTCATTCCTTTTACCATTGGCACGATTTCTGGCAACAAAATACCCTGTTTTGACAGTGTACTCTCCTGATCCATGTGAGAGCCAAGCAAGCCGATCTCTTGTTTCCATCCGACCAGGTATAATGCTTAGAATCTCCTCTTTAAATGCGGGAAGTAGTTCGTTTACCAGCTCTTCATTCCATAATCTCGAACTTGGTCTGAATAAGTCTGCCACCTTAAGGTCTTTAACCTCTTTTGGGGCTGGTCCCATAGGTCGTTTTGGCTCTTCGTTGATAACCATGGGTCCTCCCACACTCGTGTTGATTCACCATTGCCAATAACACTTCCTAATTTTTCCTTTACCAGCTCTCGCCCAATCATTATTCCCTTACATCCGTGTGAACCTGCCTCTGTTACATGTTCATCAAGGAAGTCAGATTTCGGGAAGTACTTACCTTTCAGTATTTTTGCTAGCAAACTCTCTGGCTTTGAGAGGATTCTCCAACTTTGTTTGCCTAGGAGAGCATCATTGAAGTCCTGAATGTCTCTTATGCCTAGTCCGCCCTCTCTCTTTCCTCGGGTAAGCTTATCCCATGATACCCAACACATCTTTTTCTTCTCAGGATTTGCGTCCCACCAAAACCTCGTTAACACCGATTGTATTCTTTTGCATAAACTCACATGCAATTTGAAACAGGACATTGAGTAGGTGGGCATCGAGGATAGCACGGATTTGAGCATCACGAGCTTCCCTGCACCTGAAAGTTGTTTTGTGGACCATGAGATTGAGCGTTGCCTTATTCTGTCCACTACCGAACTGAAAAGGTCTTTCTTTTTCCTTCCAAACGCCTCCGGTAACCCCAGGTATTTTCCTTGCCCTCCTTCGTTTTTGATTCCAAGCTGATCTTTAACTCTTGCTCTTATACCTGCTGGAGTTTTCTTTGAGAATGTGAATGCTGATTTTTGGCAGTTTATTTTCTGACCAGAAGCTTCTTCATATTTTTGTAGGATATCCTTAAGAGCTTTGCATGTTTTCTCATTGGATTTGCAGAAAAACATTGTGTCGTCTGCAAAGAGTAAGTGATTAATCCTTGGACTTCCATTCGCTATTCTTATACCAGCTATCTGACTGTTGTCTTGTGCCTTTGAACAGAGCCCTGAGAGGACTTCACTACACAATATAAAGAGATAAGGCGATAGTGGATCTCCCTGGCGTATTCCCCTTGTAGGTATTACTCTTCCTTTTGCCGCTCCATTAATCAGAATTTGAAAAGTAACTGAGGTTACACATTGCATAATCCATCCTATCCAGGTTGAGTGAAATCCCATCCTTTCCATTACCAGCTTGATGAATTCCCATTCCACACGGTCATATGCTTTTGTCATATCAGTTTTAATAGCCATTGACCCTCTCTTCTTGGCTTGTGATATTTTCAGGAAATGGAGGATTTCATGTGTGATCATTACGTTGTCCGTGATCGCTCTTCCTGGGACAAACGCCGATTGATTCTCCGAGATTAGACTGTCCAAAATTGGATGCAACCTTGCGGTGAGTATTTTGGAAATAATTTTGTAGTAGACGTTACACAATGTTATCGGTCTGTAATCCGCAACTCCCTGAGGGGATGGTTTCTTTGGTATCAGGCAGATGTGGGTAGCATTGGTTCCTTTTGGTAGAACACTATTCCTGAAGAAGCATTGGACTTCACGCACTATGTCTGCTCCAATTACTCCCCAGTTGGAGTGGAAGAAGCTAGCTGAGAACCCATCTGGTCCTGGTGCTTTATCTGGATGGATGGAGAAAATTGCAGCTTTTATTTCCTCCAAAGTCGGGATTTTGATTAGCATCTTATTGGTCTCCTCTGAGATCTTTGGTGAGATGCTTTGGTTAATAGTTTCAGCACACGACGCTCCTTGGGAGGTAAACATTTCTGTAAAGTAATTTGTTATTACTTCCTCTATTTTCTCTTCTTCAAAAACTGAGGTTCCATTCCCATCGACAATTACAGAGATGGTATTTTGAGCTCTTCTGCCTCTAGTGGCTGCGTGGAAGTAACCACTGTTTTTGTCTCCCAGGTTTAACCATAGTTGTCTGCTTCTTTGACGCCAATACTCTTCTTCTGCTCGGTAAGCATCTTTAAGCTCTCTGTTTATCAGGTAGATTTGAGCCTCATTGCTTTCGTCGTTAGTCATTGCGTTTTCTAACTCAGCCTTCTTTGCCTCAATCTTTTTCCGGCTATTGAGATGATGGTTGCGATGCCATTTGATAATTACCCTTTGGCAGCTTGATATTTTTTGCTCCACCGTGTCTCTCGAGTATAGGTTCCAGGCTTCTGATATGAGCTTGCTTACTTCTTCATTATTCCTCAGTCTTCCATCATATCTGAATAAACCTTGTCTCCTTTTTGTGTTTAACTGAAAGACAGATAACACAGGTCTGTGGTCGGAGCCTTCAAAATTCAGATATTCGCTTCTCCCAGATGGGTACGCTTCGATCCAAGCACTATTCGCCATTGCTCTATCGAGTCTGCATCTTACCAAGTGTTTTCCCCTGACGCCTCTCCATGACAGGTAGTTCCCTGAGTGTCTTAGATCATATAGATCACTCTCTGACATGAACGATCTAAACTCCACAAACGAGTTTTCGGCTCTAGGTGGACCTCCCGCCTTTTCCGAGTTGTCGAGGATTTCGTTGAAGTCTCCAGTGAGAAACCAAGGAACATTCCGTCCAAGCGTTTTTCCCTTGATAGCGTTCCAAACCTCCTCTGATAGCGATTTTACGTTTTTAACGGAAAAACCTGATTTTACGGTTTTGATGAAGATCGTGCTTTGCGTCAATCGAACCTGTGTCAATCGAACCTGTGTCGAGGGACACAAAGGAGAATATAAGTCCCAATTCTTGTGTTTACGGATGTTACACTATAAGTCCCTCTGAATAAAAAAAGAAAGGAAAATATAAATTCCTACTCAATCACCCTAATTTTGAGGTTAGGAATTGAGATAAAGGTGTAATATGTATAGGACTGTTTGATAAACTCACTTACCAACTCCAGCACAAATTAAGGGTTTTGTGTTAAAAAACCATAAAATATACTCCCTCCGTTCCATATTATTTGATGTTTTAGTTTTTTTCACTTGTTCCTTATTATTTGATGTTTTAGAGTATTAAATATACTTTTGGTTAATTAATGCAACAAAAATACAAACTTCAAGATAATTCTATGATGTTTATTGGCTAATAGTTATTTAAAATTAAAAAGTAATACACTAATAATTAGACATTAATTGTTTCTTAATCTATGTGAAAACCACTGAACATCAAATAATATGGAACGGAGGGAGTATTATTTTTGCAAAATAAACTCTCACAAAAAAAAATGCAAGTCAAATCATTCAGCTCAAAGTCATCCGCAATGTAGCCCATGTCTATATTGATAACGTGGCATTGTCAGAAATCTTTTTTAAAAATATTTTTTTTACAAAAAATACCTCGAACTAATTTTTTTGCAAAAAAAGCCCTAGTGCATTTTGATGTTGAGAAATCGTGTTGTTTTCAATTTGCACAAAATCTTTAAATAACTATTTACTGTTTTCAAGATTTTAATTTTATTTTAATAAAATATATATATATATATATATATACGTGGAAAAAAGAGCTCATCTTCATCTTCTTTAGTTTTCTTCATATCTCGATTTATCTGTTGTCTGAAAATAATTCATCAATGTCACTTAAAGATTGAACATAATGACTATTTTCCTTTTCAAATCTGCATTTGGCTTTCTTACCTCGTCAAAGTAGATTTGTTTGGTAGTAAACTTTTGACTTGATCCGGACTTAGATATAGTACTCTTATTCTTTTGAAAAAGCTTGTGTGAGTTCATCGAAACGTACCTCAAAAGTCATCACAACAAGATTTTTTTGAACAAGCTTGTATGAATTTAAATTAAATCGTTTTCTCCGAAACGAAGCAGTTCAAAAGGAATTGTACCGGAAACAACTATGAATAAGAATACTATATCTAAGTCTGGATCAAGTCAAAAGTTTATTCCCAAACAAATCTAATGTGACGAGATGAGCTCTTTTTCGTTTTTTTATATATATTTTATGAAAATTAAAACTAAAAACTTAAAAACAGTAAATAGTTATTGAAAGGTCTTGTGCAAATTGAAAACAACACGATTTTTTCAATATCAAAATGCAGCGTTTTGATATGAGGGTTTTTTGCAATAAAATAGTTCGAGGTTTTTTTTGCACAAAAACATTTTTTAAAAATTGATTTCTGACAATGCCATCTCATCAATAGAGGCAAGGGTTATCTTGCGGGTGACTTTTGAGATGAGTGGTTTGACTTGCATTTTTTTGAGGTGAGAGTTTTTCTTGCAAAAATAATATAATTTGGGGTTTTTTTTTCACAAAACCCCACAAATTAATTATACAATACTGTACTTTTATTTTTTATTGCAGGACACATAACTTTCGGGTAGTATTTACTATTTAGTAATTATCCCAAAAAAAAAATCACCATTTGAATATTGATATGTTGGATACAATTTTTACACGATAACTTTTTTGGAAAAAAATGCAATGTTGGTTTGTCTCTATTTCTCTATATATATTAGACAAGCTAGAAAGTGAAAATAATCACACAGCTTACTAAACAAATAAGTTAACGTACGTTTGTTTCATTAGAGATCAGATTAGGCATGTGCTAAGCTAAAATACAACCAGTCAACCACAAATCATCATGGCTTTTGAAGTAGGACAAATACACTGAAGTTTTTTTTTTGATTTCTTTGTTTTAGAGATATTGAACAACTAGTAATATGTTGGAACCAAATTTTAAGCCATTATGGGCTGAATAAAATTGTGGACAAGTGTGAAAAAATGGGTTTTGATTCATGTAAAATGAATGAGAAAGTTAAGTGAGTTAAATGAATTAGCAATTCATTTGTCCCACATTGGAAAGAAGGAACTTTTTTCTCTTATTTAGATATAGACATTTCCAAACAATGTTAAATAACATTTAGTGGGAGACTATAGAAAACCCACATGCGCACCTGCGCCGCCGCCGTGCCGGGCCGGGCTCGAGCTCGGGCTCGTGCTCGAGTCTTGGTATATGTGGGCTTCGCCCACAAAAGTTTTCTTTTTGGGCCAAATTCTTATCAACCTTTTTGCTAAGCCCAAAATGAAATTGCATAATGTCAAGAATAAATCTTCGAGAAACTTCTACAAGATTGAGTTTGATTTTTCGGTTTCCTTTATAAACACGAAAATAAATTCAGAAATATTTCGTATCTCTTTCGATAAATATCAAGACGAATATCCGCGGGATATTCATTCCTTGCGAGTCAATCCATATCGCTTGGCGAGCAAGTCTCCTCTCAGCTATAAATAAAGGGCATCACCATTCTCATTATTCATTCACTCGAAAATCAAACGCTCCAGCAAAAATCTCTCACATCTCTTCTCTTCTTCTTTAAAACGTAAGTCTCGAGAGTATAGCGCATATATTTAGTTAGCAGATTCTGTAGTCAGGTGTTGCGACTATAGTCTCATGCAGTTGTATCGTGGGAATCAAAAGTCTTATCAAAACCACCATACTGAGGAATATTTATTGAGTTAAGGAAAAGAGATCACCTCTGCGTATTCGTCTCTTTCCAATTGATTTTATTACTATATTATATTTATTATATAAGATTTTCAATCAAATTTTTTAATCTAGATTTTCGCGGTCATACATAACACACTAATAATATTGGACAGTTCATTCATAGCAAAAAGACACTTGAAAATGCTTGGTCTACTTAGCGATTTTTACCTTCGATAACTCTTATACAAAACCTATGCGGTCATGTAAGATGTTTCATATAGAAAATTAATATGTACTTGTTAGATAAAAGATTCTGAGACTATGGTTATATATTGGTACAAAAAAACTAAATTTATTGTAAACTATTTAATAAATAAATAAAATAAAAGGTGGGACCCAAGAGAGGAGGAGATACGTGAGAGATGAGAGAGAGGAGAGAATGTTTCTTTATTGAATTGGTGTGTCGTTGGTTTACATGTATTGCACTCTCTTTTATACTAAGAGAATGTCGGTGAAGTGAATAGATATTTACATAAAATAACAATAAACCAAGTGGTGAGTCACTAAAAGATGAGGTTGATGAGTGGATAATTATCCATTTTCTAACACTCCCCCTTAATCATCTATCATCGTGAAGTTGCATACGGCCTCGTTAAAACCTTATCATGGAAAAACAATGGGATAAAAACCATGAGAAGGAAAAAGAGTACCGCACGCAAACTCCCCTGAAAAATAGATATATCTTCTCTTCACAAATTTTAAGACGACGCATTCCAATACTTGAACATGTGCTTCTTGAACACTGTTGTAGGAAGCGCTTTGTGAAGAGGTCAGCTGCATTGTCACTTGAGCGAACATACTGAATATCCACTTCTTGATTCTTCTCAAGTTCTTGAGTGTAGGAGAAAAATCTTGGAGGGATGTGTTTTGTCCTGTCGCTCTTGATGTAGCCTTCTTTGAGTTGAGTGACACATGCAGAATTGTCTTCATAGATTGTTGTTGGCTCTTTCTTTGTAGATACTCCGCTGGCTTCTTGTATATGTTGGATCAAAGATCTCAACCATACACACTCTCTACATGCTTCATGAAGTGCAATGATTTCCGCATAATTTGAAGACGTTGCAACCAATGTTTGTTTTTGGGAACGCCAGAGATCGCGGTTCCACCGTATGTGAAAACATAACCGGTTTGCGATCGAGCTTTATGCGGATCAGACAAGTAGCCAGCATCTGCAAAACCAACTAAACCAACCTCGGGGTTTCTTGAATAATATAATCCAAACTCAATCGTACCTTGAAGATAACGGAATATATGTTTTATTCCGTTCCAATGTCTTCTGGTAGGCGATGAGCTGTATCTTGCAAGCAGATTAGTAGCAAAAGCTATATCTGGTCTAGTGCAATTTGCAAGATACATAAGTGCCCCGATGGCGCTCATGTAAGGTACTTCAGACCTAACATTTTTCAGAATCTTCAATAGGTCGAAATGGATCCTTGTTAACATCAAGCGATCTATTGACCATTGGACTACAGTCCGTTTATTGAGAGAGAATATTTCATTCTTCATGGCCATTTGCCATTTCTCCCAGTCCGGCCTCTTTTGGCACTCTGACACGGAAGTTGGATCTGGATCATCATTTTCATGATCGATCTCTTTAGCTACAGAAAAAGAGAACATTTCATCATCATCTATTTCACTTCTAGCCCATATTTTTCCACTTTGGGCGAAGGAGATGGAGATCTCAAATTTTTCTGTCTCTGGTTCGTCATCTTGACGAACCTCTTTATCAGGTTCTACAAGAACCTGTTCGAAATGTCTTCAAGACATTTCGGTTCATCAGGAACCTTTACTCCACAATTCTTTTTCTTTCGGGGATATTTATCCTTTGATCCTATAAGCCTCCCGCGCTTTAATTGAACCGGTTCACTTGCTCTATTCACATCAAAATGTTCATGAGGAACTTCTATTTTTGATGGAGCATTAGCAGCGGGGATATAGGACTTCGTCACCCTTTTCGTATCTGTGAACGCATCGGGCAACTGGTTAGCCAATCTTTGCATATGTATAATTTTCTGAACTTCCACCTCGCGTTGATTAGAAGGAGGATCAAGATAAGCCAAAGAGTGTGTACACCATTTGGTGATATCATTTGGTGATTCTCTCGACCCTCCCCCTAACGCAGGGAATTCATTTTCATCAAAGTGGCTATCGGCAAATCGTGCCGTAAACATATCACCAGTTGCCGGTTCAAGATACCTTATTATACTAGGGGACGAATACCCGACATATATTCCCAATCTCCTCTGTGGTCCCATTTTTGATCTCTGTGGTGGCGCTATTGGGATATAGACCGCACACCCGAATACCCGGAGATGGGATATATTTGGCATATTTCCAAATGCCAACTGTATGGGCGAAAATTTATTATAAGCACTTGGTCTCACTTGAACCAAGGCTCCCGCATGCAATATTGCATGTCCCCATACAGTGATTGGGAGTTTTGTTCTCAAGATTAACGGTCTTGCAATTAACTGCAACCGCTTTATTAATGACTCAGCCATGCCATTTTGCGTATGTGATATCACCATATTTTACATGATTTTACTATATATTTACCTATGTTTTCAAACGGTTTTTGCAAGATTCTTTGCCTTTAGAGGTAGTTTTCTTGTATTTGTGGGATTTGAAGTCTTTGTAGGTGAAATAATCAAAAAGGATGCAAAAAGGAGCAAAAGAGCCCTAAATCAAGATCCATGCAAGTTTCCAAGTCAAGAAGATCATTTTATCTCCAAGTGTTAGTTCTCGCTGCGCGCAGAACGAAGCTTCGGAAGTTTGGCCGCGCGCGGAGGAGTTCCCGACGTCCAAAAGTTACGATCTTGATATGGAAAGATAGATACTTGAGTCATGCATCACGTCGAAGTGGAATGAAGCCATTTGGATCAACTATGAGGCCTAGACTTATTTTCTACCGAGACATGTCCGGTAAGCGAGTAAACGAAGCCCATGGAGGATTTGGAGTGTCTAATGGCCCGAGCAGCAGCGCCAAAGGCCTTGATCGAATAGAGAAGAGGCCTGGCTAATGTTTGGAGCTTTCCTTGGTACAATGTCGGCCCATACACGACGTGGAGAAGAAGGCTCGGCGCATGAGAAACTTTCCTTTTTCAGCATGAAGAAAACCCTACTCGATCTCGCCCATATATACATGTTTTTAGCCGCTGAGCAAAGAGTCTAGAGTGTGTGAGAAAAGTGCGCCGTCAGAGAAGAAGAGGAACCCCCAGGAAGAAGAAGAGAAGCCTCCTCGGATCCAAGCCGCACACGCGAACACGCAAAACTCGTTACATCTTTGTTCTTGTCACTTTTGTTTTCCGGATTTTGGAGTTAAAAGGAAGGATTCGATCTTTTCATCAATAGAGAAGCTTTCTTTATCCCTTTTTCTCTTTAATATTCGCATGATGCTTTCATTCAAATCTTGTTTGTTTGTTTGCACCATGGCCGAGTAAATCCCTTACTAGGCCGTGGTGGATCAATGAGTGCATAATCTATAAATGAGAATCTTGTGAATTGGGATAATCTTTGAGTTCTTCACCTTTACTTGAGCATAATGCCGTTTGCTTTTCTGATCATCTAGCATCGGATCTAGGGTTAATATACTCTCCAAAAGCTTGCTATATTGCCGGAACTAGTATTTGGTGAGCGATAGTTCACGGCCAACGAAAGTTGAGTTGTGGAGTATTGTGAACAATTAAATCTTGAACATTTTAATGCATGTTTACAACTTTTAATAACCAACGAAAGCTGAGTCTATTAGGTTGTTTAAACATAGTAGTTGGAGCCACGAAAGTGGAAAACTATATCTTAGTGATTTAAGTTCAAGAACGGCTATAATGAATCTCTTTCACTTGACTTCTTTGTTTAAGTTTGTTGCATCTCGGCGATCCACCATTGTCTAGTGTTTCCCCTTATTGATCTCATCCATTTCCATTATTCATTATTGCCAAAACACTCTAAACCATATTTTGCTTTAGCTTGCTTCAACTCTTACTCTTGTAGCACAATCGATAGGTCCTTGTGGATTCGATCCCATACTATACTTACCTCGTTGCTGTGCACTTGCAGGTACTTAAGTTGGGTAAAACTTGAAGACAAACCCAGCTTGCATCAAGTTTTTGGCGCCGTTGCCGGGGACCTTCTTGTCTACAAGATCGGACGAGAATCTAGACTAAAGCGCATTTTACTTTTTTTATTTTGTTCTTTTTGTAGGCACAACTTGAGCGTGCCATGGCTGGAGAAATACGTGACCAGCAACCAAATCCTTGGAGGAACCATCTTGATGAGCCGCCTTTGGACGAGGTCCAAGACCGCATACCACGAGAAGGCCTTGGACCGGAGCTTAACCGAGCCGATAGGCTACACCGAGGAGACTTAGGCGATCACCAAGGAGGGGAGAACCAAGAGACCGTTGGAGACAGTGACTCTAGACCAGAGCTTCTCCAAAGCCGTAGCCCTATCCGGACTTACGAGGGCCACCAGTTTGAGATCAAGCCGCGAGTCATTGCTTTGGTAAAACAAAGTCAATACCACGGGCTTATCGAAGAAGATCCGTTGGATCATGTCGATTCTTTTGAAGAATTGTGCAGCACAACTAGTGCAAATGGAGTTCCGGGCGACTACTTGAGATGCCGGCTCTTTACTTTTACCTTGGCGGGAAAAGCACTCAAGTGGCTCAAGTCTCTCCCGTCTCGCTCAATCACTACATGGATGGAGTTCAAGAAAGCTTTTCTTGGTCAGTTTTATACAAAGCAGCGGACTAGCTTGATGAGGAGCAAGATCGTTGGCTTTCAGCAAGGGCCAATAGAGCCGTATCATGAGGGATTGGAGCGTTTCAAGGAATACATAAGAGATTGCCCACAACATGGCTTCTCGGAAGTAAACTTGTGGAACACGTTTTATGAGGGAATAAGGCGCGAGCACAAGCTGTATCTTGATATAGCTAGCAACGGGAACTTCATGAGTAAGTCCATAGAGGAAGCCAAAACATTGATTGACAACCTAGCGGTCAGTGACAGCAAGAATCAACCGAGCTATGAAGAAACGATCAAGGCAATCAACACGAGACCGGGACTAGTTGAGTTTGAGGAGCTGAAGTCCATGATCGCTAAGCTTTTGGAGAGAGAACCGGAGCATCGCTTGAGCCCCCGTGAGAGCAACATCGAAAGAGAGAAGTGCTTTACATAAGCAAGCAAGAGATACAACATCCGGCTGAAACCCGACTTGGCGCTAAGGACCATGGAGGAGAGCTTAAGGCTTTGATCTATGAGTTCATTGGTGAACAGAGAAAGGCGAACAAGGAGATCAATGAGAAGATACACTATGTGTATCACGACTTGAAACAATAAATTTGGGTCGCTAGAGTCGCACATCAAGGAGCTTGATCTTCAAATAGCAAACATAGCCGGTACAATCAAGAAACCGCTTGGAGTCCTCCCTGGTCGAACTGAGGCTAACCCCAAGAAGGAACATATAGCAGCCATCACTCTTAGGAGCGGTACGCAGTTAGACGAAGTGGAGATGCCACCGGAGCTCACGAGGAAAGAACCTCAACCGGAGGTAATATCGGAAAGCGTGGAAGAAGCGGCTTGGCGAGCAAACAAAGACAACTCTTGAGGAGAGCGCCGCGCCAACAACACCTACTCTGCGCGTGTATAAGCCAAAAGTGCCCTACCCCGGATCAGTGAAGAAGCCAAGAAAGAGAAAGAGCAAGCAAAGTTGAAGGACCTTGTGAGCCAACTAAGCGTAAGGCTCCCTTTTGTCGATGCTTGCATGATTATTCCATCATTGAGGAAGTATATGAAGAGCATACTCACTAGCAACTTGAGTCTAGAAGAGGGAGTGATGTTGATAACAGAAGATTGTAGCCTAGCCCTCCAAAACAAAACCCCGGAGAAGCTTGACGACCCGGGGAGCTTTGTTCTCTCATGCCAAATCGGAGGTACGATCTTTAAACGCTGCCTTTGTGACTTAGGGTCTAGCGTGAATCTTATGCCCTATACAGTGGCCAAGCGCCTTGGCATAACAAGCTTTAGACCCACAAAGATTCAGTTGGTCTTTGCTGATCGATCGGTGAGGCGGCCCATTGGCATCGTGAGTGATGTACAAGTCATGATTGGTAAATGTTTCATACCGGCTGACTTTGTGGTGCTGGAACTAGACCAAGAACCAAGAGATCCCCTGATCTTAGGGCGACCTTTCTTAGCCACAGCCGGCGCCATTATTGATGTCAAAGGAGGAAAGATAGACTTACACTTGGGAGACTTGGTAATGAAGTTTCAAATTGACAAAACTTTGGAAAAGCCAACTATCGACGGGTTCTCTTTCTTGGTGGACAATTTAAGTGAGGTGTCTGAAGGAGTGTATGAGGAGCTGATAATGGACGACCCCTTAGAAGTGGCACTAACCCGTGTGGAGAAAGAAGGAGGCTATTTTAGTAGAGAAGCGCGAGACATAGCCAAATCACTCGATAACGCGGAGACGTACAAGAACTTGGTAGCTTATGTTGGCTTGGAGGAAGAAGTAATGGGCACAAACGCCTCAAGGGATGCATCCAAGCCGTCAAAGGAGCCATGGAGTGAGTTGAGCGCTCCAAAAGTCGAGCTCAAGGAGCTCCCCGTAGGGCTAAGGTACGCATTTCTCGGTCCCAACAATACATACCCGGTGATAATCAATTCAAATCTATCAAATGTAGAGACCGCGCTACTACTTTGTGAACTAAGAAAGCACCGCAAAGCCCTTGGGTACACCCTTGAGGATATAACCGGTATTTCCCCAGAACTTTGTATGCACAGGATACATCTCGAGGATGAGTCTAAGTCCTCCATAGAGCATCAAAGGAGACTAAATCCAAACCTGAAAGATGTGGTGAAGAAGGAGATAATGAAACTCTTGGAAGCTGGAGTGATATACCCTATCTCGGACAGTACATGGGTGAGCCCGGTCCACGTAGTTCCAAAGAAAGGAGGAGTGACGGTCATAAGGAACGAGAATGAAGAGCTCATACCCACCAGAACGATCACTGGCCACCGGATGTGTATCGACTATCGTAAACTCAATGCCGCGACCAGAAAGGACCATTTTCCCTTACCTTTTATAGATCAAATGCTTGAAAGGCTTGCTAACCATCCTTACTATTGTTTCTTAGATGGTTACTCAGGTTTTTTCCAAATCCCAATCCATCCCGACGACCAAGAGAAGACAACATTCACATGTCCATATGGAACGTTCGCGTATAGGCGAATGCCTTTTGGCTTGTGTAATGCACCGGCTACGTTTCAAAGATGCATGATGTCAATCTTCACAGACTACATAGAAGACATAATGGAGGTATTCATGGATGATTTTTCAGTTTATGGCACATCCTTTGATGTTTGTTTGTCAAATCTTAGCAAGGTCCTCAAGAGATGTGAAGAGAAGCATCTAGTGCTAAATTGGGAGAAGTGCCATTTCATGGTGAGAGATGGGATCGTGCTCGGTCATAGAATCTCGGAGAGAGGCATTGAGGTTGACAAAGCCAAGATCGAGGTAATGGTAAACTTGGAACCGCCCAAGAACGTCAAGGGAGTAAGAAGCTTCCTAGGGCACGCGGGATTTTATAGGAGGTTCATAAAAGATTTCTCCAAGATAGCGCGCCCTCTCACTCAGTTACTTTGCAAAGAAGTGGCGTTTGAATTCAGTGGAGAATGCCTCGCGGCGTTCAAGAAAATCAAAGAGGCTCTCATTAGCGCGCCAATCGTACAATCACCGGATTGGGAGCTTCCTTTTGAGATTATGTGCGACGCAAGCGACTACGCCGTTGGAGCTGTGTTAGGCCAAAGGAAAGAGAAGAAACTCCACGTCATATACTATGCAAGCCGGACCCTCGACGAAGCACAATGCAACTATGCCACCACGGAGAAGGAGTTATTGGCGATTGTCTTTGCATTCGAGAAGTTTCGCTCATATCTCGTTGGCTCCAAGGTTATAGTGCATACCGATCACGCGGCTCTCAAGTATCTGCTGTCAAAGAAAGATGCAAAGCCAAGACTTATACGCTGGATACTTCTTTTGCAAGAATTTGACCTAAAGATCATCGATAGGAAAGGCGCGGAGAATGGCGTGGCCGACCATCTTTCAAGAATGAGAATCGAAGAGAGCATACCTATAGATGACTCATTACCAGAGGAAACGGTCTATGCGGTAAGCGCAGTACCTATGTCGAGGAAAGAGACCCCACCAAAAGCGACCACGGAGAGGAGAAATGCCTTTGGCGCGCCGTGGTATCGTCATATAGCCAACTATCTCGCGGCCGATATAGAGCCTCCAAACTTCTATGGATACAAGAAGAAGAAATTCTTGAAAGACATCAGATTTTACTTCTGGGACGAGCCATACCTCTACAAGAAGTGCCAAGACGGATTGTTTAGAAAATGCGTGCCGGAGGAAGAGATAGCCGGGATTCTCCATGGATGTCACGGATCAGCTTACGCAGGTCATTTTGCTACGTTCAAGACAGTCTCTAAGGTCTTGCAAGCGGGTTTTTGGTGGCCTACAATGTTTAAAGACGCTCAAGCATTCATCTCACGTTGTGATGCCTGCCAAAGAATGGGGAACATAAGCAAAAGGAATGAAATGCCGCAAAACTTTATCTTGGAAGTTGAGGTGTTCGATGTTTGGGGAATTGATTTCATGGGACCCTTCCCCACATCCTTTGGAGATCAATACATCCTAGTAGCAGTGGACTATGTCTCCAAGTGGGTTGAGGCAATAGCAGCTCCAACAAATGACTCGAGCGTGGTGATAAAAATGTTCAAATCTATCATATTCCCAAGATTTGGAGTTCCAAGAGTTGTGATAAGTGATGGAGGCTCACACTTCATCAATCGGATCTTTGCAAACCTTCTAAAGAAATATGGAGTGCGGCACAAGGTAGCAAGCCCTTATCATCCACAAACAAGCGGCCAAGTGGAGATTTCAAACAGGGAATTGAAGAGCATCCTACAAAAGACAACCGGGAAGAAATAGAAAGGATTGGTCAGCCAAGCTAGATGACGCTCTTTGGGCGTATAGAACGGCTTTCAAAACACCTCTCGGGACAACTCCATTTCATCTTGTCTATGGCAAAGCGTGCCATCTACCGGTGGAACTAGAGTATAAGGCAGCTTGGGCGGTCAAGGAGCTAAACTTTAACCTTAAAACCGCAGCGGAGAGGCGCCTGATCCAACTAACGAGCTTGAGGAGATAAGACACTTGGCTTACGAGAACACCAAAATCTACAAAGAAAAGACCAAAGCTCTCCATGATAGGAAGATAGTGCCTAAGTCTTTCGCCGCTAACGACCAGGTTCTGCTTTTCAACTCAAGACTCAAGCTTTTTCCCGGCAAACTACGCTCAAGATGGTCTGGCCCGTTCAAGATAAAAGAAGTCAAGCCATATGGAGCAGTGGTTCTTTGGGACCCTAGTGGAGGAGACTTCACCGTAAACGGTCAGAGGCTAAAACCATACCTAGCCAACTCGGAAAAGGGAATAGAGGAAATCATACCTTTGGCCGATGCACCACAAGAATAAGAAAGAGAAGGAGTCAAGCTAAATGACTTAAAACAAAAGCGCTTTATGGGAGGCAACCCATATGGTTTTTAACTATTATTTCTATTTTGCAGGAGTTTTTCAAAAATCAAACAAAAATACAAAAATATTTTCTTAGGATGAAGACCCAAAGGAGACCAAACAATGGAAGTGTCCCACCCAATGAGCCCACCCTTGTACAAGGCGTTTCTCTTCCAAAAGGTAAGTAAACTCTCACCTAGTATTCATTTCTAATCACTCTTGATCTTCACTTGAAAAATCGTTTAAACCATTGCACTTTATCAAATATATTTCATGGTTTAACTTGATTTACTTTTGATGATTGGAAAGAATACATAATCACTTGTCAAAACTCATTCTGCTCACTGAAATTACAAGAGATTGAACTATAGTTTGAAATTTGGATCATTGACCAAGACCAAATAAGAATTTATAGTTTGTGCTTTAATCTCTTGGATTGTGAACTTCAAGTTGGTCACTTGAGGATCACAATCTGAGAAACCATCTAATCATGATTTCAAGTGTTTTGCAAGGAGTTAACCATTTGACAGGAAGGAGAAATAAAGCAAACCTATAACCAACCTCAAAACCAACATGCATATGGCGGCCAAAGGGAGGTTAAAAGGAGATACAAGGCCATCACACGAAACAAGGCGGCCACCACTTGGGAATGACACAGGAGGGTTATTAAAACAATTCGGTCGAAGAAAATCTCAATTGGCCCGAGTGGATTTGAAGAAATTCAATCCAGGACATTTCTCTCGGCCATACCGCGCACAAGGAGACCAAATTACGGCCAACTCCTAAACGGCGTGACCAAAGTCCACCAAACTTCACAGGCGACCATAAAATCACATTTTGGTCGGCAAATCCAAAAGATAGGACGGAGAAATCATCACGGATCATGAGATAGACGACGGAGCTCATTCTGGCCGATGGCGCGCAAGCAATATGGCCGACAAAACCAAATCACGGCATAGGCGCGCCAACCGGTTGGAAAACTCTTCTTTGAGCTTAACTAACACTTTTATGCAGGAAGAAACGAAAAGGAACGAGCCAAACTTCACATGGCCAAGGAAACTCCTTCCCGGAGCCGACTTGACCATTTTGTGAAGGAAGTCTCAATCCCTCGTACGAATGCTCCCAAACTTCACCAGAGGCTATACCAAAAATTTCAATATAGGTCAGGTTGGTCGATGAAATTTCAATATAGGTCATGAAATTTTGACGGTTTGTTCTGTAGTTCACAGCACCACATTTTGGCCGACCGAATATACCAATCTCGGCCAAAACACAAACCGGCGGAAACCAAGGCCTGAAATTAAAAACTCACCGACCAATATTGCCTAAAGAAGTGTAGAATGACCCAAACCAGAACTGATCTTCATTATAAATTGGTCGACAATTGGTAACATCATCCTAAACCTTTTTCTTTTCAATTTTTCATTTGAACTTCATGTTATGCCTCTCTTAATCCGATTTGATTTCACCGGGACGGTGCAAGTTAAGTCTGGGGGGATTACTAACAATGTTTGTTCATTTTGGCATTTTCATTTGCATTTTTCCCTTTTATCGAGTCGTTTTTATTGAGTCAAAATTTTTGTCGAGAATCATGACCTTATCTTGGATCTAACCATGGTTGTACTAATGTTTAAGTGACCATTGAGCAGTTCTTGGCAATACATCTTACCACAGGTGCACTATGAGTTGATCGATCTACCAAAAACGCCTACATCTCTAAAGACTTGAGAAGGATCCATCTTTGACTCCGCCCTTAATGAACTTAATCTTCTCAGCTAGGGGCTTGGCATACAAATGGCATGATTCCTCATCCTCTCCATCAAATGAAAAAGTCTTAGTGAGTTCGTGCTTCCCTCTCTCTCCCCTTCAAATTTAAAGAAAAAGCGTAAGGTCCAAGTAACCGGGGATTCGGTGGCAAACACCATCAATACTA